GGCACGTGCCCGCGGATACGCGTTCAGTCCTATTGTTCTCTTTGGGTGAAGTTTAGCCTTGACCAAGGCTATCAGCTTGTTCCCATATGAGCTTGTTCCCGCTACTGCACACGGCGCGCGCAGCAACACAATGTTGTACTATACCGTTAGCCCCAGCGACCCTTGCGTGTGCTTTGTGTGCATGTACGTACGCCCCACACTCACTTCCTCAAACAGCCGTACAGTAAGTCGAGGCAGAAGATAGCCTTGACGCAACCCGTGTATGCTGAATATGATAATTAGTTCGCGCTATGGCAAATAGTCTTCTCTCATTGGATAACGGCTGACAAAAATATGAATATTTAATAATTGTATAATACTACCAAAGGTTTGTAAACCAGACGGCCTGTGGTAACAATAATTATTGTAAAACACCCCCTTAAAATCTGAAATAATAGTAGAATAATATTTATAAAAGTACACATAGTTTGGGTCGAAAATTAAATGAAAAGGATGAAAAATTAGACCTTCAAAAAACGGCAAACGGTACAAAACCGCACGCCGGCAAAAACGATGTCACCATGCACAGAGGCCACGTTGGGGCCGTCCACTGTAGGCACTGGCCCGGCTGGCGCCATGCAGTGAGACACGCTGCGCTTTCACGTTCAGCGGCAAAAAAGTGCTCACACTATTGAGTATGTATCTACCGCTGACTTTTTTGGGGGGGGGGGGGGGGGGGGGGGGAGGGTATCTCTCCTTCAGCAAACTTATTCTGTAAGACTGATTTTAACTTGTATGAACAACTTATAAGTTATATGTCGTATGTACGACTAATATATCGACAGGGTACGACTAATATCATCGACAGGTTACGACATATATGTCGACAGGGTATGACATATCAAACATATGACATAATGTCGACAGGTGCCGGTACGACATATATGTCGTGCATAAGTCGAGTCGACAGGGTACGATATATGTCGCATACGACAAAGTCGTATATATAAGTACGACTTAATATCTCGTGTGTACAAAATATGAATTGCACTCGTATGTTCGACTTGTTTGTCGATTATGTCGTACATACAACATATCTTGTGAGAACGACTTGTATCTCGTACGATTTACATCTACGACTTAAATGTCGTACGTATGTCGTAGGTACGACATACGATTCATACGTACGCGTTAAAATACATGTGTCGTACGTATGAGATGTACATGTATGTTGCACATGGTACGAATTCAGGGAGAGTTTTTATTTCACCATGTACCTGACAGTTTCGTATATTTCCATCCCAAAGTCAAAAGCTCGTTTCTTGCACTTAATTCATACGGGTGCTTATAGATACGAGTTAACCTGCATTCGATTAAATGGGTACAATTTGACCTGGGTCCGAGTTGACCTATTCCCTACATTCGCTGTCCGGCAGAATAGCACGGGTAGGTAGCGGCGTGATAATGTACGCTGTTGCACCGAGAAAATGTCGGCGGACGGTCTTGAACTGTCCAATTCGCAATACATTGGAAATATATCATTTTGAACAATTGTTCACTCATATAGCGGCATATCTTATTTGTTTGTAATAAAACTGGAGAAATGGTTTAAAATGGGACCATGGTTTGAGTGAACATACATGTACGTGGTGTATACAGTAATTTGCGGGTCATGAATATGTATATCGCGGGTCAAAGTTTACGGGCTTTGATTGGATATCGTGTAATATATGCGCATCAGAAATTTTCGGCCGATTTCGGTCGAAACTATAAAGAAACACATAAGAATTCGCCACGGTTGCGTCAAGGCTATCTTCCGCCTCGACTTGCTGTACGTACGGCTGTTTGCGGAAGTGTGTGTGGGGCGTACGTACATGCACACAAAGCACACGCAAGGGTCGTTGAGGCTAACGGTATAGTACAACTAGTGATTGTGTCGCGGCGCGCGCGGTGTGCGGTAGCGGGAACAAGTTCGTATGGGAACAAGCTGATAGCCTTGGTCAAGGCTAGGTGAAGTTATGTGACAGCTGGCACGCGCCTTTTATCTCTGAAATATTCGTCTGGATTCCACTCTCGGTAATTGACAGATTCAGCACGCGTGTATCAATGTCAAAGTTGACAACTTGTCTTTAGGTCGAATGTTCTTATAGAAAACTTGATATTGTGGACAACATTCAAGACAATAAAACCTCTTGAACTGGTCAATCGAGCACTGTATTTCATCATCGTCACCCGAAAAATCGGGATAATATAAGATATTTCTAATTCAGTACATGTACCTCCATTTTCTCCTTCAAGACAATAAGGTCTCCTTCTGTTCAAGCATGAAGTATACCGCAGTTGCAAGAAATGTAATCTTCAAATTTACTGGAATGTCCTCCTCAAGTTCTTCCTTTTCAACAGATAATTCGTCGCAACAATCTCTGACTCCTGGACAACAACAAAACAAGTGACAGTGGTCTTAAGTGTTTTAATCTCCTTCAGAAAAACAACTCTTCGTCGAACAAAGATAACTTGGGCCCTCAAGAAAAAATATCGAAACCAACCGAGGGATGTGACATTCGCACTTCCACTTAAATCTCCTTCAAATGTATACATCGCGTGTTCTTCATCTTCAACACCTACGTGTTCTTCTGCCTTCAAGAAAAATTGTCCAAGTGTCAACTATCCGTTGTTAACGTTGTTCGAGGCTATTGTCATGGGGGGGTGTCATGATTAGGTTATGTATTCGGCTTTTGGTTAACTTTGTTTTTGTTTTAATACACTGTTACACTACAAAGTAGATTTGGACACCAGTTAAACTAATTTACCAGTTTCAATATAATTTATATAAATTGATCAAATTACAGTCATTAAATAATAAATAAAGATAGGGTGGGTTCAGGATACATTGTGGGTAATCTGCAGCGCGGCGGATATGCAAAAAGCAAAAAGCTCTGGGCAAGCGCTTGCATAGGTGAGTTTGTGAATATCTGAGCGTTGAGGTTAACATGTGCGGGCCTCTTGTGTGGATGAGTTCTTAGTGAGTAAATAAGTGTGAATGCATGAGTGACAAATTGTCATTGTTTAGAGATGTGTTGATTACTTGCTCGTTTCCGATGAAGATTTGGAAACTCGTATTCGGAATCGGAAACTCGTATTCGGACGCGCACGTCACTGAGTAGGCCTACTCAGTTTTCGGTCTCGGTAAACTGAAGCGGTAGGAAAGTTCGACCCGATATATTTGATACGATACTGAGATTCGAGTCTGTGTCACTCTGTGAGAAACTGTGTCTGAATTGATGAGCAAATGAGATGTGTATTATGGATCGTGAATGATGAGAAAGTGAGAGTATCGATTCGAGCACTCGATTTGATACTGAGACTTATGTGCGAGTTTTGATACTGATGAGCAAGTGAGACGTGATTATAGGTTGTGAGAAATGAATGGTGATTGATGAGTAGTGAAAGTGAGACTCAATTCGGCACTCGATTTGATACTGAGACTTGGCCTGATGATGTGCGAGTTTGGATACTGATGAGCAAGTGAGACGTTTGATTATAGATTGAGTAATGAATGGTGAGTGATGGGTAGTGAAAGTATGAGTATCGATTCGAGTACTCGATTTGATACTGAGACTCAGTCTGTACATGAGTCTGAGTTTAAATACCGATGAGCTAGTGAAACCGGGCATATATGAATAATGAGTGCATGATGAGTATAGTGAAAGTGAGAATATCGAATCGATCACTCGATTCGATACTGAGTCTCTGTTACATAGTGTGAGTTTGTATGTTATAAGGAGCCATGTGTTTGTAAATAATGCATGCACATGTTGGTGAGTGGTGAATTTGGGTGGTGAAAGTTGGGAAGTGATAGTATCGATCACTGGAGTCGATTTTTGAGTCAGTTAAATGTCTAATTATAGGTTGGTGAGTGGTGAATCGTAGTGGTGAACAGGCATACTTCGCGCGGCAGCTATTAACGAGCGTGGGGCATAGGTGGGTGAGGGGGAAATCATAAATAGGGTATTAAAATAAATCAAATTCATATAAAATAAATGTATTTATAACTACAAGTCTGAAATAGATAGATATAAAATACATACAAAGTTAAATTAATTAACGTTTTAGAATAGCCTACTGGCTTCTCATAAACTAATAATTATTCGAGCCCTGTGTGTAATGGGGGGAGGGGGGGGGCGCTTAAAAATGTGCTATTGTAATGAAATTTGTGCAGTGAATCTTTTCATGGTCATCTTCGAGAATGAACAGGCTAGTTCTTGTGTGGTGCAAGAATGTAAAATTCGCAAGGTATGCTTCGTAAAGGACTTCAGAATTTTCACACTGCATCGACAGCGTGTTCGTTCATCAACTAAAGAAAAATATTTCCTGTGTCTGCATCATGAAAAGCAACAAGTATCTCCATCATCAGTGGCCTCTTGCAACTATGAACAGGGATCGAACTTCGATATCAGAAAGGAGGATACTACAACTTTCACAAATTTCGACGAACTCTTTTCATAAATCAAGTGGTCTTCATATAATAATCGTTAATTCAGCCCAAAGACAATTGCCCTGTATTCAAGAAAAGCCATGGCTACGAGAGCACACTCGGCTAGAGACGTCTCCTTCAAATATCTCGCGCACGTAGCTTGATGTATCTTCGGATCAAAATTCATTCACACTATATCACCCTTGTCACGACTATTTCTGTACATCACAATCTTTCTTTTGCTAATGCGGAATGCTAATTACGGAATTTATTTGGGGGGGGGGGGGGGGCTAGACACAATTTTTGGGGGGCTACAGCCCCCCCCCCCCCCCCCCTAGAACCGCGCCTGCTGCAGCGTAAGCAAGCGAAGCAATATCCGCCAAGCGCAGCCTAGGGAAATGTCATGGGATATAAAGGGCTCAGGATAGAAGGAAAATAACTGTAAAACAATGGATAATTCATCAAGGACTGATTAAGTTCATCATTTGACTCTATAATTTAGCTACAAATCATTATTAGATTAAATAATATGATTACATAATAATAAACGAATCAATTCACACAGTGTCAGGAATAATTTTTAAGTGGATGTCAGTGGGTGGGATGCATATCATGGTAAGTAGATAAAGGTATCTCCTTTTAATTGATTTAATTGAGAAAAGTCAGGCTGGGTTTCTTTTCCGCCGATTTTTGCTTATCATGTAGTTAGAAATCCTGAAGAAAAGGAATAAATTAGCAACTTTTATCAGTTAATAAATAAAAATTCTATGTCCTGAAAGAAGTCACTTATAATATTAATTATTATTTTGGAATATAACTAAATCTGATTCATCTATAGTCAAGAAATAACAAACTTCAAAAGATTCTAAAGACTTTGGATCGCAGCTAAATTACGGGGAAAAAATGCACAAAGAAACAGCTTTGCACTCCCTTGTCAAATTAGTTAAAAACATTTCCTTAATTGTACAAAATTAATAATACTGATTTTTTTTTTTTCTTATCACGAACAAAAAAAGTGGATTTGCTTATAAATTATTCTTTCTGTAAACATTTGTCTTTGCCAAATGTTGGGCCACGTCATTAAGTTTCATTTTCAGCTGTCACGGACAAAGGAAAATGATTTTCCGGAGTGCAGATGTTTGGGCTATATCAAACACTGCTCATTCAAGCTGGAAGGCAGACAGGGTCACGTGATTCACGCTTCGTTAATATAATCTCGTATTCCCCAATCGTCCGGATAGGTTCCGAACTTTCGGGTTCCAATGATGGCGGTTTCTTTCCCGGAGTACAGGCGAGAGTGAAGTGTTTCAGAATGCCCCCCAGGTACAGGAAGAGCCCCATGGTAGCCAGCTGCTTGCCCAGACAGAATCGAGGCCCGACTGAGAACGGCAAGAAGTGTTTTGGGGTAAATACTTTGCCTGCCTCGTCCAAGAAATGTTCTGTGTGCCCAAAAGAAAAAGAGTTTGCATATCAATAACTCAAACGAGGAGCTGGAGAATAACGTTTAAAATAACTCCTGATATGATAACAATGCTTTTTAAACGTAATTGTCATGCCAGTGAGGGGCAAAATCGATTTAGTACGAGATTTGGAAAATGATCTGGAAAGTTTGGATGTTTCTCGTATACATGTACCTGGTCGGAAGTTGTCAGGATCTTTCCAGTTTTCCGGATCATGATGCACCCACCACAGGTTACATAGGACTGTTGTGCCCTGTGCAATATCGTAGTCACCAATTCTGTGAGAAAAAAAATCATCAGAAGTACAACATTGGAGACATTCTTTAAGACAATAAAAGACTTCACCAAAGATTTTCTCCTGATAATAAACGATCTGGAGCAAGACATTTTCGGCGGTTTTAGCATACAAGTGGCTGGGTTGAATAAGCAAGCACGTAATTTGACATAAACACTGACACACCCCCAATGCTCCACCGAAATGCCTATTGGGCCAAAGTCAATGAATAATTTCATCAATTTACACTATGCGACACGTGATTATATTTGACCAGTCAGTGATGGGAGTGATGAGCGGTGGACGCCGTACAGGGCGCCTATTGGCTTAAAACCAAATGAATAATCATGAATAATTTACTTTGTGTCACACGTGGTTACATGCGGACCATTCAGCGACGAGAATGAGCTGTGACGTAGCGTCTCGAGTACCGTTGCTTCCAGGTACGGAAGCCTTGAGCGGTCTCTCCATGTCGGCAAGCCAACAGGAACGTTGTTGTCGATCTCATCCTGTAATCGTTTCTGTACCTGAAATCACCATACAGAATATAAGAATTGTTTGTTTTTCCAATTTGCTAAAAAAGATTTCATTCACTTAATTTTCAGAGAAAATACTTTGAACAAAAAAAATACCTCTGGATAATGCAGCAAATACGCCAGCGCCCATCTAAGGGTCTGAAAGGTTGACTCAAAACCGCCCGCAAATATCTCCCACATTGACATCACCACTTGGTCCTCCGTCATCGTGACGTCATCACTTGCGTCATCGTTCCCGCCAGCGTCTTGCATGGACTTGAGAAAGGCGTCAGTGATGTCCCGGATGTTGTCAGGTCGAAAGGTAGCCACGTGGTCTTGGTACTGTGCTTGAAGGATGGAGTCACGTGATGCGATGATTTCCTGAATTGTGCGCATGCGCTTTGACGGGAACATCTGAGCGAGAGAATGTTTATTTTTCTGTCAAGATGATTTTCATCCCTAACCTCACCTAAAGCTACAAAATACAAGTAGATAGCTACAAAATACTACTTGTAGTAAACTGTAGTATGCAGTATGCTTTAGCATAAGTGGACACAGCACTCATAGTATTTTCTGGTATTTGGTACCTGCATACATAATTTTTGTAGTATCCTTGTAGTATGTGGTACTTTACCCCAGATGAACTTGTGCGGGTTTAGGGTTTAATAGTTTTTGGCTGAACACGAAAACTTGTCAAAAAGAACACATGGAGTTCTTAATTTTTCGGCTTATTTGTTGAAATTCGTTTTTTTACTTTTGGTATTAATAGGGCCAATTGTATTAGTTTCTATTTAATTGTTAATCAAACCTAAATCACAGAGTGCAAAAACACATCATCTCTGCATTCGCTATTTAGTCCAGTGTTTTAAAGCTATGATTTGTGGTCAGGGCACAAACTGACCACAATCTTTCGGTCACTCACTGGCTGAACATTTTCGCCAAACTTTGCAAGGCCAGAGAACTGTGCAAAGTACAGCGACTTTCCCAAAAACAGATCACTGCACTTTAGATGAAGATTTGGCGGCGCCAATACCCTCTTTATAAAGGCAGACGACCCTGATGATCCGTCGCTATCCTAAAGACTCGCATTCCAACAAGAGGGGCTTACAATAATGGGCATTTCTTTCACCCTAATTTATCCAGGTGATAACAAGAGGCGTACAGGGTAAAGACCTTTTCAATCCTAGTACATATGAGTGCATTGCACTTTTAGCGATGGCCACTTCAGGAATTTTCTGCACGCAAGTCTTTCATTAGGGTTAATTTTCAGGAAAATCTTGAAGCCCTAAAAAGATTTTTGGAGATTAAAATCTAGCTTGTTTGCAAGAAGGTCAAACTTGGAATGTAGACTAAAATCTATCAACCATTCCGTCATCTAACGACGGACAACTTTCCGAATGATTCTCTACTTGGTATACTTGGTTGGTGGTCCTCCAAAATATTCCATCTACGGAATTTAAACTGGCAATATACAGGGCGAGTCATAAAAAAACGAGACCCAAATGTCGGGACTGTTGTTTTAGTGAAGTTCTGCATGTAGCACTTTCAAAATCTAGGATATGAATGCCCAATTCATAAGCTTCCTTTTAGTTTAAGAATCATTCAAATCACTAATGTACTTTTCAAGTAATTGAATGTTAAACACAACCATGTTTTAAAGTTATGTCCACGAATCACAAAAAGGTAAGTGTTCATCCAGCAAAACGAAAGAAAATCACGTAGGGGTGTGTGTGAATTGTTTTCGTTTTGCTGAAAGAACGCACACTTTTTTTGTGATCCGTGGACAGAACTTTAAAACGGTGGTTGTGTTTGAAATTTCATAACTTAAAAAGAACATGAGTGATTTGAATTATTCTTGTTCTGAAAGAAAGCTTATGAATTGGGCTTTCATATTCTAGATTTTGAAAGTGCTACATGCAGAACTTCAGTAAAACAATAGCCCTGACATTTGGGTTTCCTTTTTTTACTCACCCTGTAGTGCAACGAAATCTTTAGGTGAAAATTGATGCCCAATTTTGGTTACTCTTAAAAAGAAACCCCAATTATTCTTAAACAAAATAACACTGACCGGCATTGTATGTGACGAGATAAAGTAGAGGGACTCAGATTGCAAGATTTTATTTTTTTAAAGCATAGCCATTTTACTTTACTGCATAGCGAAATGAACTGCTTGATCCAGCGAGCAGTTTCCATCATCCCACTTTTATTTCCTTTCAGCGGGAGCCTTCCATCCCCTCGGCCGGTCGAACGGATCAATACACGGCAGGGGTTGATGGTAACGACGGCGTCAAAATCAATTGTTCCCGGTAATCGAGTCTCATCATCCCTTTTTAATGGCCCCTCCACAGAGGTTAATAAACCATTATTAGGTCTTTATGACAATCAATGTCGTAATAGAGTTGAGGGAGGTAAGTCGATGTGGAGTCCTTGGAGAGACTTTAAGTAAGTCTGGAAGATAATTAGGGGAGCTAGGTAGGGGAATAATGGGTCAAGAGGTATCAAGCGCTCGTTGACCTACAGACCAATCTTGGCACGCTATCATTTCTATCACGGAGGCCCATTTCAATGGCGAGAGTATTGCGCTATAGCTATTTCTCAAAATAACTGTCACAGAACGATTGCTCTGTACAATAAGTTGCACAATGCTCTCGCCATAAAAAGGGGGCTTCCGTGAGTATACAGTGATCACTTGCCCGCGGAGTACAGTGTAATCTTCAAACATCAAAACTTGGAAGTTATTTTCACAGCTGGTTGCCGTTTCTTTTCCCAACGACCAAAAAAACACCAATGTTGCAAATTTGTACTCGATAGACCAAAATAATAATAATAAGTGTTCTAAACATATTTTTTGTTAGTTCAAGGTCATACAGTTGTAATAAATCTTATCTATATTTGTCGTGGAGTTTTTACTCAAATATATATTTTGAGTAAAAATATGAACTGTTTGAAATGTGTTTTTTTAATTGATGTAAGATGTATAATGACATTGTACAACTAACTGAAAAATTAAAAAAATAAAATTTGACACCGTTCAAAACTGTAGATTGATATTTTCTCTAAAATGTTTTGAGCTGCAATTAGCTACCGTTCGGTATATAAATTCAGTAAACGGACACTATAAAAAGAGAAAAAAATTTCCAATTTCAATTGATACTTTTTTGGTGATGGGGGGGGGGCACTCATTTTTTATTCACAATAAACACCATATTTTCGTTTAAATTTTGAGCTGGGGATTTCGGCGTGACCCCCACTCCCTGTCAAGAGCGGATCCAAAACACAATATTGGGGGGGGGGGGGGGGGGCGGCTTTGGTCCCCCCCCCCCAAAAAAAAAGTGGGTCAAAAAAATTACGGCGTGGGTTCGGGGCCCACTTAAGGGCCCCGAAAAATATTTTGGATTCTAGATGCTCTGTTGTGCGATCTGCAATTTCTGACCACTTTAACCAATGTTTTTTTTTTGAGAAAAAGATGGTGGTGTACTCATTGCCTGCCTTTATTGCGATGTCACATAAAAAAAAAAATTGGTTTCGTTGTTGTTGTTTTTTTTTTGGGGGGGGGCATGGCCCCCTTTGGCCCCCTCCCCCTGGATCCGCCCTTGCCCACCTGTCCCACATTACGCCACTGGATGGGGAGGGGTGGATTTCTATTCCTTTCTCCATGGCTTAACTAACCTTCAAAAAAGGAAACAGATCCAATGGATGCCCTGGTTTGAACAACTCCTTCAGCTTGTGATTTGCTGAGACGAAGGCTTTCATTTCGGCGTCGCTTGGGCCGTAGCGGCAGCCGAACGTCAGGCTGCAGACGGTATTGATGAGGGCGACCGTCAACATATCGCTTGGATTTATGGGACAACCATCGGAGACCGCCATCTTGGAGACGAGATGGGAAACTTCCTGCGAGATTGTCTTCTCTGCGATTGAACGGCCGGGATGTCCGTCACTGCAACGAATGTAAGAGAATTACTATAAAGTAATATATCGAATCCTTCAAAATCCTCTTTGCCAAAGTGGAGGAATCTGGAGGATTGAGGTTACATTGCAAAAGTGCGTTACTGATTTCGTAGGATTCACTTTGTCAAGGTCTTGGGCCGGGCCTTGTGTTTGTTTTTGCTCAGCCATGCATACAAATAGGCCTGGATTATCTTGAAATCATCCGTACTGCTCCAGGATGTCACTGGCCAAGCCTCAACATATTGACTGTCACTGCCGCATAATTATTTTGCAGGATTCAGGCAGTGGTCACCCCTAGCCCTCCACGGACCGTATTCAAGAAATAATGGAGGAATTTGCAGGATTCATGCTACATCCTAGCAAAAGGCATAGGGAGTTAGGGTTTGTCATGTTTGTGTTTTATTGCAATTGGACAATTCTGCTACTAAGTTTTACGGGTAGGCCACTCCCCCCCCCCCCCCCAAGAATTCGGAGATGAAGAGTTTGTCTTGGTGAGTTGGACCAAATTCACTGAGTGCCCCTCTCCATTCCGGAAAAAGAGGACACAATTTTCCCCAAACCTCCCGCATTTTGAAGTAAGTTTGAAAAGAAGCCTTTAGGGCGTTTCAAATTCAATTTTGGACAAGAAAGACTAGTTCATATACGAGCTTTTTTTCCAGGATATTTCAAGAAGTTGGAAAGACCGATATGTTTTCCTGTCAAATATGTTTTTTCCCGACTGTACCGTTACTTTACATTTTAAAATTTGTATTTTCATTCCAGAAGATCTTGTCATTCCAGAAGTGCAGTGTCAACTTTTGATGAGTTTACAAAGTGGAAAAGAAAAAGTCAATATATATATTTTTTAATTTTTTAAAGAATAACCATGATAACGATAACACAGTTTCCAGAAGTAAAATAGGCCTACTGATATTCAGTGATATTGCATGCACAGATAACAAATACACGTTCTTATTTTCAGTCTCCACAGTATTAAAAGAAGATTTTCAATAGGAGAAAACTGTTAGAATGTTTAGAATCTTTGGACATGTTGGAGTATCCACAGTAAAATAGTCCCCTAAAAATAAAAAAAAAGCTTGAAAATGTTGCTGGGAGCGGGTAACGAAAGCATACCTTTCAACGGAACCTGCCTTAAGACTCAAGCGTAATGCAGACGCAGCGTCCTTCCTATGTCCCCTCCATGCCGGTCCGTAGTCCGAGAAAGCAATTCCGCAATTCTTCCTCGTCAGCAAACTGATTGAAAACATATAGGGCCGGCCTGCAAAGTCCACCGACCGCTTGACGAAGGCCTCTCGAATGGCCCCGGAGCTGCCCAGGACCACGAAGTCCTTGCCGCACATCCTGAGGCCAAACACATCCCCGTGTTTCCGGCCGAGTCGTCGCAGCGCGACATAGAGCGGTTGGGTACCGAGGAAAACGGCCAGGTTCCCCAGGAGCGGCACGCCAGGCGGACACGGCGGTGGGTTCCACGCGCGCCCGGTGCGCCCGCCACCGCGGAGACTAATAATCAAGAACCGGCAGAAAAGCAAAAGTGCAACGAATATCAGAATTTCCGTCACCATGTTGAGACTTTGCTTTATTCTTATCCACTCCTAGTGTCTGCTGCATGCAACTACTCTCCCGCTGAAATGACTTGTTTTTGAAAAATTATGCAAATGATCCAAGAAGATTATTTGCAAAGTTTGCTTAACATTGCTCCGCCACTTTGTGGCACTGATCCGCGAAAAGGTTTGCTCCAATTAATAAACACCACGCACGCGATAATCATCAGTTTCTTGATAATTGCCTCTAAATATTTCACGAGTTCGAGCATTGATCGCCTCCCATCCCCCAGAGCGAGGGAAAAAAGTACGGGCCAGTTGGTGTTTGCAGTGACACAAGATACATTCTTCGAAGTATATAATTATCTAGGCGATCTTATTGTGTTTGTAAAAAAAAAAAAGCAAAAAAAAAGTAACCCCGCATATGTTGGTCATTGCTTGAATTCCTTTGACCAAACCCTCTTTGTGAACCATGCGTTCGTTTTACACCCAGGTACGAAACCAGTTTCACATTGCACCTGTTGATTGTGCCAAGTCGGCCCCTGATTGGTCGAATCAAACACTTCGATCGGTATGCGTGACCTTTCCGGTGTCAGAAAGTTTGAGTGATGGCGGTATGGCGTGCTTTCCAGACGGTTTATTTCAGAGCTGAGCCCCCAAGCACAATCTTCAAGGATGGGACAATGGGAGGTCGCCCTTCATTCAGAAGATTCCTTTGAAAATCTTCCACGAGCTCAGGGAGTGGTTATTTGGAAGCTAATCTGTAGTCAACACACGGAAAGTACAGTGAACTCAAACTTATCTCCGTAGCTTAGCCACGCCAGTGCCAACGATCTAAATAGTGTTAACCAAATTCTGCTATCTTAAGTGCTAAGATAATCAACGAAAACTATAAAAATATTTTGCGTTTTGAATGCCAAAAAAATTAAGACAGATTCCCTCCACTGTACACAAGCTGCATTCATGCATGGTATTAACTAAGCAGATATTTAGGAATTTTAGTCATTCATGTAGTTTTATTCGCATAAAAACATCTCGAATAAACATTCCAAACTGGACAGCGTTTTGACTGCGGGCCAAATATCTATACAAAAAATGTATGTCTAAAATCCCGCTCCTAATGCGCATGTCTCGTCTTTCACATCAAAATGGCAAACTTTACTATCTTAAGATAGCCCACATAAGTATTTTTAGAAAATTAGTCATATTGTTTCGTTTTTCTTTATTGTTTTGGGTGTTTTTGTGTGTGTGTGTTGTCGGTAACTTGCCCTTATACCGTTATTCACAAAACCTACTACACCTGAAGAAGAACGTTTAGAGAATTTACGTACGCGAGTTGTTTTCTCTCTACATCAGTTATAGAATTCTTTTGTCAACCCTGCCGAATAAAAGTCACTTCGTTCGGGGAAGGTCACTAAACAAAAGACTTGCCTCCTTTAAAGTCCTTCCCCTTCCTTGAGGAGATAACGAGGTACTTTTTTCTCGAAAGCGTAAAAAACCCTCCAACCACTTACACATTCATTGATTGATAATTACGCGTAGGCCGCCTATAGGGTTTATTCTCTTCCGCACAAGGACGAAAAAGTGCAGCGGACCCCCATAGCGTTGGAAGAAAGGGCACAGGTTTCGCCCAAGGTCCGGTCAAAATACTTCCCGAGTGGTGTGCCCAGTTGACCTTGAGATGAATTTACCACCGGTCAGAATGCACATGCGTGAAAAAAAAAGTACGGCCGGTGACGTTAACGCAGAGCGCGTGCAATCTGAACACGACAAGACACAGACAAGACGGTGATCCCTAGCCAAGACACCCTGCAAAAAGTTTAACTGGCAGAAAACAGCCGTCGGAACCTTGCAATGTTGAGGGGTGAAAAAACCACCCAAGTGACTTTTATAAACATCTTGTCGTCGGGCATTCAGAGAAAAGTACAGTGACCGGAGAGAGTGTGAACTAATTATCGTACCGCGGATAATGCTCCTTTTGACGGGCTAACTTTTCATAAAAGAGCCTTATCATTATCTGTTATCCTTGAGTTTACTCGTATGATCCCAGATTATAGTGTTTTTCAAGAAAGTACGCGCAGAAGCGGACTGAACTAAAGTTGTAAAGGTAATTATCTGCCAGAGAATGGATTTAATTTGGGTAAAGATATGCGTTTGGAATACGAGAAGCTCCTTTTCGAAGTCCTTGAATCGCTCTTTAATCGCTGGTTTATAATATTTTTTCGGGGGAGGGGGAGGTGTCTTCTCCGTAAAATCATTCAAATATCGAAAATCTACTATAGATGGGGTGGGGATAAAACAATTATTAACCTAATTTTTTTAAAGACAGATTTACAGTGAAACTACACGCAATCAGAATGAACGAGATCAGTAGAAAGACTAAAGTATGTTCCTGCTTTGTCAAAGGTTTTCCTTTTTGTGTGAGGAAAATCGTTAACCGCAAAGTTACGTGGGACATTGATGGATTTATTGATATCTGGGCACTGTTGGAAGATGTGCCTCATTAATGCAATTTTAATTTCAAACCACTGGGCGCCTTGTGTCTTTTACACTTTGTTTTTTGCCGGTCCCAGCGGGTCAACCTTGTGTCCTCTTTTGCACCTTTCTCACTGACCGACTCCCTGAGTGACCGACTGTCACTTGGACAGTACTGTCGTGTAGGATTACCTGATAATGCCAATGAATTGGCAAAATGTGGTCCACAGTGTAGACAAGATGAATGAAAGGACTTCCAAAGAAATACCATTTTGAATCAATTGAATAGACGTTTGTTGACTATGGGATCAGCTGTACTAGGTTTGCCATGTCTTGTTTAAGTTTTGATCTTTAATTTTTCATCAAACATATTTTGAATGAACCTTCCAGAACACCCTTTTTTTCCTTTCTTTATTTGATTTATTTTTCTGCTGGCAATGTATTGCACATCAAAGCAGCATTATTGCCCATTTTTAAAAACTTGCCTGATACATAAAATAACAATAAAACAATATAGTTACTTACATAAATTAAAAACAAATATTCCCAAAACAAAATGTCTTCAGTTTTTGGGACTTTGAAAATAAAACCTAATAGCATTTTAAGGCAGAGTAAACCATTTGTCATTGGTGCATTTTTTTTTCATTTGAAACAACAAAAGTGCTAAATATATAAAGACGGGTACTTATTCTGCTTCTTGATTTTAATTCAAAAGTTGATGAGTCATGACAAAATCCTGATATCAGCATCTGGGACAAGATTGTCATTCAGGACATGATTCTCTGTTGCTACGTTATGTCACACACTGAACTGACGATTCTCGCTAACAACAGCAACCGGGCACGCATGTGTCAACGCACTTGCACTCATTCACGGATTTGTCCGATTTCGAACCAACTGTCATTGGAAATTTCCAAAAATGTGTCATTTGACACATCTTTGAGAATTACCTTCTTTTATTGTTTCCTTCAAAATGACAGCATGCCAGAAGGAATAATTTCACAGGGAGTTTAGCGTCTTTACTATCTTTAAACCAAGTAAGCTTTTAACAATAATTTGGTTGGTTACTTTTTGGATAGATGCAAATGGTCAACTCTACCTTTAATGCAAAAAATGTGAATGTAAACATTTGGCTATATAATTTAGAAATTTTCATTGACAAAATGCCAGGTTGTTAACAGTTTGGGTGTTAACTGGACAAAAGTTTGTACTGAAATCTTGAAGTAATTAATTTGGCAAACGAAATCGTTCCAAAGTCTTGACAGTCAAGATTCTTGACAACAAATCATGTGAGAAATTGATAAGAAGTTTCATATAAAAATGAGTCGCTGATATTTTCATTCCTTTTTGCGGAAATTTGGATATAATTTATCAACGATATAAATATTCTTATTTTAATTTAAATTAAATATTGTCAGTTCAGTTCTAAAAGGTCCTTACAGCAGTCCAAAGATTTCTTGCAGACACTACAATGTCAGATTTTGAGCTCGAAAAAGTAAAATATTTCAGATTAAAACAACTTCCTGACGAATTTATTTAAAAAAACAAAAAATCTGAAAAAGTATGATTAGATTTTGCAATTTCCTGCTCTTTAGTTTGTTAATTAAAGCTTTTTGTTAAATTTTTAATAAAGGCCTTTTGCCCGAATTTTCCATTAAGGACCTTTTAGAAGTGAGACGATGATATGATCCAACAGATTAAAAATCAGATATAAATCATAAGAATATTGGAGTATATTTGCAGAGACTATGCATTAAAATACAAAACCACAAAATGCCCAGGTAATTTGGATAAGAAAGGTTAACAATAAAAATCATTATTACAAGATGAACTCAAGCAAGAATTTGGACAGCAGATAATACTGAAAAAAAACTGACTGAAAAGTCAAACAAGATTGTTTAAGCAATTTTGTTTACACCAATATGTTCCCCCACTCCCCCCCCCCAAAAAAAACAACAACAACAACAACAATCCACTAATGTGGTGAACTAGAATGCAGCTGGCAAAAATCCAGATTTCATATCTGAAAAGTCTCTGGAATGTTAACGACTTCAAACATTTACTTATATTGGAGTACAATGTACATGGCTTATTACATGTACATGTACTTTTTAACATCAAACAACAATAATACAGTTTGTGTGTGTATGGATTTTTAATTGATTAAGTATACAATTGCTGCATAATCACGGTTTAACATTTATGGAAGCATTTTTTTTATTATTAAATAACTTTGGAAGCATTCATGTTGGCACATTGCTAGAACGAACACAGATGCACGTTAAGTACAAATGTTTTTACACAAGAAAAGTTGATATCGCAAAATGGCGCAGTTGTTATGGCAAAACATAAGTAGGCTTGGCTAAACATAGCTGGAGCAACTATATTTTTGCCATCCAAACAACAAAGTTTAACCGTCCATTACATCTAAACTTAACTTGGCTTGGTTGTGAACAAATAATAACCTGATCAACAAAGCTTTGAAAATCTGATTAGAAAAGCTGCTTTCTTACATTGCTGCTTACGAATATCAGCACCATCACATCACAATTTGCGCCAATGGAACTGTAACTTCAAAGTGTTTCAAACTACGACATTGCACGACTCTTGCAAATCTGTATTTAATGCTGAACTTTGGCTTTGTAATGAAAGTTGTGTTCCCAATGCTGTAATTAAATTTTCATCCCAGAAAATAGATTCCTTTTCTCAAATGCTATTTTTCTAGCAATACACAAGTGATTCACTTCTGAATGAGACATTGAATGGAAAAAATTCGGCCCATGTTAATTAGTTATAGACCATTATCAAGTTGCAGCCAATTGATATTGTTCCCATTCAAATCAATGTAGCCAAAGCGAGGCTGGAGGAAAGAATAGTCTGGTTCCATTTTGCACAAAAACATTATCATTTCAGTACTGTTATTGGATACAGGGAACATGACTAAAATGGTGGAAGCATGATATAGGTCTGTAGAATTATTACTTTACAATTTCGAATTATTGGCAGCCAGACAATAATTCCATTCTCGTTGGGTAGATAAGCTGGTTCCCGCCCCACAATTAGTATCGATGATAAACGGACTGCATGGGAGCCAGTCTGCTCACAAAGTGGATCTCTGCCCAAAACTTTTTTTCAGAGGGTTGCAGACGTCCCAAACAGGGGAAAAAAGAGATTTTTTTGGTTGGAAAAAAAACATACAAGTTGAAAAATTAAATTTTTAGAAAAGAAAATGAATTGAGCACAGGGAACGCAACTTTAAAAAGAATTTGACGGACAAAGTTTTGATGATGTGAGAAGAAATCTACTTCTACCTAGTTTATGTTTGCAGATTTTGTACATATGCCACTAAATATATTTGTACTAATGGTAGGGTAGATCATTTGTCAATTGTGCCTTTTTTCGTTTGAAGCAACAAAAGTGCTGAAAATCTAATGACGGCTACTTTACAACTAAACCGATATGACTTACAAACCAAGTACTACAGAAATGTCCGAAAATGCGCCCCTTGATGCATCTTTTGAAATGGCCTTCTTTATTGTTTTCTTCAAAATGACATCATGCCAGAAGGAATAATTTCACAGGGAGTTTAGTGCCATTACTATCTTTAAACCAAGGGTGCTTTTCAACAATAATTTGGTCAGTTACTTTTTGGATAGCTGCAAATGATCTACTCTACCTTTAAGCAACTTTGCAACGTTCACCTTTGGAAGTTATTCTCATCTACTATCCAGGATAAGTTGCGGACAAGCTTATGGGCAAAAGGTTCATTGTATCGAGTCTTAGTTGCAGGATTCTAAACAAGTTCCCTTGAATCTTCTCGAATGACATTTTAAGGTCGTAAACAATTCACTATCAAAGTCTTATGTAACAGCGAGCAGGGTCACTGGACTTATCCTAGTGATGGATCATGCCACACACTTGGCAACTGATCCAGCCATTGGTACTGTGCGTGTATTCGAAGCGAAGTAAAATTCTTTGGAAATTGGGTCAGTACGCTACCTCACAACGGTCAGCTGTTTCACTGTGGACTGTAATCATACAAATAAAAGTCACACCTGCAGATTTTTGTCTAATTTCCTGATAAAACTGATTGCAGCAACACAATGTCACACACTAGCTGAACTGATGAAACATAGCAACCGTGGGGTGCTGTGGTCCAATGGTTGCGGTGTTCGACTCGTGTGCCGTGGTACATGGGTTCGAATCCTGACCGTGGGAACATGGTGCTTGTGCTCTTGAGCAAGGCTTTTTACCACAATTGCTTCGTCCTTTGGATGGGACGTAAAGCCGTAGGTCCCGTGTGTTGTGTAATGCACATTAAAGAACCCAGTAACACTTATCGCTAAGAGAAGGGGTTTGCCCAGGTGTTTCTGGCAGTGGCTGCAATATGCGCCGTAGCACCCTGTATACCCTTATAAGGTGCTACATAATGGGTCTCATATTTCTCATAAACTTCATTTACCTGTCTTGAATAATAGACATAATTTCCAGCGTCTTGAGTACCTAATTGTTGGTAGATACTTGCGCTATATAAGACTCCGGTATTATTAATAATATTAAACCAACACAATAATGCTCAGAAAATACACGAAACAATAGTGAGTAGTGGCCATGTTTGCATCAGCATGATCCCGTTGCTGTGCCAATGACTGGCCTTGGGTGATTTTACGTGATAACTTCAATAGTGAATACTTATAACTTCAGTGCAGGATGATTCCGTCAAAATTGTTCAGAATCCTGTAACTAATGCCCAATGCAATGGGCCTTTTGCATATAAACTTGGCCGCAACTAAAAAGGCATAAAGGAACATTGGTAACTATCCGGAAACGCACCTACCGATTTAATGAGAAAGACCTTGCTATAAAAAGTAAAGAAAGAGATGGTACCAAATAACCTGTGTAAAATATTCTGCCAGAAATTGTCTTCATTAAAACAAAACAATCACTGATTGTGGTTTAACTCATTAGCAATTGTAACACATTGTATTACATTGTGTTTATTCACTGAAGAATCAATAAAACCATAAGAGTGCTTGGGCAGTTTTAGGCGCTACAGTGAGTAATAGGCAGGGCGGTTTTGGGCACTACAGTGAATAAAGGACTAAAAAATGTGCCTGCGGACATACTTTGTTTTACTTGCGAGACCCCCAAAACTGTTTTCCCTGTTGTTCACAAAATGCAAAGTGGTCAATGAGCAAAAAGCTCAACAGGTAAGTTGTTAATTATCCTACCTAAGATTTTGAGGAATATTTCGGTTTCAAATGGGACAAAAATGCACGAATAGAGAAAATGAGCCTATGTACTTTTAATGAGATGTTCCCTTGTGACATTTGTTGCAGTGTTGATTACCTTGTAATGCTTTCTCTTTTATTTTCTCTCTTGTTGCGTCATTCCACCTCCTTGGCTGTGTAGACTGGATGACCGCACACAAACGTCTTCTGGAGATTCAGGTCGTCGTCAAAGAGCAGAAGGTCAGCTCGGTTGCCAACCTTGACGGAACCGATGCCTTTAAGGTTTGCAATCCTAAAAAAGAAGAAAACATTTAATGTCAGCACAGCGTTGTCCATTCTTTTTTCTGACTCTGTGATGGAGCCTGTGCTAATGTTGTACAAACCCGACCCGAAACTGAAACTGACCCGACCCAAAACCAACTTCAGGTCGGGTCGGTTTTTCCATCATTTCAGTCGAGTCGGGTTGATGTTGGTTTGGTGTTTATACAATTTTCGGGTCGGGGCGATTAAGCCATCTTCTGCAAAATCTTAAACAAAAGAGAAAAAAAAAAACCTGAAATTTTTTAGAAATTCACGCTGTGCAATATTATTGCAGAGTTTGTGTGCCCAATACGACCAACGCCAACCCACCGCGCAAATTAAATGTGCGTATGGTTTGCAGTCGATCACGTACAGTCTATAATGTGTAGGTCCATCAGTAGGTAAAGTTATGAGTCTTCACCGTACCGTACAGTATGATTCTTGAGACAATAAGCCCTACTGTCTAGCTTACAATGCACGACGATCCAATGAGCATGTTCGGGCGAGAACAAATAGTCGACTAGTGGTTGTTTCCTAACGTAACGTACGCCTGCGCACAACTAGCAATGCACAAACCGCTAGGCTGCTTGCGAATAGTGGACTAGAGCCGTCCAACCATCCTGTGTTCGAGTGAAGCTACTCGAAGTATGGTTACCCATAACCCTCGCTTGAACTGGCTCAAGATTGACCTACCTTGCAGGGTTTTCGGCCACCATCGCCGCTGCTTTGCCTATCCCCGTGTGGAACATCTTGACCAGGGATTTGAAGGCATCCAGACATGAGCAGCAACTGCCGGCGAGAGTCGTTGTGCCTTCGATAACAAGACACTTACCGTCTGCGGTAACTGTCACTGAGTGGAAAAAAAAAAATTACAAGGCAAGTTTAATAAACTTGGTCCAAGAGTGCAAAAACTTCCATTCAGTTGATTCAGAATGGCTGCTCACTGGAAGTCTTTTCATGCATCTGGTCTACACAATGGACCCGATTCAGCCCGTTCATTGGTGTTACGGGTGTAATCTAATACAATATAAACTTACTTTAACCCTAACTCCCTAGCAGGATTTACTAGGAACCATACCCATCCTGGCAAATTCCAACACCATATGGGAAACTGCACACACATATTTCTGACTTAGTTTCTGGAGGTGTGCCAACCCAATGTAAAAGACTGTCAGTTTAGGGGTACTGTACCCATCCTGACAGATTCCAACAAAACATGCTGTTGGGATTTGATGGGTTGAGCTCTGTTAGGGATAGCCCTGACAGTCCCGAATCCTCCAATTTTAATACGATTTTGCATACCCCCTAGGGAGTTAGGGTTAATGTAGAAAACAGAAAATTGTAGCCTTAACAGGATCATTAATTTCAATGTGTGTGATGGCCATTTTGGAAAACAGCGAACAATACCGCAAACGTTTGTCAGCGTTGTAGGCGAACGTTTGCATTGTTGGCCAAAGTTGCATGCACCCCCGAAGTGGAAAACTACTTACTGTCTCTATTGCTGTATGATATCTTCTTGTTGGGTATTGCCTCGGCAGTACAGTCCGATACAAACGCTACTTGATTAAAATGTCTGGAACTCAGCACATTGGACACAGCAAGAGGATGCCTGCACAAAAACAAATGGATAAATATTTCAGATTCTTTGACTTTAAACCAGAGTTGCAGTTAAATCCTTACGAGTCCATCACAAGTCATCACAGGTCATCACAAGTCCATCACACGTCCATCACAAGTCAATCATAAGTCATCACAAGTCAATGACAAGTCAATAGATCACTCACAAGTCTAATCACAAATCATCAGAAGTCAATCTTAAGTCAACCACAAGTCATTCACAAGTCCGTCACATACCTCGAACACAAGTCAATCACAAGTCATCGCAAGTCCATCAAAAGTCATCAGAAGTCAATCACAAGACAGTCACGACTTGACTTTAGACTTTAGAAACAACTCTTCTTTCATTTTCATCACAAATTCACTAATAACCTATCATATCAATCTGCCTTATTTATATTTGTTATCTCTTTTCATGTAAGATCCAATAGATTTTGGTTGACAAAATAAAAGTCTCCAATGGCAAAAACTAGCTGGACTTACACGTGGACCATGTCTCCAATGATTTCTACGGTTGGTGGCGCTAGCTTTTCATACCCTGGTAGCGACGGGAAACGGTCAGTCATTCCAAAGTTGACCAGACTAGGGTTTCTGCAAACAAACAAGTGCGAGTGCACAATAAGCTCTGGCCGTCTTGCATGATAGGCGCCCTCGAGGCCTCCCATGTGAAAGTCCCTCAGTCTCCCATAGAATATTGCGTGCTTTTTCGCGTGGTAGTATAGTGCGCTGTATACCATGTGACTTTAACATTACTGCACAATGCACATATCTTGCCTCCATTTACAAAATTTTCATAAACAACTTCATGAATTGTTACAAATAATTTTTGTGAAGTATTTAATTTATTTTGTTTGCTTGTTTTGCGAAAATTTAAATTTGGTATTTTATGGGAAACTTAGGGGGCTCGTTTTTGGTCAATTTTCCAGGGACAGACCGACTGACCGACAGTAAGTACATGTACCAAGGCATTCAGAACAGGCCTTCGAAACTTCAATATCATTTTTAAATTTGAGGAATCCTCAGGGTTTTTTTTATATTGAAGACGTTCAGTGCATGAAGCTGTATTAATAAATACCTTGGAGAGTTGATGGTTTCTGATTGGTCGAGACTCGATCACGTGGGTGTGTATTAACGGTGATATAAAGACCGGCTTCAAAGAACAAGCGAAAAAATGGCCCCTGAACCAGCATTGATCCAGCCCCATGGAAGGCAATGATTGGCCAAATTTACAACAGTCATACGGCAGCTTGTAACAATACAGCACTGCACTTCGTCTCGGTCCATTAACAGCGGTCACCCCCGGCCCCAAAGCCGGTCATTATCACGCAGTGAAGACCAGATACTCACACTGTTATTCCCTTATTATGGACAACTCACCTATGATGAAAACTACAGACATTGAATAGATGTGTGATGTGGAACTGAACCGACGGTTTGATCTTCAGCGCTCCTAGAATCTCTTGTTCCGTGGCTAGTCTGTCATGGCCTAATGCTGGCACAATGCCCCTGGAATACATCAATTATTTTTACACAGATGGTTAAAGGGAAACACAAAATGCAGGACTAAATGTTTTGCATTATTTTGGCGTGATACAATCAACAGATGATATATATGATAGTAAGAATTTAAAGAGCTCTTGTATTAGATTTTTTTTAATGCAATCTTTTAAAGGTACCTTTGTGCCCGATTTAAGTTTATTTTCAATTTTCATTTTGCCATTTTTGCAAGAGTATTTGGTGCTTTTGGTTTTTATACTTATGTAAATTTCCATATTCATGAGCAAAACTGTGACGTCATTCTAGGCATGAACTTCAATATTAAAACTGCATCGGCATCAAGAGTTGCCAGAAATCCTGCAAAATCCTCCATAGCCTACTGGAGGATTTTGAAGAATCTAGGATGTTAAGGGTCAGAGGACACAAATGAATGCCCAAACTGCCCACTCACCTGTCTAGAAGCATTTTAATCCGTTCATAGTTATTCTTGGCGTCTACGTGTGGACTGATAGTCATGATGCGACAACTCGGCATGGCGTCCAGAATGTTTTTGAAATCTGGAATCGACATCTCGTTATCTCCTACGGGGAGGCCACCAAAGTCGTTGACGATTGGGCCCTGCAATAAAAAAATGTATACAAAAAAATAAACCACATTTTGTTTTTAAGACACAGAAATCAATGTTTTGCAGAAACACTATGCGAAGTGTATCTAAAAGAGAGGTGATTCCGAAAAGACTGGTCGACGTGCTCCAAAGCAGCTGTGACAGAAACACAGACAAAAGGTCGAAAATGCATTTCTTTTGTGATTCAATGTTTGACTCAACAATTGTGATGCGATTATAAGATGGAATTTTTTTTTTTTTTTTTGCGTCGGGGTGATATAAATCAAATTAGGTTTTGCCCTTCACCGACGTTTAAACACTGTATACTCAGTGTGTTACCTCCCGAGTGAAAGATGGAGGTAACACACTGAGTATACAGTGTTTAAACATCGGTGAAGGGCAAAACCTAATTTGAAATTGTGATGCGATCAAGCTAACTGACTTGTTTGTCGGGAATTTTTATTTGGAGATACAGGCCAAAATAAGATCACTTCATCACATCACTTCATGACATCTTTTGGTGTTCCGACTTCCATAATTTTTGAACTAAAGATAGTTTCAGCATGTGGTTTTCACAGCAGTAATGCTGAGATTGTGCTCTTTTCAAATCTGTAAAAAAATAAAAATTGACCAGGGTCGACAAACGACTCATGTAGCTTGATCGCATCACAATTTTGTTTAGGGGGGGCAGAGGGGGGACAAAGAAATACTTTTGGGCAGTCAAAATAATTATGGTATTGGACAACTGTGTGCACAGAACCAAAATTTCACTCTGTACCCTCAAAAAGAATTTGGTATAGCTGGGTGTACCTTCTTTAAAGAGGTTGTGGAATGCTCGAAGACATTTCCGTCATTTTTTGGGTATATGTAGCCTAAGGTGTGATGAAATAAAAACGACTATTGTTTCTGTCATGAAATGAGTACAAAGGGTACTTTTGAGAGCTATTTTTCAGGTCCTGTTTCGACCCGAACGTGCAATTTGTGTAAAAGTCGTCGTTGCGGGCAGCAAACAAAACACAGTAAATCGTGGCGTAATAAACAGGACTCGTTTATGCTACTCTGCATCGGGAGTCCTGTTTATTACGTCACGATTTACTGTGTTTTGTTTGCTGCCCGCAACGACGACTTTTACACAAATTGCACGTTCGGGTCGAAACAGGCATGACAGGACTTGAAAAACAGCTCTCAAAAGTACCTTTTGTACTCATTTTATGACAGAAACAATAGTCGTTTTTATTTCATCACACCTTAGGCTACATATACCCGAAAAATGACGGAAATGTCTTTGAGCATTCCACAACCTCTTTAACCTCACTGTGCATTACAAGTAGTTGGGTGGGGCATGTCTCCCACCGGTGCCTGAATGCACTGACAGACTCCCACATGGATGTGTGGAATTCTGTGTTTTACAAAAAATGTATTTTGTGCGAGTTAGTTTTCATTGAAGTTGGTTAGGGAAGAATGCTAAATATTGGATATTTTCAAATCCTGTAATTTCGTTTGTTAACAAACCTCTGCATGTATGCCTTCGCAGGTTGACCCCTGACCTGTCTCCCCTACGATTCCTTCAAGGATTTTCAACGTGTTGAAGACGGAATGAGATTGAAGGTCCTTTGGGAACACCATGGACGCGAGGAATGAAGTGACGCCATACTTGATGAGACGCGATTGCGTGTAAGCTGCAAAGAATTGGAATTAACCTAAGTGTCGAATTTCTGTGAATGATTGTATCTAAAGCGACATTAAGACAACTTCAAAACCGAAAAATAGATATGTTGTAATTATGATATTGCATTTTCCTTTCACCAATGCAATGTTTTTGTGTGTATGTTTTGATAGTCTTTCATATCTCTTTAAACCAAAAATTTTCATCATACAGAATACATGTGTGATCGGTGGATTTGCACTATCGCTTGATCGCGCAGAAATGCTTGGGCATGATCGGACAATCCCGTAGGAAATCTCAGACTTTACTTCTCTTTTATCAAACAATCCTCCGGAGCCATGAATTAAAAAGGAAAGGTGATAGCAGAATTGACTGATAGTGGCACGATCGACTGACAGTGCAGTGCCATCGACCGATAGCGCAGCATGATTGGTTGATAACGTAGATCTATCGATAGCGCCCAACATAAACAGGCATTTTAGAAATTCGATTTCGTACCTGGGTTGCTCCAAAACCGAACCAGGTCATCAGCTCCACCTGCAAAAAAAATTACAAATAGCCAAATAGTGACTGAAGATGTGGCTTAAAGGTAGGGTACATGTAGGTCATTTGTGCTCAAAATCTAAAGACAAGTGCTTAACAACTAACCTGATTAAGTTTAAATAGCTCAGTAAATGCTGTACAATCCAAGAAAACAATATTCTAGGATCTCAATTTCATTTACAGAGTCATGTTTTGAATTGCGCCTGAAATCAGCATCCGGGACACGTTTTCAGCCGATTGCAGCTACGCGATGTCACGCACTGAACCGACGAATAATAGCAACTGCGTGTATGTGCGATGCGTCGTGTCAACGCTTGCGCGCACCTGTTCATGTATTCGGCCGAACTACAAACCAGTCCAGAAATTTCCAAAAATGCGTCACTTGAAGCACTTTGGAAATTGCCTTCTTTTGTTGTTTTCTTCAAAATGACAGCATGCCATGATACCAGAAAGAATAATTTCACAGGGAGTTTATTGCCAATCAAATGAGGTTTTTGTCCTTCACCGACGTATAAACACTGTATACTCAGTGTGTTACCTCCCAAGTGAAAGTTGGAAAAATCACTAGGGTGAGACTCGAACCCACGACCTCCTGCTTTCAAGTGCAGATGTCTTACCACTCGACCACCGAGCTAACGGGATCGGTTGGCTGGTTCGAATCTGATGTACATAGCAGCGGGTACCGCATTTACTATTCATAAGATGGAATTTTGCATCGGGATGATTTAAATCAAATTAGGTTTTGCCCTTCACCGACGTATAAACACTGTATACTCAGTGTGTTACCTCCCGAGTGAAAGTTGGAAAAATCACTAGGGTGAGACTCGAACCCACGACCTCCTGCTTTCTAGTGCAGATGTCTTACCACTTAGTTTATTGCCATTACTAACTTGAAACCAAATAACCTTTTCAACAATAATTTTATCAGTTACTTTTTGGATAGCTGCAAATGATCTACTCTGCCTTTAACTGTTTCAAAGCTCAATCTTCTGCAAATTACTGAGTGGGCCCAACCTACACCTACTAATACTGGTTTAAGTAAAGCAGACTGGTTTATTCAAACAAGCCCCCCCCCCTCCCATTAATCATTTTGGTTTGTCTTCCAGCAAATATGCTCACTTAGTCCATGGTGATGTATATCGACGAAGCCTGGCGTGACAATATCCGCATAATAATGAGTCTTGGTGCTCTTCACAAGATCAGCCTCTTGGTCAAAAATCGCTGCGATAAAAGGGATGAACAAATGACAAAAATCAAACTTTATGTAACAAATTATTTGTAGCCTTACAATTACATGTAGCTCTAGCAAAGTCTGTGATATTTGGCAGCTAGACCCTGGTTTTCTTTTAGCATGTTTAATCAACATTATTTTTCCGGCGGCTTTCTCTGATTGGCTCATTACATCTTAGTGGCCGCGCCGGCTTTCTTTGATTAGTGTTAGTAAACATTACTTTGCCAGAGGTCAAAAGAAAGTTAGTGCAGCCAATAATTATGACAATATTAGCCCTTTCATTATTGAAACTATTTTAGCCATTTATTATTAAAATAGTCCTGCTTCAGATTACATGGTATTTGAAAATAGGGTAGGCCTAGGTAGGTAGGGAATTTTTGGGTTTTTTTTGGCAAATATTTTTGTGTACGATTATATGGAGATGTCTGCAAACATGTATACTAAAGGGTAATACTAATAGGTAGTAATTGATGGTTTTCAGGTTTTTTCCTCCATTTTTCGCCCCAAAAATTTAGGGTAGGGGCTGTCAAAATAGGGTAGGTAGGGTAACTGGAAGCAGAACTATTATTTTTTTTGGCCTTGTACATCAGCCAATAATTAGAGAAAGCCTCTGTGACAATAACGTTTACTAGTATTAGTATTACAGGAAACTGGTGCTAGCCAAATACCCACTGCCTATGTTTAACAAACCATGCATTTGGAACAAATGAAGCTGACTTATTTTTCAGGCCAACAATTTAATTTTATAATAGGTTAAAATAAAAAAAAACGAAGTGGCTATCGTTACGGCAGCCGTTGTTTAGCGCCCTCTACGATACTTTTTTGATACGCACGCAGGTATATAATTATTTGTTTCCCCACGTTTTAGCGAGCAGTGCGACAGCTAAGTCGATAGAGGGTAGGATTTTGCACCGCGAGGTTGCGGGTTCGCATCTCAGTTTTGCACTCGATTTTTTTTCCTTTTCTAACCTGAGGCTTGGGAGGATTTTTTTAAAAAGGGAAATAAAGTCCGAATTTCATAATGTTCAAATTCACTTTTTTCCTTCTAATTTTAATTCTTCTCATGTTTTTGTAAAAGTTGCAGTCTACCGTAACGATAGAAAAAGGGAAATGCGTTACGGCTGCCGTAACGATAGCCACTGCGTAAAAAAAAACAACACTAGGCCATGATAAATCTCAATTAAGTCTAAAATTTGTCTAATAATATAATAATAGTTTACAACTAATTTACATTCACTAAATTAACACAAAGTCAGACCCTCATTAGTTTAACAATATCATGTTCGATTTCCACTGTTTTGCATAGTGTATAACTGAGTAGTGACTCTTCTGTTTTCATTTCTATTTCTAATGAAAAAACTACATTATTATTTTGTTTGACAAAAACAATATTAAAACTTGGGTTAAAATCATCAAAGCGCGAGGTGGCGCCCTACACATCAACCATACAAAAAAATCTAGTTCTCACCAGATATTTTTCCATCTTCGACGATGATATGCACTTTCCCCTCCAATGTTTCACCGCCAGGCAGAGCTAGCTGTTTGCACGTTATGCAGACAATGTCATCTTCCATTTTTAATGTTAAAAAATCATAAATTTAACAGCTAAAATTCGGTGGAAATTTATCGCCAACTACCGCGATCTGTCCGACTTGTATTTGTTTTCGTTGCGTGACCTTTGACACAGTTTCTTCGGATCTTAATGCAGGTACCGCATTGAACGTGCAAAGACGACAGCAGAAAACGTATCCGAAGCCGAAATCAATAAGTAGATTCGTGGACGTGATTTGTGAGTTGGAACGGCATACGGGAAGGTGCGGATTTTCTCTCCCAAATTTGGCTGAATTCTCGTCAGCAATCCCTCCACAAGATGAATGCGGAGGTAGAGTTCCACATCAGGAATAATTATCCGTGGTCTAAATTACCGGCAAATGTCAAACAGGTAGGCCTTAATTAAATTAATTTTGGACATTTCTAAACATGCTAAAGTTAGTTACTCCTACTCCTAGAACACTATGAGGCTCCGCGTGTCTCCGCTCACGCGGAGCCTCATAGTTCTAGGAGTAAAAGTTAGTTTCCTTTTAAAAAAAAATTATATTTCACGTTTCTAACAGCATCAGTATGGCACTGCATACACTGGCAATTTATTTTGGGGCATGAATAATTATGATGCATGTGATTTCAGTAACACTTTTTCTGGAAAAAATGTTGCAACTTGACGCCACTTTTTTCTTCATATCATATCATCTCAATGAAGGTCAGTCATTGCAAAAATGATGATAAATCATTCATATTCATAAGACATGAATCTGGAGAAACATTTCCAAGTTTGTTAGGAAATACTTCGGAAATTTTACACAACCGCTGAAGTGGCGTCAGGTTGCAACATTTTATCCGACGCTGGTTTACAGAAGTATGGCACTCATGGCATTTTTGTTACAAATGGATCCCCCTCCCCAAAAGTATTTATTTTGGGTCCTACTAAAGCGCGTCAACAAGCGTCAACAAGCGTCAACAAGCGTCAACAAGTTTTAGTAGTCGTTAAGTGCGCGTCAACAAATTTTTTATAGTCTTTTGAACAATAAAAACAGCTTTATATGGTAGAAAAAGCAATAATGAACATCTTCTGCATATCAATTAAAGTTAAAATTATTTTAAAACTTGGTTTTTTAAACGCGAAATGTACGACGAATTTGTCGATAAAAGTTGGCCGCCATCTTGTTTATGTGTAGCTAGCCGTACTACGCATGCGTGAAGTGTAAAGAGCCATACTACGCATGCGCGAAGTCTACAGCGCCATCCAAACAAGATGGCGGCCTACTTTTATCGACAAATTGGTCGTACATTTCGCGTTCAAAAAACCAAGTTTTAAAATAATTTTAACTTTAATTGATATGCAGAAGATGTTCATTATTGCTTTATTGTTGACGCTTGTTGTTGCTTGTTGACGCTTGTTGACGCGCTTTAGTAGGACCGTTTATTTTCAACGAAATGGCTATCGTTACGGCAGCCGTTGTTTAGCGCCCTCTACGATACATTTTTGATACGCACGCAGGTATATAATTATTTGTTTCCCCACGTTTTAGCAAGCAGTGCGACAGCTCAGTCGATAGAGGGTAGGATTTTGCACCGCGAGGTTGCGGGTTCGCATCTCAGTTTTGCACTCAAATTTTTTTCCTTTTCTAACCTGAGGATTTGGAGGATTTTTTTAAAAAGGGAAATAAAGTCCGAATTTCATAACGTTCAAATTCACTTTTTTTCCTTCTAATTTTATATTTTCTTCTCATGTTTTTATAAAAGTTGCAGTCTACCGTAACGATAGAAAATGAGAAATGCGTTTCGGCTGCCGTAACGATAGCCACTGCGTATTTTCAAAATGTAGGCTAGGCTAGTTCAAACATTAATGCATGTTTTGATTTTGCGGAAAGAATGTAGGACACCACTACTTTGGGTGTGTACAAAGTCTACGGTGAGTCGAGTGTATTTCAAAACTTTTCTCTATAATTTAATAAAAGGATGTGACGTTTACACATTTAAAGGTTTAAACAAACACAAGACTAAATCTCTTTACAAATTTTCCAAAACATTTAAACGAAACCCAAATTATAAAAAAGGGACCTACGAAATGTACGTTCACCATTCACGTAGTCTTCCTTTGAGTTAAGCCTACTTGGCAGAAATAATTAATGATGTTTTCAAACCTATTTCATTTACAAAACCTTCGAAGCACTTCTCAATACTTGATTACATTCGGGGCACACATGTGTGTAGTTAAGTTTTTACTTTTTCAGTGACTGCCATTGTTGATTTAACATATCAATCACACACCCGTCTACAGACGTAATGAGCATGCATCAGCCTTTGTGAATGGCTGAACGTTTAAACGGTTCTAAAAAAATATCTGCTAAACGTTTACAAAATTAAGTGCAAAGTCACATCCACAAAATCGGAAATGTTTCTCGGTCCCAGATTCATGTCTTTTCAACATTTTTGCAATGACTGACCTTCTTGAGATAATAATATGATGAGAAAACTTGGGTCAGGATGCAAGATTCTTTCTGATCTTAAATTTAATCTTTTATCCTCAGGTTCTGGGGCAGTCACAGAAAGAATATGAGAAGTTAGTTGTCAACTTCAGCGTCAAGAATCAGCTACGATACAAAGGAAATCTTGGTACGGAAAATGTTTCATGTCTAATTTCTCCTTTAATATTTTAAACAAAGTTTTTTTGGGGAGGGGGGATTTTGATGGAGTAAATGTTCAGTTAAAAATTTGAATGAACATGTTCTTGTGTTTTGCCCAGTGCTCTTGACCTTCATGTACGTAGACATTTTGAAATGTTAGGAAAATGAAATTGTTCATGCATTTACATGTAGCCAATTAAAGATTTAAATAATTTATTTGACTGACTGATTTTTAGACCATAAATGATGCTGTATTGTAGACAACCGTAGATGCCTGAAAATACAGGACCAAATTGCTGGACGGTTTTGAGGTTTCTTTTATAAAAACTTCAGTAATATTAAAATCCACTTTTTAATATGCATCTTTTATGCCTTGTTACCTTGTTAAGCCCCAACTACAGGTATGCATGTAGCAATGGCCCTAACTATGACCATCCTAACTATAGTTGGGGAAGTCACAACTGTACTTGGGGCAATCTTGACTATAGTTAGCGTTACCCTACTTCAAGAACTGTAAGGTTTATACAGAAAGACCAATAGAAGTTGCTTCCACAACAAAGTGTCAATTTGATATATTCATTTTGCAAACATTCCTACCACAACATTTTTGGCCCCAGTATTATGCATTATCTTGATCTGGCCACGTACATGTATCTAGGCGCTGGTTCAAAATCCCTGAAATGTCACACAAAAGGTGAAATTTACAACAGTTTCGCTTACCGAGATCACGCGAATATCCACTCGGTTGTCTGTCATCGTGGGCTGTCGACTGCGGGCACTTTAGCTCTCTTGACTAACTACAGCGCGGCTTTCATTTTACGGCATGAGATCTTGTTGGCAGCTGTGCTAGGAATTACAAACGAAATTGACAAGTTTCCACCGCAGCAACTAGTATTAGCCTTCTTGTAAGGTCGGTAACACCTTACAGTTCTGGAAGTAGCAGTACGCAAACTATAGTTTGGACGATGCTAAAGTTGGAGCGTAACACTTTTATCTAGAAAAACAAGTGTGAATTCAAAGCAAACACAACGAATTTCACCCAACCAGTGCATTTTTACTGCCTTTTTCCCCACAGTGCGCACCGTGCGACGCGATGAGAAGAAATACTATGAGGAACTGCTCAAATACAGCGCCGATCACTTGATGTTGTACCCCTACCATCTGTCCGATATCATGGTCAAGGGGCTACGCAACACTCCGTTCTCCTACTACCTGAGGATGATGCACGGTATTATGTCGGGGGAAAAGAGCTACGATTCCTTGCCGAACTTCACCGCTGCGGATTGTAAGTGAAATAAGAACCCTGAATATTGGAACCCTGAATATTATGGGCTCCGTGCACAAGTACCCCCTCAACAGTTACAAAGGGAGAGTTGGGGGAGACCACTGGGAGAGACATTCAAACGCATCACTGACTGCGCCTGACGCTCAGGCAAAGAGGCTATGGGTTTGTGCTAGTGTTGTGCATCGGGTCGGTTTGACCAGGCCAAACCCAAAAATTATAGATATAATGAAACATTAACCCTAACCTTCCCAAATCCTCCATAATCCTCTTTGCAAAAATGGAGGATTTTGCAGTGACTGAGGCTATATGGCAAAAAAATGTGCGGCTGATTTTGGAGGATGCACTGTGTCAAGGTCTTGGGCCGGACCTTGTGTTGTTTTTGCTCAGCCATGCATAAATATAGGCCTGGAATATGCTTGAAACCCTCCGTACTGCTCCAGGATGTCACTGGCCAAGCCTCAACATATTGACTGTCACTGCCGCAGGATTTTGCAGGATTCACCCCTCCACGGACCATATTCAAGAAACAATGGAGGAATTTGCAGGATTGAGGCTACATGCTGTTTTTCCATGAGGCCAATTGGAGGATTTTGCAGGATTGAGGCTACATCCTAGCAAAAAGGCCCAGGGAGTTAGGGTTAAAGATATAGAGCTGTAGACAAGGCTTCGTTAGTGTTGGCTCCGTGCACAAGTAACCCCTCAACGGTTACAAAGGGAGAGGTTGGGGGAGACCACTGGGACATATGTACATTTGAACGCATTACCAACTGTGCCTGATGCTCAGGCAAAGACGCTATGGGTTTGCCCACATTGAGAATCACATGAGTCATGCATACTTTGTGCCATACACGCGAATACCAGTACGTGCATTGCGCATTTGATGTGTCCCTCCAACTTTAAAGTCCATTAACTCTAACCTTCCCAAATCCTCTTTGCAAAATGGAGGATTTTAAAGTATTAATGCTATAAGGCAAAAATGTGTGGCTGAGTTTGGAGGATGCACTGTGTCAAGGTCTTAGGTTGGACCTTGTGTTGTTTATGCTTAGCCGTGCATAAATTTAGGCCTACATTATACTTGAAATCCTCTGCACTGCTCCAGGATGTCACTGGCTCTGCCTCAACATATTGACAGTGATTGCTGGAGGCTTTTGCAGGATTGAGGCAGTGGTCACCCTCCACGGACCACATTCAAAGAGTAATGGATGATTTTGGAGGATTGAGGCTGTATGCAATTTTTTACATGGAGGCAGTTGGAGGATTTTGCAGGATTGAGGCTATGTTATTTTTACATGGTGGCAGTTGCAGAATTTTGCAGGATTGAGGTTGCATCCCAGCAAAAATGCCAGAGGGAGTTACGGAATGAATGCCTCATTTCAAACATGTCAAAAAGGATTGTCGCTGAATGACTATTTATTTTGTAATTATACTGGATATCTTCAAATACTGCTTCTGGATATCATCTACATTGCCTCAACATATTGACAGTAATTGCTGGAGGATTTTGCAGGATTGAGGCAGTGATCACTCCTCCAATTAAAAAAAACGGCAAGAAATAACGGATGATTTTGGAGGATTTGAGGCAGTATCTTATTGTTATGTGGAAGCATTTGGAGGATTTAGCAAAAGGGCAAGAGGGCTTGGGTTAATGTTGGAAGGTGTACGAGTTTCATTTGCAAATAACTGAACATTTGTTTGTTTTGTTTATATACACAGGTTTGAGACTGCTTGGCATAGGGCGTAACCAGTACATCGACATCATGAATCAATGCAGATCCTCCAAGGTATGTGATGCGTCCTTCAAGCTTCTAAACTTATTAAATTTCTGCTTTGAAAAACACTTTTTTTTTTAAAGTCACCAATTTTTAGCTAACAGACTTTATGCCCTATAAGGCAGAATTAGAAGGCAGTGAATTTGTATTTGGGTTATTCTATAAAATTAGGGTCTAAAGTGTGACATTTTTCCTGCCCCTGTTACCTTGATACTTTGTAATTTGGCATTCAAGAATGACTTCCAATGAGTTTTTTTTGGTTGGGTTGGTAGTTTGCTATTCATAATCACTCTTGGAGGGTGATTGCATTCAGAAGTGCATCAGAAATTGTAAATGTAACAGGGATGGCAAAGAAGGTTGACTCCCAAACTTGTAAAATGACCAATATTCCGGATCGGCATGAGTAAAGCTTGTGTGCGTTTGTTGTAACAAAATTAAAAGAACATCAAACACCCTCTGAGATACACGCAATGCATAAGATCTGTTGCCATTTTTCATTTTTTTCTTCGCAATAGCACTTCTCAATTCTGACTCAAAATTGCTCTTTTGATTTTTGCTGCTTCATTAAATTTCCTTTTTTTAACATTTCTGCATTTTTTTTCTTCATATAAACCACAGTGGTGCATTTTAGTAATTTTTAAGATGAGCAAAGAAATTGACAGGAGCGGGGATTAAACCTGTTACCTCCGGATTACCGTACAGGTATTGGGCGTAGCAGGTAAACCGGCCCGGGTTGCAGGTTCAAAACCTCACTACAGTTGATTTCTTCGTTCAACTTTTAAAATTATTTCTGCATGGTGCTTGCTTTCTTCGAGCATCCAACTTCACCCGTACCCTGGTTCTTAAGACATCTTCGGTTCAACACTAGCTTCGATAGCTTGTTTAGTCAAGAAGAGAGTAGGGGCGGAGTTGGGGGGGGGGCGGGACTTTGCGACTGAGATTGCAATAATGCAGCTAACCTCTTCATTTCGAAAAGGCAGAAGATGATTTTTTTTTTGCTTAACACTGATCATAATGTCCACTTTTTATTAAATTAAGCTCTCATTAGTTTTTGAGAGCACTGCCACAATACACAAAGTAGTAGATCAGCACCTTTTTTTTGTTTTTTTGGTGCACGTCTGTTTGTCTGGTTGCATCTGTTTTTCTCTTTGTTCATGCATAATTCACCCCTCATGTCCGTTACTGCACTGCTTTTCAGCCCTCTCTCAGTCGAAGTGGAAGCTTCAATGTAAGTCCGCCCTCTTAATTGTGCTTTGCCACGCCTCTCAGTTTTACGTCATTGTATGGTAGCATTTTGGAGCTGTGCCTTGTTTATGCTGCTTTGGTAGACAGCAGTATGTGACCTAGACTTTGAAAGCTGAAGTTTCTGTACTTGTCTTTTTTTTTCTTTTTTTTAAAGAGAACGCCAACAGTTTTAAAGTGAAACTAAGCATGCATTAGGCAAAAAAATAGTTCTGCTTCCAATTACATGGCATTCGAAAATCGGGTTCGTTCATGTGGGAATTTTTTTTAAATTTTGTTTGTGTATGATCATATGGAAGCGTCTGTGTGTTGTCAAGGGTAAAAGGTAGTAATTGATGGTTTTTGGTGTTTTTTTTTCCTAATTTTTTCCATAAAACATTAGGGTAGGGTGTCAGAACAGGGTAGGAAACATGAAGCAGAACTATTATTTTTTTGGGCCTAATTTGGATTTTTTTTTACAAATAATTGATGGTTTTGGGTGTTTTTTTCCCTAATTTTTTCCATAAAACATTAGGGTAGGGTGTCAGAATTGGGTAGGAAACCGGAAGCAGAACTATTATTTTTTTGGGCCTAATTTGGATTTTTTGTTACAAATTTTTTTTTGACAGATTTTTTTAGCATTTTGTTTCTTTGACAATGTTATTTTTGTTTTTAATTCATACCTTAACACATTTCTTCACCTTCTGCCCATTTGTGCGTGAGAGTTACGAGGGCGTTTCAACAAATGTTGTCACTTGGTCTGTATTTTTTCATACCAGCTACATTGAAGGGATGCAATGGGTATTTTAGAAAATGCAAGTCTGGTATGGAAAATATGGACCAAGTTACAAAACGTTTTGATCCGCTCTTCTTGAATTTGTTTACAGTTAGTTTTATGTATTATTGCACGTTATGTACAGTATGCAAATGAAATCTTGTTTTAGTCATTTGAAATGTTTTGTGGAATGTATTGTGATTTGAGTTTAGTGTGTTGAATCACTTTTTTATCATGTTTATGACTGAAAAATAACTTACAGATGAAATGTTGAAATTCTTTCTCAGTAATTTTTTGCATGGCTTCATTTCGTAAACAGTGTAACACATTAGAAATCAATTTTAAAGGCAAATTTCAGTATTAATATTAGTTCATAAGTTATCATGAGCATGTAGCAAGCAAAGGAGGTGTTCCTTGATTTTTCTTTCGAATACTTCAACTGACTATTTATAGTTTGTTTTTTCTAAAAATTGTTTTTGGTCTTGAAGAAATTTTTTCGACGTCGTCCAATCAAAGATCTCCTGCCAGTCAAGCCAATCGACAGTATAGTCCTGGAACCTTGGTGGATTGTGCAAGCCGGCTACATCACGGAAGATGACATCAAGGTAAAAATAGTTCAAAATGCTGTCGATTTCCGATCTTTTTTTTATTTGTTTAAAATTTTGTTGGGGGGTAACATTATTTGCTTTTCCTGTGACCGAGATCTTTTGAGTAATAAGGTAAGTAAACAATCTTAAGTATGACATTTTGGCAACTTCCAGATGAATGTGTACCTTTAACCCTAACCGCCCTGAGTCCTCCAAAATCCTTTTTGCAAATTGGAGGAATTTGCAGGATTGAGGTTACATGGCAAATGTGCGTTGCTGATTTCGGAGTACGCACTGTGTCAAGGTCTTGGGCTATATGCTATTTTTCCATGGGGCCAATTGGAGGATTTTGCAGGATTGAGGCTACATCCTAGCAAAAAGGCCTAGGGAGTTAGGGTTAATGTGTGGGCAATTCCAGTGTATGAAAGGAAGTATAAGTCCAAAAAAAAAAGTCTCCGGTTTCTGGTATGGAGCTTGTCCAAAAAGTGGTGCGGCGACGCGGCTTTTTTTTTTTTTTTTTCCCCCTGATTTTTTGCTTCAAATGTCGGCTGATGACTGCAAATGGTGCCCGACTAAACTTAGTGCAAATATATGGGAGTCCAGAGAGGCCACATAAAGCTTATTTTCGACCACAACCCAATCTAAAAACACGTTAAAATTGTGCAGCAGCAGGATTCCAGTCAAACCAGTGAGTTTGGCGGTTTTGAGACATCATCTTTCATTGAAAAAAAAACGTTTTCATTTTGCCGACGTGCATGGCTACGGCGACGAGCGCATACCAGAAACCGGTGACTTTTTTTTTTGGGCCTAATGTCAACAAGGCCAGCCCAGCAGTTAAAATAAATCAAGTGAGTGTTTTTAATAGTTGAGTGATCCTTTCCTTCATAAAGCAGGATTGACTGGCTGTGATTGTTATGAAACCTGATATAGCTATGCTTTGACTGTAGGAGACTGATAAGCCAGCTGTGCCTACCAGTCACCTGCTTTTAGTCTGTTGATGGAATTTGACTAGTCACAGTGCCTACAAGAAATATGACCTGACTGTTGGTGACTAGCCTGTGTAAAAGGATGGCAGGGGAACAGGATTGACATTTTGACTGTCTGTGACCGATCTAACAAAAGGGTTAAAACATGACATTTTGGCGACCTCAGATGAATACTGTATCTTAAATGTACATCTGAGTCATGTCAAGATATTCAAGATATTCTTTCCAACTCTCTGTGGTACACTGATATGTCTGAAAAGTTTTGTCAATCTAGAATTTTGTTGTACAATCATTTGCAGGCTGTTTCAGTGTCGGAAAAGATCGCTATTGATAAGATCATTGATGTAGGCCCACAACTCTCTGGCACGCTGGATTACTACATTGTACATAGTAAGTCAACTGATATAGTGTGTTTTAACTAAAATCATATGAACTAACTTATTTTTTTAATGTACCGATGGGGTAATATGCAGTGTTGGAGGTCTCGAGGCCGGCCTCGGCCTCGAGGCCGGCCTCGAGGCCGATTTTCATGGCCTTGGCCTCGGCCTTGGCCTCGGAGGTGCAAGGCCTTGGCCTTGGCCTTGGCCTCGGAGCCTTCCGGCCTCGGCGAATCGGTCGAGGCCGGCTCGAGGCCGCCCATTTTGATGAGTTTTCTATTCTAATTAATTTTAATTTTTTACCGTATCAAACCCTCGAGATTCTGCCGCAGTGGGTTCCGTGAAACGAACGCATATACAATGTACGCACGAATGAACTGGAAATGGTTGCATTGAACGTACTCACGTACGTGTACGTAGCATCTTCGCCTAGCCTGCGCTTCAGCTTTCTACGTGCGTGCAAACGTTATAACTGTTACCGCGTGCCAGACTACATAAGTCTGGCACCAATTCCATCTGCGTACAATAACATGTGGTAGTAGACTAGTCTGGTTGCAGTATTGTACAACATTTTCTCGTTTCGCCTCTGTACCCCGACCTTTAAAAATGATTTGCGGCAAGGTGCGGCAAGCTTAATTATTTTTTTTTATAGGCCACTGTTTTAAGTAAAAGTCTGAACTTTCTGGGTACGATCGAGTGTACTGGTCCGTACCATTTTTTTTTCATAAAGATATGAAAAACGGTTTCGATTCATCAAGTAGATTTTATTTTTACACGGTGATTTAAATGAAAGTTCCGGCTCACACGGTAATGTTTGGCGCAAATGGTCGATATGGAAAGCGCGATTTCAGAATTCGTTTTTCCATCCAAATGAATGCGAAGTTCTGAATGAATGTTTAAATAATAGGAGTCAGTATTCCTCGTGGTACCAGGATACTTTTTTTGTATTTTTAGAGCCATGTTGATACTTATTACATGTATAAGCACGGTTTAAAATTGACTAATTTTGCGTGGTTACAGAAATACGGCCAAAACATCTGGACTCCCTACCTCTTGCCATGATCTTAAAATTCTTCGAAGCCATTGGATTCAAATCGGATGATCCGAGAATTCATGGTCATTTGATGAACTGAGTGATTTCATGCACGCATGTTCCGTGTTGCCGTGTTGTTTGGAGTGGGATTGGTCATTGCCAGACTTTGTCTGGTACCGCGGTATTTATAACAGTGATAATGCGTGGACACTTATCCCATTGTGTGGAGCGGGATTGGAACTATGCTTTGCCCGTGCGTAACGGCGGGCCGTCTGGCATTGTCTGGTCGCATCGCGGTGTTTCCTCGGCGCGCGCCTGGACAGTGCGAAGGTCGGGGGGGGGTCGAAACTTTTTGGTTATGAGTGGTAAAAACCTGATTCAAAAATCAAGTTGTTGTTTATTTAATGGGGATTCCTATGATATTAAGCATTTTGATAGGTTTTGAAAATAAGATTTATAAAACATGCTAAAAGTAAATAATGTAAATCTGACAGAATAAAAACTCAAAATTTGGCCATTTAAATTGTTGTATCTCCAAAGGGCAAACACCTATGAGCCTGATTCAAACGCCATTGATTTTGTTGTGCAATTTGCTTTCAGTGATACAAAACTTGAGATTTCTTACTTTAAAAAATAAAATTCGCGGGACTCCCTACAAGAGGAAATTACCCTATGCAAGCTGTAAAATGGTAAGCCAGGCACTCCAAAACTCAGTGAATTCAAATAAAAATATGTTAAAACTCCAACATAATCTTAGCCTTGTTTTAGTGATTTATATTTTATTACATGTTTTGACAGCCGGCCTCGGCCTCGGCCTTGGCCTCGGAGGTGGTGGCCTCGGCCTTGGCCTTGCGGTTGTGGCCTTGGCCTCGGCCTCGGCCTTGGCCTCGGAGGTTGTGGCCTCGGCCTTGGCCTCGGCCTCGGAGGTTGTGGCCTCGACTACAACACTGGTAATATGTAGTGAATTTTAAAAGTATATGATAAAAAAATTTAAATTTCCTTTTGTTTTGTTTACTTGAATGAGGTTGCAACTTCTTGTGTGAGTGTGTTTTTTGTTTGTTTTGTTTTTAGAACTGTACACAAAAGGACTTGTTTACATGGACGTTCCTATTGAAGATGATGACTGTATCATTGGTGAGTTCACAAGATTTTTTTTTTTACGTATTTTGCCTTTTTTTAACAGCAATTTAAAGGGAAAATACAACATTTGCAAACATCAAAAAAGAAAACTACCGAATCATTTTGAAATACCTTGCTGGACCGTTAGTGAATGACAGTGTAAAGCATCCTGTAAAATCATGGCACCTGGTATACTGTCATTTTCAAGAAAAGTGGTATTTTTGTATCAATTTCCAATGCTGGTTGGCCGACCAGCGTATGAAAAAACTGGCTTTTTTTTCTTCAAATACTGGCCCCAATTGACCATCGCACTTGTTTGCAATTGATTACACACCTATGAACGGGTACAAGCCAGCTAGACTCGTTCCCTGACCTTACAATTCCCCAATGTATGTAAACTGCTCTGTTTCTTCTTATATAGAGTCAGGGAACCAGACTACAGGAAAATGATTGTTTTTCTTGGTTTTTATAGCATTTTCGAACCCAAAACCTCAAAAAAGTCAGTGTAACTATATTTGCTATATATTTCCAACCCCCCAATTCCATCCATTTCTGAAAATTACAGCAAAAGCAAATGATGTATATTCCCTTTAACAGCAATTTTTTTTTCTGGAAAAATATTTCAGTCATGGCAATTAAGCTCAACCTTCCCTCTCTGGCTGGGTAATTCAACAAAGCCATCCCAGCAGTCAAAATCAATCGAGTGACTGTTTTTAACAGTTGAGTGCTTCCTGCCTACATGAAGCAGGATTGACTGGCTGTGACCGTTTATGTACAATGTAGCTTGATAAGCTATGCATTGACTGTAGGTGATTGATAAGCCAGCTGTACCTACCAGTTACTTGCTTTTGTCTGTGGATCAAATTTGAATAGTCACAGTGCTTGCTAGAAATGTGTGAGGTGATCTGGGCCCAATTTCATAGTGCTGCTTAACAGCCGACTTTGTGCTTACCGAGCCTCCATCTATTTCATAGGGACCGTTAAGCATGCAGTAAGCACAGCAAAAGCAGGCTTAACCTCAGAAGAAAACTTTGCTTAAACCAGTGACGTAACAATATAAATCTCCATGTGTGCACAACTGTAAGCAAAATCACGGCATGAAATAGTGCTTAAGCAGCAGCACGATTTTCTGCTATAGTAAGCACAACTTTCCTGCTTACTGTTAAGCAGTGCTATGAAATTGGGCCCTGGCTGAATGAGACAGAACTGGGCACATGCTGTAGTGGAGAATAATGCAAAAAAAAATTTAAAAATTGCATTTTTGTTTTTTCATTTCTTAGATTGATTGATATTTGTAATATTTGATATGTCTACTACTGTACAAATATTCTAAGGAAATAGTATAAAAATTGCGGAATAAAAGTGTTTTTAAGGAAATAGGAATTTGCATCTTTTATTTTCACAGCTAAAAAGCTCAAGACTTTAAAGGCCTTTTTCTCAGTATTTAGCTTTTTTGACATGTCGATAAGCACGAACCTTAAACAGCCATAACTTGTCGACGAAATGTCCAGTTGAAGTGCAACATAGGGTATTGAAAGGAGAATTTGATTCTCTTTCCCAATACCCGCAAACCCTCATTTAGACCTCTGCCCAGTTTTGTCTCATTTTTCCAGAACGCCTCACATAATTATGATCTGGCTATTGGTGACTAGCCGGTGTATAAAGGCGTGGCAGGGGAACAGGATTGATTTTTTGACTGTCTGTGACTGTTCAGACAGCAGAAGGGTCAAATTATTAATTGATATAAAATCATCACTTTACATCATTTTCTCATCTTTTGCTTCCCTAGTTCCACCACTGGAAGGTTTTGTCATGAACCGTCTTCAAGGCGACTATTTTGAAACACTCCTATATAAGATCTTTGTCTCAATTGATGAACATACCACTGTTGCTGAGGTAAAACATTATTTATGAATAATGGAAAAAATGTGATAATAGCCGTGATAATCGGCGATCAGATTACCGGTTTTAGACTACTTATTTATAATTTTTTCATCACACTATAGGGCTTTCTCACAGCCCGGCCTACATCTGGGTACTGGAAAGTTAGTGTCGCCATTTTAGTAGGCAAAGATCATATAGCGCCACACACAGCAGGTATTAGGCAACCGATCTGATACACCGTACCCTCTGGAGACGTGTGTACAATAGGGAACAAAAGATTGTATACGTCTCCACAGGGCAATTTCTATAGATGAATACGTCTCCACAAGGTTTTCACGAAATAGATATATGGATTTTACTCAAAAACTAGGAATTTCCAAGCTATGTTTATGTGTCGCAAATGGAAGAGTGTTAGAAAAAGGATATTAAGTCCAAATTTCAGCCAAGGAAATTAATTCTGGTTAAAATAAGAGCATTTTCAAACTACACTTTCAAACTCAAAAACTTTAGTACACGAGAACAAAGGAATGTCTCCACAAGGATACAAATTCCAGTATGCGTGTTCAAAGCTGTGATGGATGGCAAAAACTGTGAGAAAAACGCACGCCAACACCCAGTGCTGAGTCGGCACGATTATGACAACCGTACACGACACAGGTAGTGACCATCATGCCACTTGATAAAATATGCGCGGTTATTTTAAGCCCTGCTGTCTAGTTTACAATGCACGACATAGTTGCTAACCAAACACTTGCCTACTGCAATGGTGGCCGAATACGGGGAAACCGGATAATCACGTGGTACTTTGCATCATACGATCGTAATCTACTATCTCCTCATTCAACCCATCATTCTTGTCATTTCCCGGCAGTTGTCCAGTGTCCTCCAGATTGACCTACAGCTGGTCAAGAACGCTGTTTCCATGTACTGTCGCCTGGGCTTTGCTAGGAGGAAAGGGCAAGACTTGGACCCAGAGGCCCTGCATCCTTCTTGGCAGGACGCCGAACAAAACAGTACCAAGAAGTAAGACACTTTGAAAACTCTTTGTTTCCTAGTGTCCTCTTTGTACCTACATGTATCTCGTTGACTGACTGACTGACTCACAGACCCCGGACACTTGTGAGTCGGGCAGTGCTATTGTATTGGATTACCCCATAAAGCCAGTGAATTTTGCTGGTCCCAGAGGGCCAGCCTAGTGTTCTGTCTACCTATCTGACTGACTGACCAACTGACCGACTCCCCGACAGACTGACTGGTTGTAGCCAGGGCCCAATTTCACGGCGCTGCTAAGCACACGATTCTCTGCTAACAGAGCCTCCGTCTATTTCATGGAGACAGTAAGCATAAGCACAGCAAAAGGCATGCTTACTTCAGAGGAAAAATTTGCTTAACTTAGTGACGTAACAATAGAAATCTCCATGCACACGCGACAGTTAGCACACACACGCCGTGACATAGCGCTTAAGGTTAGCACATTTTTCTGCTATGCTAAGCACAACTTTTCTGCTAACTGTTAAGCAGCGCCGTGAAATTGGGCCCTGGTGAAGAGAACCGGGAAGTGCTATCGTATAGGATTACCCCGCCACACCAATGAATGGGCTAAATCCGGCCCATTGTATAGATGGCGAACATCCATGCTGAATCAATTATATAGAATTCCGTGCACTCTATGACCAGCTTTACTAGGTTTACCTTGTCTTGTTTTACTTGCACTGACTATAGACGGACCAGGACACGTGATCACTGTACACTCATGCGGCCCCTCCAATGGAGAAACAGTTGTGCACACTATTGTATAAAGCAACTGCCCCTTGATTGATTATCTGATTAAAAGCTAGCACAACGCTTTCACCATTGACAAAGGCTTCAGTGATAAAAGTGATAGCGTCCCCTGACTGGTATACAATGCTTTGGCAAATTATGTCGGTGAAGGGCAAAACCCTAATTATATTTATAAATATTGGATTACCGTTTGGTTTTACCAAGAGCAATCACCGACGACCTCCTCCTGATTGACTGGAGCTCCACCCCTCAAGAGGCCAAGATCTCACCCACAGACAGCCAGACAGCCATCTCAGACTCAGCAAGCATCGAGGACTCAGAGACCTCGTCGTCTGGCATCATCAGTAGCGTTGGGTCCGGGCACAGTAAGCGCATCGCCTTCCTGTTTGATTCCACGCTGACGGCATTCCTTATGATGGGGAACCTGTCTCCGGTGAGTTTGGAAGATTTTTGCAGATGAGATCACAAGGCATCACTTGTCAATCTCAAGTCAATCACAAGTCAACCACAAAGCATCCCAAGTCAATTACATGTCATTATAAGTCATCACAAGTCATCACAATCGATCACCAGCCAATCGCAAGTCATCATAAGCCATCCATAAGTCCAATACAATATTGGGTTTTGCTCTTCACCGACACTGTAGAGCCAGTGTCATAACTCATCACAAGAGGTCACAAGCTAATCGCAAGAGGGCACAAGTCAATCACAAGCTAATCGCAAGAGGGCACACGTCGATCACAAGTCAACCACAAGTCAAACACAAGTCAACCACAAGTCAACCCAAGTGGATCACAAGCCAAATAGCAAGCGAATCACAAGCAATCACAACCTAATCACAAACCATCTCAAGTCAATCCCACAAGTCAAAACAGGTCAATCACAAATCATCAAGCGTCATCACAAGTCATCACAAGACAATCACAAGCCAATTTTAAGTCAATCACAAGTCAATCAGATGTCAATCACAAGTCAAACACAAGTCAACCACAAGTGAATCACAAGTGAATCACAAGCAGTCATAACTTAGTCACAAACCATCACAAGTCAATCCCTCAAGTCAAAATAAGTCAAATAACAAATCACAAGTCCATCACAAGTCATCACAAGACAATCACAAGTCGATCCAATCTCCAGTCAGACATTTCAGATGATAAGCTGTTCAAATGTACAGTGTTTAAGTGTTCTTGGGCAATTCCAGCATTACGGAAGGAAATGTAATATCTGTGACTGAACCAATTAACCATGATATATAACCGACATACAGATCCTTGTCATTTGATTGGTGGAACTCACATCACGTGACATTCGTTATTGCTCCCATTCACTCCGCGGCTCAAAAAGTACTATCTGCCCATGGGGAATGGGAAATACTATTGAACAGTTAGGATCATGATGCGGTATTTGTGTGCAAATGCATGCTGGTGTGCGCGTTCAGCGTTGCGCGTAGCGCGTATTGTTCCAAAGAGCCAGCGCTTCAGCGTTGGGTTCAAACATTTTCATGAAGGGGTGGTTTGGAAGAGAGAAATACATTTTCCTCCAGTTTTGTATTGAAATAAAAGTTCAAATATATCAAATGACAAGGATCTATATGTCAGTTATATAAAACAAATATTGAGTGGCTTTAAATTGTGAAATGGGAGGAATATTATCGCTCGGTAAAATGTGGACTTTTCCAGTTCACTCGGCTTCGCCTCGTGAAATGGAAAAGTCCAGATTTTACCTTGCGATAATATTCCTCCCATTCCACGCTGAGCCACTCAATATTTGTATATGATTCAGAGAAATGATCATAGTCTGTAATCTCCTTGACCATTACTGGATGATGGATGTATAAGAGTCGCCAAATACATTTTCAGGGTAGTTCACTGATCTCTTAAAGTCCCCCCCCCCCCCAAAAAAATCTGATTTGTAATGTCTCTAACGCTGGTATTGACCATTTATCTAATTTGAGTTGGGATGTGTCTCATTTTCAGAAAATCCATTCATGAAACTACTCTCTCCTGATAATGTGTGTGTTTTGGTTATTTTGGTTGGTCAGGCAACATTGTCACGTTTCTTTTGTTTTAAATGTATTTCTTTTGGTTTATTTTACATTGTACAGTCTCTGGATTTAAATCTGTTTACGGTATGTAAGTCCGGGATAGTATGTGGAAAAGAAGTCTGATTTCGGTGATGGTTCCATTTTGTGGTGTGTGGGCGGTTTCTCTTACAATCAACCATTCTAGTTCATGCCTATATTACATTTTCCCACATTCGCCCTACTTCCCAAGACATTTTTGCTAGGAACCTTCCAGATCTTTCAAAATCCTCCATTTTTTTCAAGAAATCAATGGACTCGGTGCACGATCAGTAGATGGCGCTTTGTGGCGCGAAGTTTGTGCAAAAGATTGTGCAACTTAGTTGATTTTGAATGTACACAAAACCGTAGCGTCTTTGGGTGACCACTTTTGAAAGCTCCATTCGGGGAGGAACACCGAGTGCACATATGGCGCTAGGTGTGTGCGACTTATGATTACGTTTGCTTCTGAAAATGCACAAAACTGTAGCATCTTTGCGTGACCACTTTTAAAAACTCCAGTGGAGGACACACCGCGTGCACACACAGTGCGAAGTGTGTGCGACTTACGTATTTGTTTCTGAATGTGCACAAAACCGGAGCGTCTTTGCGTGACCACTTTTGAAAGATCCAGTGGGGAGACGCACAACGGGCACATACATGTATGGCGCAAAAGTGTGTGCGACTTACGTATCTGTTTCTTAATGTGCTCAAAACTGTAGCGTCTTTGCGTGTCCATTTTCGAAAGCTCCAGTGGGGGAGACACTGCGTGCGCACATTGCGCAAAGTGTGTGCGACTTACATGTATTTCTGAATGTGCACAAAAGTGTAGCGTCTTTGCGTGACCATTTGCAAGAGCTCCATTGGGGGAGACACACTGGCGTATGCGAATGGTGCGCAGTTCCTGCAACTAATTTAAATACAAACATGCACAAAACCATATTGTCTTTGCGCAAGGGTCAGGCATCATCGGCAATGCGTTAGAATCTCCCACCCACTGGTCTCGCCCAACTCTGCCTTTGTAACCATTGAGAGGGTATTTGTGCACGGAGTCTATAGCACATTCAATATTCTGCACTTTCGGGGGAGGTCAAGTATCATGTTGTCAACTTTAACAGGCTGCTATGTAGAGGTGTACATCGTTGCACAGTGACAGTGTAATATTGGACGTACGAGATGTTGGACGAACCAAAAAAAATATGCAAATTCCTTGATTTGTTTTTACCAAATGAAACAAAAAATTGTTAACTGCACGTGGAAAATGTAGAATACATGTAGTTAACTTTGCATCAGGCACTTTGAGTAATCATGGCTGAAATGGAAACCCTACCCACCATTTCCCTCCCCATATCATGTTGATGAGTAAAAAAAAACCAAAGAAATAAAAGGCTTAGGCTTTTTTTTCCAATAATTTAGTATTCGATAATTCGTTACTGTGTTTCACCGAATAGTTGATTATTCGAAACTCTCTGATCAAGTTTTACACATGCCAGCTGCAACTGCGTGCCGGTTAAAATTTGTATCGATATTATATACTGCTGGAGAGTGTTTTACAGTAAGTATTTTATGAGTGTCAAGGGCGTTAACCTGCTAAAAGGATGGGAACAATGAACCACCGTCTACAAAAAAAATGACATTAAAGGGCCACAACTTTTTTTCGAATATTCAAACCAGCAAAAAGCTTTATCGAATATTCGGTTGATGACCGAATATTTGAATATTCTGGACAGCTCTATATGATCCAAGCATTTTCGGTAAGGTTTTTACAACTGTTGTGTGTGCATACACCGTTACCTCCAAAAGCCTGTATGATTTGTCCATAACTAAATCCTGCTCAATTTTATCTGTTTTGTAATGGACTGTTTGCAGGGATTGAAGAGCCATGCTGTGACGATGTTTGAGGTCGGCAAACTGTCGGACGAATCGCTGGAGAGTTTTCTCATGGAGTTAGACAGAGTAAGTGCTGCATATTACATCTATTTAGCACTTTTTTTGGAACGTACCAAAAGTATCTCACTTTAAATGAAATTTTGTAAATCCCTAGTCTGCTTTTCTTCATAATTTGGACCTAAAAACCTATAAAAATAAATATTCTGCTTACAACAGAATTTTACGCTTACGATCCCAATTCTTTGCTTACAGCACTAGCACTGAAATTCTGTGTTACTTTTGTATTCGGGCACAGACTGCTTTAAAGGTACGGTAATACACGGAAATGCACCTACGGATTAGTGAGAAAAACATTGCTCAAAGGGAAGATAGGACTAGTCCAGCTTGTGAAGTTACTCTGCCAGAAATGGTTTCGATCGAAAGAAAACAATCTTTGAAGGTGGTTTTATATAAGTCATGAGACCCCCAAAATTGTGCTTTTTTTCCCCCCTGTTTTCTCGAAGTTTATAGTAGCCACCGAATTAAAGCTTTCTACAGGTTAGTTGTTATGCACTCTACTTTAGTTTTTAAGCAATTTGGTTGCTTCAAAGAAAAGAAAAGATCCATAGAGCCATAAAATTGGCCCTTAACCATGTTTACCCTAACCTTCCCAACTCCATCAAAAGCTATCCCCCTTTGGGATTTTTGGCAGATGAGCCATCTGTACCGAGTCCATAAAAATCCACCTAGAACAGTGGTGGTCTTGTGGTGGATTTCAGCGGATTTGGTCCAGAAGCATTATGTGAAGCAGGGTCAGTGATGGATAGGGCTGTGCATCAGAACCGAGTACCCGACCGTTAATGTCAGGAACTGGTTCCAGATTGTGGAATCGCAACCAACTTTGCAAATTACTTTGTAGCTTCTCAGTCAATGGGAAAAAATTTTTTCTGAATGTCAGTGGGAAAATTTCAAAATGTAAAACAGGATACATGGAACACCAAAACCAATTTCACGTTTTATGATGCTTGCGAAAGTTGCAGTTTTCACCACATAGCTAAAGAGCTCAGTGTATGCACCCTGTCTATCTGTATTGCCGCACCGATGTGGTAGTATTATGTGGACCTTTATGCACAATCTGTACAGCAACTTCTCAGATTTGAATTTTTTGCTTGTTTTTTTTTAAGGGGTACCCGTATTTTTTTGAATAGGGTACCCTGTTCCTGTACTACCCGTAAATGCACACCCCTAGTGATGGATTTTGGCGGACTTGGTCCAGTACTTAGTAAAAGACAGTAGGGAGTTAGGGTTAATTGGCTTGCTTTTGTTCTTGTTGTTCACAGTCCAATAGACCGATACATTAGGCTCCGCACACATGGGTAACAATACATGCGCCTATACTACACGGTGTTTTCAAACCATGATGTCATTTGAGCACGTATGCCAGACTTTTGTGCATGCATGCTGGACATTAATCACGGCCGTGATTTGTTAAATTCGACATCACGGGGCAGGCTTGATCAATCGGTCTATTATTTCCATGACCTGTTCTCTGTCCCCCATAGGTTCCAATCAACAGCGTTGCAGAAGGAGAGGCACAGCGATACTTTGAACACGCAGTCACCCTCAAGAACACAATCACATTCCTCAGGTAAATAGCTCATCTTTTTTTTCTTCTAAATTCGGCTCCCCATAAACATACATCTTTATATAAGAAAGCTGTATGAACACACTACGGGAAAGTCTTGACTTAACCCCTTAAGGACGGGAAGCGGTCATGGCCGCGGCCGCTAATCCTCATTGGAATGCAGTTGCCAGCTGTGGTATGCCGTGGCACACGGCTAGTGGGTAGTTCCACAGCTGCTGCTTTTGTGCAGTCCCGCTACCACACAAAGGCTGTGCAGTCATGCGGGCCAGTTGCTCTATGTGTGGAGGAATGTCCCCATTACACCCCGTCCTTAAGAGGTTAAAGTGTGATGTTTTTTGTTTATTTTGCTGGCAAATAGTACAACATATTGATAGTATTAACCCTTGCTCTTTTGGGGTAGTTTTTTAGCGCATGTCATTTGACATGCCAATAAACTCCAGCAGAAGTGAATTGGAAGATGCTTTGACTCGCCAGCCAAGTGATTCTAATCTGCTAGACCAGGCTTATCTGCTGTCACGGGCTGTAACAGCCCATGATTCCACCCGGCGTGAATCAGCACCGCGATTCGGCCTGAAAAGTGGTGGATGGTACCCCGAAGCACACAGATAATATTCTATTCACGTGTGCGGAAAGGAGCCCTGCTGATTTCCTTTGCCCTCGTGCGCACGGGACAAAATCAAATTTCATGTTTCTTGTTTTGTGCCCGGAAAAAAACCACTTTGGCCAGAAATTAATGCCTATGGTGATTTCAGGGGATTTAAAAAAAAAAAAAGCGACAAATCCTGGACAAATTTAGAGAATATGACCCGAATGTTTGTAACCCTGTACATTTTCAATGGACCGCTTTCACTTTTTGCCGCCAGGCCCATTGATGCACATGTGTGCATAATTATGAGTTTATTAGTAAAAAGGTCCACAGCGATGGCTCACCATTTGCAAAGTGCCCTTTGTTTTTTTTTCTTTGAAGGCATAACAAAAGTATTAGTCCAGACGTGGAGCAGTACAGCAGTGGTCTGGGTATTGACTTGCTGCGATGTGAGAGTTTATTGGGATTGGATCCAGCTACGTGCTCTAGAGTCCTACAAAAGAACTATGAGTGAGTACAACATTTGGTCCACAACAGGTGGTTTACTTTTAATTGACGTGTTTCATCAGGTATTACAAGTCTATGGGACCTTGCTGCATTGAGCCATCAACAATGAGAGTTTAGTCCCACTGAACAATGCCACAGTTGTATCCTGCTGCAGTTGGTGGCGGCAGACTCTGAGGCAGGTTGGCCCTTGAGCTTTTTGACCTGATGGATCTTGCCGCACTCATCAGGCTTATCGGTTTGACAAGCGGTGCATGTTGTTATGTCCAGGAGTGTTTCTCGCCAAGATACTATGGGGGGTAAGGGTTAAAGAATTTTGCAACTGTAAGCAACAGGCTGACATAAACAAAACAAAGGTGGCAGGCAAAGTTGAAAATAAGGCAAAATAAACAAATTGTGGATAAAATACAGTCATGTTTATCTCATTACGTTTTGAAGGAAGAGCCAGTAATTTTCTGCAAGAATACTGCAACTGTAAGCCACAGGCTGACTTAAAAACATAAGTGGTAGGTTAAGTTGAAAATAAGGCAAAATAAACAAAGAGCGGATAAAAAACAGTCATGTTTATCTCATTACATTTGAAGGAAACACCAGTAATTTTCAGTTTATTTTACATCTATATAAGTTTTTATATTCAATAAAGTTTGAATGCTGCTAATGCCAATTTATACATATAACAAACTCTAGAATGTATTTAATTGTAATGTTGATATTCTGAACTTCTTGGGTACCTCATCATTTGTCATTTTTTAGGTTATTGGTTTCCATGGCGCCGCTTAGCAACGAGATCAGGCCAGTGAGTAGCTGCATCCCACAGCACATTGGGCCGGCGATACCCGAGGTAAAGATTTGACCCTAAACCCTCTCTGATCCTGCCTGTTTGACCCTAAACCCTCCCTGATCCTGCCTGTTTGACCCTAAACCCTCCCTGATCCTGCCTGTTTGACCCTAAACCCTCCCTGATCCTGCCTGTTTGACCCTAAACCCTCCCTGATCCTGCCTGTTTGACCCTAAACCCTCCCTGATCCTGCCTGTTTGACCCTAAACCCTCCCTGATCCTGCCTGTTTGACCCTAAACCCTCCCTGATCCTGCCTGTTTGACCCTAAACCCTCCCTGATCCTGCCTGTTTGACCCTAAACCCTCCCTGATCCTGCCTGTTTGACCCTAAACCCTCCCTGATCCTGCCTGTTTGACCCTAAACCCTCCCTGATCCTGCCTGTTTGACCCTAAACCCTCTCTGATCCTGCCTGTTTGACCCTAAACCCTCCCTGATCCTGCCTGTTTGACCCTAAACCCTCCCTGATCCTGCCTGTTTGACCCTAAACCCTCCCTGATCCTGCCTGTTTGACCCTAAACCCTCCCTGATCCTGCCTGTTTGACCCTAAACCCTCCCTGATCCTGCCTGTTTGACCCTAAACCCTCCCTGATCCTGCCTGTTTGACCCTAAACCCTCCCTGATCCTGCCTGTTTGACCCTATACCCTCCCTGATCCTGCCTGTTTGACCCTAAACCCTCCCTGATCCTGCCTGTTTGACCCTAAACCCTCCCTGATCCTGCCTGTTTGACCCTAAACCCTCTCTGATCCTGCCTGTTTGACCCTAAACCCTCCCTGATCCTGCCTGTTTGACCCTAAACCCTCTCTGATCCTGCCTGTTTGACCCTAAACCCTCCCTGATCCTGCCTGTTTGACCCTAAACCCTCTCTGATCCTGCCTGTTTGACCCTAAACCCTCCCTGATCCTGCCTGTTTGACCCTAAACCCTCCCTGATCCTGCCTGTTTGACCCTAAACCCTCCCTGATCCTGCCTGTTTGACCCTAAACCCTCCCTGATCCTGCCTGTTTGACCCTAAACCCTCCCTGATCCTGCCTGTTTGACCCTAAACCCTCCCTGATCCTGCCTGTTTGACCCTAAACCCTCTCTGATCCTGCCTGTTTGACCCTAAACCCTCCCTGATCCTGCCTGTTTGACCCTAAACTCTCCCTGATCCTGCCTGTGCGCTGTACAATTGTTATAATCGTGCTGACCCAGCACTTGGTGTTGGCTCAGTGTTTTTCTCACAGTTTTTGCCATCGATCTCAACTTCAAAGGCTTGTCTACTCAAGGGCGTCAATCGCTTCTCAAAAGTTGGGGGGGGGGAGATATAACTTGATCAGAACTTATTCGACCCAAAGCCCTAATGGCGTGGGGTCCAGGGCCTGCTTAATGGCACGAAAAATTTTGGATTCTAGATGCTCTGAGGTGCGATCTGAGACAATTTCTGAACACTTTAACCAATTTTTTTGAGCAAAAGATCATCATTTAAACATCATTTTCAAGTTTGGAGTCATTGAATCAGCTATTCTGAGCTTTTGACTCAAATGTAGGCTACAATTTTTATTTGGGGATGAAAAAAGTGGGGGGGGGGGGCGGGGACAAACGACATGATATCCCTCCCACTTTAAAAAGTTGGGGGGGGGGGGACTTATCCCCCTGTCCCCCACCAATCAACGCACATGTGTCTACTACGTACTGCACGCAGCGCTATACTTTGCCTTCTACAATTGGCGAGGATGGCTTTTCCTTTACCAAATATAGGTCGGGTCACGCAGGTCAGTGAGAGCTCTGTATTGCAATAACAAAGTATTTACTGCACCTGTCTTGACAAAGCCTTTGTGTTCAATTTTTGTTTTTTCTTTCAGGTGAATTCTGTGTGGTTTAAGCTGTACATATATCAGATGGTCCAGAGTGGGCCTCCAACTCTACTCCTAGTGAAAGGAATGAGGCTACGCTACCTACCGGACATTTTCCAGGTATTAAAGGGGCATAACGTCCTAGAATGCGCCCAATTGGGCTACAAAACGCACTTTAAACAAAATTGTATTAATTTGAACACCCTTTCACAATCACATACATAATTTCTAGAAAACTCCCCAAGACTTATCCTTTTTACACGAATGTTTTTTAATTTTCTCGCGTTCCATTCACTGCAGGACTACGACCGACTGTTGATTACGACCTGGGGTCATGACCCCGGTCTGGTCGCGACCTCCAACGCCCTACTCACCATCAACGACGCCCTGGCTCATTCTGCTGTCCTGATCCAGGTAACATTGCTTAGCAAGTATGTTCTCTGCTTAGTCAATTTCTAAGCTTTGAAACTCCTACACTAATGCCCTCCATTCAACAATTGTCAAACATTTTTATATTTCACAACTTCCTCATAAGTAAATAACATGTCCAAGCCCCTTTAAAATTGGTTGAACCATCGACCCAGAATTTCCGAGCCAAACACCAGCCCCAGTAGCAAGAACCGTGGGTTTACATGAATGTTATTAACTCGCTGGGGTAACACAGCTTTGAGATGGCAGGATAGACATAATCAAACAAGAAGCAAACACTAGAACGGGCAAAAAACCTTCAGCGGCAGTTGTTTCCAATCCTTTGAGATATACCACACCTCAAACAGCCTGAAGACCATCGTTGTGTGGGCAGTGAAGGTATATTATAACGACGTACTGCAAAGTGCAGTATCATTCTATACAGGGCGAGTCAAAAAAAAATGAAAACCCATACGGTGACCTCTATTTTTTTTTTTTTTTAAAGAAGTTCTGCATGTAGCACTTTCCAGATCTAGGATATGAAAACCCAATTAATAAGCTTTCTGTTAGTGAAAGATTCATTCAAATCACTCATGTACTTTTCCAGCTATGGAATTTTGAGCACAAACACCGTTTTTAAACCTTGTCCACGGATCACAATAAAGGTAGGTGATATTTCACAACGAAAACTATTCACATACCAGAAAAACGCATCAGAACAGTCTCATAACCATGATAACTGGCACTTATAACATTTTATTTAAAAACCTGTTGCTTCCAATGTTAAAATATAATGTCGAGAGCTTAAAGTCTTGCCCTGCCTTCTACTTGGCTACCCCAGACACTTATGGGATTATTCTGATATTGTCTTCAAGATACGAAATATCACGTACCTTAAATGTGATCCGTGGACAAGGTTTAAAAAACAGTGTTTGTGTTCAAAATTCCATAACTGGAAAAGTACATGAGCGATTAGAATGATTCTAAATCAAATTAGGTTTTGATTGTTTTACTAAAAGCAAGCTTATTAATTGGCCTTTCATATCCTAGATTTGGAAAGCGCTACATGCAGAAATTCTTTAAAAAATAGGGGGCACAGAGGTAACAGAGGATGTGCTTGTTTTACTAACAACGTAACTCAAGCATTTGTTTTCTTTTTATTCAAGGGACATGGTTGGTTGACTGACGGTAGAACATTCCACATTCCCTTCCCTCTGAATGAAGACCAGGGTAAAAGTACGTTGGAAATGTTTAATCTTTCAAAGTTTGTAATAACTTTTATCATTAGGCAATGCCCCACCCCTAGAGTACTCTGCACATGTCCCCCCACGATAGAGACAAAAGGTGACATAGAATCCTGGCCGTTGTGCACCAGACCCCCAGGGGAAAGACACTACATATTTCGTCACCGTTAAGCGTTTTGACGAAGTGACGCATCTGTGCACACAGATGCAAAACCGAGTTTTGAGAAAATTGCGTTTGAAATTGGTAGATTTTTCAATTTGCATTTTTGTGTACATTTCTCCCCCAGAATTGAAACATACATAACTGAGACAATAGCCCAGGAGTTAAATAGCCAAAAACAATTCTCTCTGTTCTAAAATCGTGTTTAATTAGAAGATATTAATTACTAAAGATATCCGTCACTTCATGAAAACGGAAATTCTACTTCTTCACAAATATTAGGCATATGTTTGTACACAGCTTGCGCGTATATAAAATGTGTACATTTTAGAACGCAGATTTGTCACTTCGTCAAAACACAACTCGTGGAGGCTTCATATTTCTAAATATAGCACACGTGTAAAATTAATGAGACTAAGTGACAAATAGAGATTTGTCACTTTGTCAAAATGAAAAACTTAGTGTGTAGCACTTTCAATACTTTGTCCAATTAGTGTAATTAACAAACGATGAAATGTTGTGTCTCGAAATTTGGTAATTATGTAGAGGACATCATAAAATGTTGGAATATCCAAAAATCTCAGATTTCAGAAAATCTCGGTTTTGGACGGATTTGTCACTTTCTCAAAATGGTGATGATTTGTGCATATTCAGACGAAACTTAGTTGTACAAATTCACGCCATTTGTGAGCTAGCCTTTCTCTTGTGTGTACTATTTCAATGTCCAGGAAAAAATATTGCCTTTACAATAACACAAAAATGGTTGCACAGAAATTTCTCAAAACTTGCTTGTGCAAAACTGCTGAAACGTGGCGTATACATTACACATGTATATGGTTCGACCTTTACCTTAACGACCGACAATGCTAGTTTTTTACCCCTCAGCCGAGAGGCTCGAGGGGTATTGTCATCGCCTAGGGCGTCCGTCCGTCCGTCCGTCCGTTCTGACCGGACCACCCTTGTGGGGTGATGTTCCTTTCAGAACACATCACCCCACTTTTTACACAATGGAAAAACATCACCCCAGAAGGGAATCTTTAGAAAAAGGGATAATGGGAACACAATGCTATCACCCCACAAGTCCGTCTGGCTAGAATGTCCGTTCTGACCAGACCGTCCGTCCGTCCGTCCGGGCAGCTTAGTTTCCGGATGATAACTTGAGTTAGAAATGTTGTTTGGGATTGTAACTTCGGTAGGGGGTTGCCCTTGGGAGTAGGCAAGTTGGGATTAGTTTTGAGGTCAAAAGGTCAAAGGTCAAGGTCACCATGGTGAGTTAAAGGTAAATGGTTTCCGGATGATAACTTGAGTTAGAAATGAGATTTTGATGTCTAACTTTGGTAGGGGGTTGCCCTTGAGAGTAGGCAAGTTGGGATTGGTTTTGGGGTCAAAAGGTCAAAGGTCAAGGTCACCATGGTGAGTTCAATGTAAATGGTTTCCGGATGATAACTTGAGTTAGATATGAGATTTTGGTGTCTAACTTTGGTAGAGGGTTGCCCTTGGGAGTAGGCAAGTTGGGATTGGTTTTGGGGTCAAAAGGTCAAAGGTCAAGGTCAGCATGGTGAGTTTAAAGGTAAATGGTTTCCGGATGGTAACTTGAGTTAGAAATGAGATTTTGATGTCTAACTTTGGTAGGGGGTTGCCCTTGGGAGTAGGCAAGTTGGGATTGGTTTGAGGGTCCAAAGGTCAAAGGTCAAGGTCACCGTGGTGAGTTAAATGTCAATGGTTCCGAATGATAACTTGAGTTAGAAATGAAATTTCGGTGTCTAACTTCGGTAGGAGGTTTCCCATTGGTACAGGCATGTTGGGACTGCATGGTTCTGGGGTCAAAGGTCAAAGGTCAAAGGTCAAGGTCACCATGTTGAGTTAAAGGTAAATGGTTTCCGGATGATAACTTGAGTTAGAAATGAGATTTTGATGTCTAACTTTGGTAGGGGGTTGCCCTTGAGAGTAGGCAAGTTGGGATTGGTTTGGGGGTCAAAGGTCAAGGTCACCGTGGTGAGTTAAATGTAAATGGTTTCCGGATGATAACTTCAGTTAGAAATGAGATTTTGGTGTCTGACTTAGGTAGGGGGTTGCCCTTGGGTACAGGCAAGTTGGGATTGGTTTGAGGGTCAAAAGGTCAAAGGTCAAGGTCACCGTGGTGAGTTAAATGTCAATGGTTCCGAATGATAACTTGAGTTAGAAATGAAATTTTGGTGTCTAACTTCGGTAGGGGGTTTCCCATTGGTACAGGCATGTTGGGACTGCATGGTTCTGGGGTCAAAGGCCAAAGGTCAAGGTCACCATGTTGAGTTAAAGGTTAATGGTTTCCGGATGATAACTTGACTCTGGCTGAGGGGTTTCAACAGCAACACTGTTATTTTTATAATTTATTTTCTGGTAATGTTTTCCATATAAATATATCCCAGGATAATGATTGAAACTTACGCTCCCCAGGTTAAGTTGTCATTTTCACCGCATTTACGAGACAAGATGAGCAAGAAGTTTTGCTTGCGCTTGAATTTCGTGCACCACACGGTGACCACACAGCGAATTTTATATGAAAAATCCTGCAATACGTGTAATTCAAGGCGACGGAGCGCTACTGACACGTAACATGACAAATGAAGTTTGCAAAAGGGACAATTTGTTTATCGATTTATTGGGTAATATTTCTTAAGATTTGAGAGTAGCTAATCAAATTGTGGAAAAAAGATTGTTCAGTTTTCACGTCACCTGGCATACAACTTTTATGGCGAGCTTCAGCGAATTCACACAGGTAAGTTTGAAGATATTTTGCTGCAATTTGTTTTACCGCGTTTTGTTCATGCAAGGAGTCTGCAACACATTGTACCAAGAATGTGAAAATGATAAAAAGTATTCCTTCCGTTTGAACTTTTAGTCAGTTCCACCTTAAAATCGATGGAGCACCATCCCACGGTCCGATCCCTGGCCAAAATCCTGGACCTCAAGCACACCTGTGGCTACATCACCCTCCTCAACTCAGGCAAACCCCGTGATAGGATACCCAGCGGACACCCCTCTCCCCACCCCACAACAGATGGGGTGACGGAACCCCTGCCGCACGAGAGAACAGTGACAGAAACAGACAGGCAGAGTAGAGACATGTCAGACTCCACCCAGGCCATGTCACAAGTCACGAAACAGTCGCTGACTCTGCCCGTCAGCTCCCCAATGCACGACGGGAGTGCCAGTATCCGTGGCAAAGAAATCAAGGAAGCTGATTGGTCGCTCTTGGACGTCTGTTTCGGTATCCCTCTGTTTGAAGACAAAATCAACAGGACAGTTTGTGCAAAAGTTTCCGAGTTTGGACTTTGCCAGAGAGAAAGGTAATGTGTTTTACTTGTTTTGCTTTCAAATTCAAAAGTTTTCAATATTAAAAATCAATTGAAAATCACCAAATTCACATTTTCGGTATATATAAGTAGCAGACATTTTACGTAGTTATCAATTTAAGATATGGTAGCTTGTTGATTAATAAAACTATTTTTTTTTACTGATCTGTTTTCCGCCAGCCTTTCGCAGTTACTGCACAGCAGTCGGAAGTTATCCTTGCGCTTGCTCAACTTTATCGCTGAACAACAGGTATGTCCCCCAGACCAGATTTTTAATCAAATTTCATTTGAGTAGGGTTTTTTTTTGTAAGTAAAAAAAAAGCTGAAAAATCTAACTACGGTGTGTAACAACCTGTTGCAGTTTTAGCTCCATGGCTACTCTAACCAAAGTTAGCATCATATTTATCTCCTGTCTTTTCTATTTGTTTTGTACAGGGTTTTGTACAGGGCATGCCTGTGGTACCAGACCTTAACCATGGTTGATAAGAAAAGTTATCAACCTTTACTCCTGACTTTTCCATTAGTTTTGCACAGGGCATGCTTGTGGTACCAGACCTTAACCATGGTTGATAAGCAAAGTTATCAACCTATTTAACTCCTGGCTTTTCCATTAGTTTTGCAAAGGGCATGCCTGTGGTACCAGACCTTAACCATGGTTGATAAGAAAAGTTATCAACCTATACTCCTGACTTTTCCATTAGTTTTGCACAGGGCATGCCTGTGGTACCAGACCTTAACCATGGTTGATAAGAAAAGTTATCAACCTATACTCCTGACTTTTCCATTAGTTTTGCATAGGGCATGCCTGTGGTACCAGACCTTAACCATGGTTGATAAGCAAAGTTATCAACCTATTAAACTCTTGGCTTTTCCATTAGTTTTGCACAGGGCATGCCTGTGGTACCAGACCTTAACCATGGTTGATAAGAAAAGTTATCAACCTATACTCCTGACTTTTCCATTAGTTTTGCATAGGGCATGCCTGTGGTACCAGACCTTAACCATGGTTAATAACCACAGTTCCAACACCCTATTAATCTCCTGGCTTTTCCATCTGTTTTCTACAGGACATGCCTGTGGTACCAGACCTTCCAGCCGAGGCCTCGCTACCAACCTCCCCCTCCACCGTCTCCGCTCCTTCTCTTCCCTACCCAACGAGAAACCTTGTCTTTGTCAACAACAAGCTGCAAGTCTGGGATACAAGCTGAGAAATTGTGCATTTTTCTGTCAAATTACCCAAATCCCTCTCCCTAAGTTTATACCCCTATAGGATGCACTGTTAATGCCCAGGCAAGGTAAAGAATAGTGTGGATTTCTTGTTCGTCAGTTTCAAGGGAATATACAACATTTGCAAACATCAAAAAAAAAAAATACAAATTATTATGAAATACCTTACTTGACTGTTAGTGAATGACAGTCTCAAGCATCCTGTGAAATCATGGCATCTGGTGTGCTTTCATTTTCTAGAAATGTGGTATTTTGTATCAATTTCCAATGCTGGTCGGCCGACCAGCATTGGAAAAACCTGGCTTTATTCAAATACTGCCCCCAATTTACCATGATTAGTTAGTCCGCATTTTGTTTGCAATCAGTTATACACATATGAACAGGTACAAGCCAGCTAGACTGGCTCCCTGACCTTACAATTCCCCAATGTGTATAAATTGCTCTGTGTCATCTTGAGTGGGGTCAGGGAACCAGACTACAGGAACAGAATTTGTTTTCATGGTTTTTCCAGCATCTACGAACACAAAACTCCAAACAAGTCTGTGAACAATATTTGCTATAAAATACTAACTCCCCAAATCCATCCATTTCTGAAAATTACAGCAAAAGCAAATGTTGTATATTCCTTTTAAAGGGGCATGTTGTCCTGGAACCTGACCTGTGGTCACCTGACCTGTGGTCACCTGACCAAAAGTCAGGAGCTCATTGGTCAATGTTGAGTGAACTGTTGGATTGACAGGCAGGAAGGGTGCATTCTTTTCTTTTCAGAAAATTTCGGTTCAATTCTCGAATTTCTGGTAAGATTCTTCATTGCAACCCGCACAAGACCAAATATAGGAATAATTACTTACTATATGTAAATACAAATAATAGAGTTGAATAAAGAAATTGACTGGAGCGGGGTTTGAACCTGGGACCTCCGGATTACCGTTCTGGCACTCTACCAACTGAGCTATCCAGCTCTATGTTGGCGTTTTTCCAAATTTGTTGATATCTCTGTTCAAGGGAGCTAGTGGTTTGTCGGTTTGTAAATACATTAAATTATATTTTTTATTTGATTTCCAGATAGTTGATAATTGTAAAAATCAGTTGATACAAATCAAATACTACACAAGCAAAGTTTGTTGTAATATGTTGTCATAAATTGCCAATTGTCAATTTCTTAAGAACAGTTTTGCTGGAAAGAAACTCGGTATATTCTCATGAAAGGACAGAATTGTTTTAATTTTTGCATGCTTAGGAAAAAAAATCAGTCTATGATGCATGGGTGTTTGGAAAAACAGCTGACATGAGCACACCAAAAAGATACAAATAGTTGCGAAAGACACGTGTTGTCTAGCGGTAGAGCACAGGATTCATGATTGTGAAATTGAGGGTTCGAATCCCGCCGTGGCCATGCGTGTTGTGTCCTTGAGTAAGGTACTTTACCTCAATTACTCCTCTCAACCCAGGTGTTAAATGGGTACCGGCATTATTCAATGCTGGGAAGGAAACAGACTCGCTGTGGAGGAGGTGTGGCAATTCCTGATCCCCCCACAGCAGCATTTCATAGACTCGAGTCTGGCCCAATTGCTTCGAAAGAGAGATGGGCATTCCGTTCCTGTGAACACAGGTTCGTCCCCTTTTATTTGCGAAAGGATTTTGGCCTCTTTCACAAAAATGTAGACATTTTCAGTTGTCCTTTATGTCCAGATATACCATGTTTACAGATTTTTATCAATAATAAAAGCCCAAGTACTCAAAAGCCCAAGTACTCAGACTACACTGTCTACACTACAGTTTTCAGGCTTAATTCATTTTACCTCATACATATTTATCAAATTAGGTTTTGCCCTTCACCGACGTTTTGAACACTGTATACTCAGTGTGTTACCTCCCGAGTGAAAGTTGGAAAAAAATCACTCGGGTGGGACTCGAACCCACGACCTCCTGCTTTCTAGTGCAGATGTCGTACCACTTGACCACCGAGCTAACGGGATCGGGTGGCCGGTTCGAATCTGATGTACATAGCAGCGGGTACCGCATAAACTATTACATATTCATGAGCGAGAGCCAAATTCTTACTGGTCCATTCACTATCATGTGTCAACCGCTAGTTTTGCTATTTACTGGTCAAGTGCGCACACGAGGATTCATACACAGGGTAAATATGCATATTCAGTCGACTGTCGCATGAGTTGACCGTGTTGTAGTCTACTATGCATGCGCTTTACTAAGCAATCATGGAACTATTGCACGGGGTAGTGCGCACGCACAAAAAAACACTCGAGTTACATGAAAAGATGCAGGGCTGCCAACTTTGAGTAAGAGCTGACAGTGAGAATTTGGCGATGGAGCTTGAACAGAACTAATCATCTGCTAAATGCAAGCGCTGCGCAAATTTTGGATTATAGACGCTCTGTGGTGCGATCTGAGGCAATTTTTGACCACTTCAACCAATTATTTTGAGCAAAAGATCAACATTAAAACATCATTTTTGAGTTTTATTTCAAATTAAATCAAAGTAGGTTTTGCCCTTCACCGACGTATAAACACTGCATACTCAGTGTGTAACCTCCCAAGTGAAAGTTGGAAAAATCACTCGGATGAAACTCGAACCCACGACCTCCTGCTTTCTAGTGCAGAGCGTTTATTTTTATTTTTTTTTTGCATGAGAAATCCCGAGTGCGCGTGAGAGCGTGAGAACAACCTGAAATGCTCGAGTCTCACGCTCAGTGCGTGAGAGTTGGCAGCCCTGACGATGGCAGCACACACTGAGCAACATTTTACAGATAACTTATGCACAACCCCACAATGTTGTGGTAAATATGTATGAAGTATAGCAACACAAATATGGAATCCATGGTTTATTTCAGGTGGATAGTCGATGATATACTCCCTCAGTATTGGAAGTTGACAAACTGATTCCCTCAGCTTTGCCTCGGGGAAGTAGGGTCCACTTCCAATACCTCAGGGAGCTAATATGAACTGAGCTAATATATACCATCCTCAAACCATGTTATATTTGAATACTATCCACCCTCAAACCATGTTATATTTGTATAATGTACCATGTTTTGTTTCAGTTTTATGTACATGTACGCATACTTTTTGGATTTAGAATAAAAGTCAACAACAATATAAACAAGCTAAACACCCCGCAGTGATTTTTCCAACGAAAAATTTAATTTGCAAGCGAGTGCCACATATAACACAACAAAAAGGCCATCAACAGTTAAATCTTATTTACTAAACCCAAATATAAAAATACTTTTATACTTATATATTATAATCGAGCAACTCATAATATTGATTCTGTTACTGGTATTCTAATCCTTATAAATTGTACAACTTTGTCAAAAACTTGGCCCAACTTCAAAGCACATGATTTTCGTTTAACAGGCCTCCATCTTTTTCATCATGTTCATGGAGACCGTAAGCAGTAAGCACAGCAAAAGGCAAGCTTAACCCTAGCCTCATAAATGTGGCCAATTTACTGGACTGCCTCCGTAAATATAGGCCACACTTCCACCATGTACAAAAACATGTCGAAATTTGTCAAATTATGATTTTTACATTTAGGCTTAGTTTGTAGGTTTTTTTTTTGCTTTAGAAGCATACTCACCCTCTTTATAGGCTAATCAGAAAGTGCTGCCTTTAGCATACTCACCCTCTTTATAGGCTAATCAGAAAGTGCTGCCTTTTTAAGATGTCTAATGTTGAAAATTTGATACGCAAACGTGTGCAAACGAATCTGGAAATTTCACTGAAAATAGACATCTGAAAAAGGCAGCACTTTCTGATTAGCCTATAAAGAGGGTGAGTATGCTTCTAAAGCAAAAAAAACCTACAAACTAATAAACGTGAAAATCAATATTTGACAAAGTTCGACATGTTTTTGTACATGGTGGAAGTGTGGCCTTTATTTACGGAGGTAGTCCAGTAAATTGGCCACATTTATGGGGCTAGCTTAACCCCAGAAGAAAGAGTTGCTTAAATCAGTGACGTTACAATAGAAATCTCCATGCACACGCAACCGTTAGTGCATCCACACCATGAGGTGTGGATGTGCAGTTCATCCACACTATAAGCTGTGGATGTGCAGTGCATCCACACCATGAGGTGTGGATGTACTAAGGTTAGCACCATTGTACATGTATGCTATAGTTAACTTAACACAACTTTTCTGCATTTAAGCAGTGCTGTGACATCGGGCCCTGTTCTTAACCCCAACAGTTAACTAGTAAAAATTAAATAATCCTTAAATCACCCTTTTCAATTTAATGCTATATATGTATATGAAATATATGCCACGTACCTAAAATGTTTTATTGAATTCCACCTTAGTGATGAACATACTGTTAGAATCTAATGGCATTTTAAATTGAATTTATGATAATTACAGAAACGCATGTCCCATGTAATTTCACGCCAGGCCTTGGAAACCAAGCTAGATTTTACTGGTATCATTGTTTTTAAAAACCTTTAAACAATTAACCAACCTCCATTTAAACACTGTTATGAACTCTTGCCATAATACATGAATTAGTTTAACCAGTTCGTGCCGGGATTATTTTGACATCGGCCGGACCCAGGCGTGGGATTGTTTTCAAGAACCTCGATGCCAGACGGGTTCACGCCGTCATCTGCGGGTAGCACACCCTGATATTTCTGGCCTCGCTCAATGCAAGCGGGTCGCTGACAGATATTTCCAGCACCGCTCGTTCCGAATACCGCAAAACATTTGCATGACTGGTTAACACAACCATATACCCCAAGTATTTGTTATCAACAACCCCAATATTATGAACTTTCAGTCCACAAAATAACAGATATTTGGAATTTTTCCTTCAACTGCATGCTGACTTTGTTTTGGGTTCTACATTAGTGATCAGCAGATCTGGTGCTTCAAGGTATCAATATTGTTAGTTTTGTCCCAATGTAAGTCATATAATATTAAGATTTTAAGAAAAACCACCAAAAAATATGTTGCACAACCAAGATTTCTTTTAAATGTCATTATGTAATGTTGATTCACCAGACTTCAAGCTTATTTATGTTGATCCGGTTACAAAGTTAAGGAACCAGAAAATTGTAAAACTACTCCGACAGATCTTGCAAAGCTTTTAGCTTGTTTCCCTTGTAGAACAATGCATCATTTAATATATGTACATGTACTTCTATTGATACTTTCAAACATTACAAGTTACGTTTATTTATTTACGCAGTTTATGAAAGTGCAGCACACTTTGCAATAATAATAAAGACAAAAATTACAATAAGTGACTCTTGTGTGCTTTATTATTTGGTTGAAAAATATGACTTAATCTGCAATACCCATAACAATTGGGAATATCCTATATATAAGAGCCTACACTGAGTGTCTGATATATGTGTGTCACGTTTAAATGCCTATTAAAGGAGTGTGCGGAAGCACAGGAGAGGCTTTTCCTCTGATTACGCCCCCCAAAAAAGTCTCCGGTTTCTGGTATGCGGGCGCGTCGCCATAGCCATGCACGTCGGCAAAAAAAAAAAAAAAAAAAATGTTCATTGTAAGATGATGTCTCAAAACCGCCAAACTCACTGGTTTTACCAAACACTGGAATCCTGCTGCTGCACAATTTTAACGTGTTTTTAGATGGGGTTATGATCGAGTATAAGCTTTATGTGGCCTCTCTGGACTCCCATATATTTTGCACTAAATTAAGTCGGGCACCATTTGCAGTCATCGGCCGACATTTGAAGGAAAAAAAGTAAAAAAAAAAAAAAAACAAGCCGCAAGCTCCATACCAGAAACCGAAGACTTTTTTGGGGGGCCTTATTCAGTCATCCCGATTTCTCTGTCCTCTAAAGTCACATGCAAATTGAGGTCACTGTAGTACATTAGTAATTTCATATAATTGATTCAGTATGGCAAAATTTGTAAGCTTCTTTACCATAAATCAGATGTTATAATTTTGCAATGTTAAAAGTAATGGACAACATTTGCAAAACATCGGAAAACAAAACTGCAAAATATTATGATGGTGAGTAAAAAAAAATAGTATGGACGAATAGCTTTTTCAAGTTCTACATCTGTTAACGGCCGAGAGCAAGCCGTTGACTTTGTGCAAATGCTCGGGTACACCAGAATATTCATGTAATATTTGTTCTCGCTCAGCTGGCACTGTGGCCTACGGGTTCTGTGCATGACAGATTCAGCGAGCTGCACTTTTTGACGGTTGAAAACGAACGGCATTTTTTTTCCCGGTGTTTTTCCAGCAACAATGGGCATAAACTTATTGAACAGCCCAGTGAAACGATGTCTGCTATAAAATAACCAGCCCTTAAATCGTTCTATTTCATGAAAATATGACAAATGCAAAAGTTTGCCAGACAGCTTTGGAAATCACAAAGCTCAGACTGTTCTGGCTCCATAAACAGTACCTTTGTGAATTTGGTTTCGAGACTAAATTGAATTTTTTTTAAAATTAAAAACATACCATAAAAGTCAGTCGGGCAGAACGTGGGCCTTTCATGTAACCTAATAGGACGTATTGACTGATACAAGTGGTTTCAAAGAGATATTCAGTACTTTTTTGTCATGCTTGTGTGTATGTGATGAACATAAAGCTCCATTTTTTCCGCCCCCACATACAAAAAGATCAAATAGTAACTAATATTGGAAAATTGAAATAGGGCTGTATAAACTCACCACCACTGCAGTAGGGTTATATACTGCAGAGGTAAATTATGTAAGGCTCAGTAAGCTTAATACAAAATTACATTACAAAAAAAGAAAAGCCTTTTTTAGTTTGTTTAAAGACTTCACTTAATTCGATCCTGCCAAATTGAAATACTAAATGCTTAACATGAGAAATAAATCAATGAAGTTCTTTTCTAATTAAAAAAACAATGCAGCTTCGGTCTGAGCACATGCCTCAAAGCACAAATTGAAGATATGTGTATATTTTTGCTGTAACAATGTATCAATTTGCATCATGGGCCATGCGATAAATTTCGGGTCAAAGTGTGACATTTTTCCTGTTCCCTGCCGTTCAAGTAGCATAAAGAATGACTTCAAACGATCTTTTATATGTTGGGTAGGTAGTTTGCTGTTCGTATCACTCTTGGAGGATGACTGCAGGGAGTGCCCCAGAGTTAAAAAATCATAGGTGTCAGATGAAGCAGGGACAGGAAGAACCCAAAATTTATAGACTGACTCTTAATTTAACAAGTCTTGTGACTCTGTGTAGTGGTCAAGTGCCAGACCATGTGTCACAAAATCGACACGGTACTATTTCAGCCAGCGTACTGGTAAGCGGGACGACCTTTGAACCCTAACCCCGTGACCTTGAATAACGAGCCAGCCAATGGCTGCTCTTGTTGTTTCTGTTCGCTAAGGCCATCCTTTGAGGTCGTGACATACAGCGTGTCCAGGTTCTTTCCTCCAAAGCAGCACGGCGTCACATACGCACAGGGGAAAGTAATGGTGTGCAACTTCTCCCCTGGAATATAAAAAGGGAAAAACATTTTTTGGGTCATTCTGTCACAAAGGGTTGTCTTTTCCTTTCCAGGTAATGCCCGAGCCCTAATATCTGCATCTATGCAGCATTGCTGTCAAGTCCATCCCAAGTCTGTCACAAGTCCTCACAAGTCCGTCACAAGTCTTCAAAAGTCCATCCTAGGTCCATCCCAAGTCTCTCACAAGTCTCTCACAAGTCCAACACAAGTCCAACACAAGTCCATCACAAGTTCATCATAAGTCCATCACAAGTCCATCATAAGTCCATCACAAGTCCATCATAAGTCCATCACAAGTCTAACACAAGTCCTCAAGTCCATTACAAGTCCTCACAAGTCCGTCACAAGTCTTCAAAAGTCCATCCTAGGTCCATCCCAAGTCTATCACAAGTCTGTCACAAGTCCATCACAAGTCCATCACAAGTCCATCACAAGTCCATCACAAGTCCTCACAAGTCCATCACAAGTCCATCACAAGTCCAACACAAGTCCAACACAAGTCCTCACAAGTCCATCACAAGTCATCACAAGTCATCACAAGTCATCACAAGTCCATCACAAGTCCGTCACAAGTCCATCACAAGTCCTCAAGTCCATCACAGGTCATCTCAAGTCCATCACAAGTCCAACACAAGTCCATCACCAGTCATCCTGTTCTAAGTCAAGTTACTTCAAACTTGTGCCATGACTTGTAGATTTGTGATAAACTTGTGATGGACTCAACTACAACACTACACCTGTGCCCATCTTCTATCGCATTTTTTTTAAAACCTTCTTTTTTGTTCTGTAGCCCAAATATATTTCATCTTTATGTTGGGCAAATTCTGCTTTAAAGATGGGAACACCTAAACTTGAAGGAAGCATACGACCTGCACATGAGTCTGGTACTGCCTCAGGTTCTGTGGATCAGTTTGTTCAAGTTTGCTTGTTGGGTGTGTTGGGGTTGTGTGTGGGTTTTTTTATGGGGGGGGGGGGTTGTTGTTGTTGTTGTTGTTACCTGTTAGCGGATTGTATCGATTGATGCTTGAGCTATCGAAGCAAGCCACCCACACCATGCCCTCTGTGTCTATTGTCATTCCATCGGGATATCCATCCTCCTCGGGGATCTCAATAGCAGGCCGTCGATTGCCTGCAACATAGGTCAAATTAAGAGGAAAAAAAAGAACTGAAAAGAAAAAAACTCTCAATGAAGTGGAGTTTGCAGAGACGTAGTCCAGTCTTGACAAGTCGATCACAAGTCGATCACAAGTCATTCACATGTTATAAACAAGTCGATCACATGTCGATCACATGTCGATCACAATCAGTCATGACTCAGTCACAAGTTGATCACAAGTCAATCGCAAGTAATTCAGGTCAATCCAGTCATCAGCAAGCAGTTTGCAGCAATTTAATGCAATTCCTACTTGACAAGTAAAACCAAGTCAGTCACAAGGTAGTCGTGAGTCACTCACGAGTCAGTCACAAGTCACTCTTAAGTCAAGTCAGGCACAAGTCAATCACAAGTCTGTCATGAGTCAGTCACAAGTCAATTACAAGTCAAGTTGCAGACTCAGTAACTGAGTCCCAGACCCAGTAACTGGGGCGCTAGAACTCCTTCTTTGACATTTTAGCTTGATCCAAGCCAAAATTCAAGGAGTACTAGTGCCGGCCAGTTAATGGGTTTAAAAGTCGCAAGGACTAGACAAGGAATTCCTTTATCATTGTTCATCCCTTTATCATTGCTCATCCCCTGTTTCATGCGGCCTTCCTTGTGATTTGACATGCGATTAATTTCAAATACGAATATAAATTTCTAGAAATTAAAAACCAGATCTGGACTTAAGAACAAAATTACAAGTAACAAGCATCTTCTTTGACAGAAAACTATGTACAAATCTAATCTAAGTTTTAAATTATAGACTAAATGCACTCTTTATAATTTATGCATCTCTGAAATTAATAAAAACTAGGGCCAAGTTCGGGCAAGGACCATTAGTCGACTAGTGGTTGATTTGTGACGTACCTTACGCCTGCGCACTAATAGCAATGTGCGAACGTCTCTAGTCAAACGCTGGTCAAAATGTCATCGCAAAACTTCTGGATCCTGGCTCTGTGCTAGCGTTATGAATGCGCGCGGCTATTGGTTACCAGCGAAGCAACCAACCCCAGTAGGCTGGTTCCAAATAGTCGACTAGCGTAGTAAACCACTGTCGACTAGACAGAGTTCGGGCAAACGTTAGTTAAATATTGGTCAACTATAGTCCTTGCGCGAACTTGGCCCAGGTTGGATGTGTTAAATTGTATTTTAAATTATGTTTAATAAATGACCAGAATGGGGTGATTCCCTTACTTGGTGTTCCTGTATCCAAACAGTAGTCGAATGCATCCACCTTGTGCGATAACGAATCGATGTAGTACATTGTCTTGTTGTCATGACTCCAGCATAAACCGTTGGAGATGTCAACACCATCGATGTGTTTGGTCACGGACCTGTCTACATCCAGACAGTAGAGGGAGCCCTGCTTGGGCTTCACTCTGGTCGGCGTTTCCAGTGGTCCAAGTGTCCCTTAAAACATAACACAAATTTTCAAAGAACATTATTCATCAAAGAAGATTTAATATTGATTCAATATTAAATCAGATGAATGAAAAATTTGGCTTTGTATTCCTTACCTGCCCAAAATCTGCCCCTTGCATCACACTTTCCATCGTTGAAGTGATTCTCGGGCCGATCTTGGTCCACCTCCCCGATGGGCGTGGCTACCCCGCCCTCCCAATCCAAAGAAAGGAAGCGATGTTTGCCAGTGATGAGCAGCACACCTGGTGTCTTTGTTGTCACAACACAGCCGACATTTTCATCTGCCAAAAAAAAGAAAAGGTTATTCACTGAAAGTCTTGCATCTGGTCTACACAATGGGCCGGATTAACCCATTCATTGGTGTTACAGGGTAATCCTGTACAATGGCACTGCCCGGCTCTAGCTCTTCACCATCTTCAAGTGAGTCAGCAAATGAGTCAGTCAGTCAGATAGGTGCACATGGGACAGGCTGGTTCTCTGGGACCCCTTACCGAACTGGACTCTATAATAGCAGTCCAATAGCAGTCCAATAGCATGTGCATGCTATTATAGCATTCACATAGCATTCACAGATGATGATGACTTGATGACTGCTAACTTTAGCAGTCCAGCATTCTCAATAGCATGCAGAATGAAAATAGCATTCCAAATAGCATGCAAGCTTCAAAGCATTCCACATAGCATGCAAGTGAAAGTGGGAGGACTAAAAATTGAGTATAGCATTCCAATTTAGCAGTCAGTTGTAAAATAATTTTAAAGTATAGCATTCCGTGGCTCAGCAAAGCCTGCAAACAGCATTCCAATATATAAGCCTATCGTATCATGGACTACAAGTCACATGACACAGTGATGACCTTCCATTCCACAGATTAACGGTCAGTGTGGGAAATTTGAAAACTGCAGTCAGTTGAATATTGTCAGCGCAGAGTGCAGTCAGGCTGCACATAGTCTTGCAAGAAATTGTAGGAATCATGGACATTAGCTTATGGTATGAATGCTTGTGGACATAATTTCATGTTCACATGCATGCACTCAACCTGTACATGACAAAATACATGTACACTGGATGATTGGCTGAATGGACTAAAGTCTTTGGAATTGAAAACTTCAAAGCAACAGTTTGGAGGCCTCCATACACGTGCAACACACTCACAAAACAGCTTGTATTTGGTAAGTGTACTAGGCTGTGGTGGTATTCAATTTTTGGCTTGATGAAGCCAAATTTTGGATGAAGCATATTTTGGTTTTGAGCATGTTTTGAGCATGTTGGTGTTCAAGGTGTTGAGATGTGAAGTCTTATTTATAAACATATATTCCTTAATTCCTCCATGATTGAATTTTTGAATCAGCTACATTTTGAATGAAGCACAAATACATGTACATGTAATTGTTTTTAAATTGTGATGCCAAATACAAAAGTGACTAGTGGTTGCTTCAAAGATAATTCAAGTTAAGCAGAAATATATAGTTGCATCAAATTTCTGGCCATTGCTTAAAGCATGACAATGTTAGACAAAGTGTTTCGATGTTTGTACGTACACCAAAGAATGAGGCTGATAAAGTCTTAAAGAACAAATTTGTAATTTTATATATTTTGATTGCAGGTCCACATCATAGGTCTTTTAAATTTCAAAATGTGTTGTTAAAAATGGTTCAGTGCATAACATTATTAGATAGGCCTAAAGCTTTAACACGGGAGTTATTTTGGGTGAATTGTGAAATTGAAAATGTACTTTGTAATTGTACGATGCCCGGCCCTGTCCTTGACACGATAGCAGTCGTGATAGCATTCACATAGCATTCATCATAGCATTCACATAGCATTCACATATAGCATTCACATAGCATTCCAGTTGAATGCTATGAAAGCATTCGTAATAGCATGCGAATGCTATAGCTCATTTAAATAATTTGGCTTCCTGACATGCTATCGGACTGCTATCGGACTGCTATCGGACTGCTATACCTCAATGAATGCTATATGAGAATGCTATTGGAGATAGCATTCATTTATAGCATTCGCATGCTATGCGGACTGCTATCGGACTGCTATCGGACTGCTATTGGACAGCAGTCATGTTCGGTAAGGGACCCCCCAAAAATACAGAAAAACTAAAAAAAAAAACCACCAACTTCAATGGCTCAATAATCTCAGAATGTGTAGAATTTCATGGTTAATTGCAAATTATACCCAGAAATTCTGCATATAAAGATTCTGAGCTTAGAAGCCGGTAAGCAGTGAGCACCGATTTTCTGTGCTGGCTAGCTGTAAGCACATTATGCAGTTCATATATAGCACAGAATTTCCTGGTTAGCAGAACTTTGGTAGCAGAAATCGGCTCTTAATTACTATACCAATTTTCCTTGTCTCATGTTTCTGAGTCTCCGGATCCCAGCGATGTACAACTCCACTGATGTGGTCAATGAAGTACAAACACTGATCGACGTCGTCCCAATGAGGTCCTTCCAGCAACACCCCACACCTCTCCAAAACCACAGACACAGACATTTTCTAGGTCCTTTTTTCTATCTGATAGATGTTAAAGGGAATATACATCATTTGCTTTTGCTGCAATTTTCAGAAATGGATGGAATTGGGGGGCTGGAAATATATAGCAAATATAGTTACACTGACTTTTTTGAGGTTCTGGGTTCGAAAATGCTATAAAAACCAAGAAAAACAATCATTTTCCTGTAGTCTGGTTCCCTGACTCCATATAAGAAGAAACAGAGCAGTTTACATACATTGGGGAATTGTAAGGTCACTGAACCAGTCTAGCTGGCTTTTACCCGTTCGTAGCTGTGTAATCGATTGCAAACAAGTGCGATGGTCAACTGGGGCCAGTATTTGAAAAAAGCCAGTTTTTCCAACGCTGATCGGCCGATCAGCGTTGGAAATTGATACAAAAATACCACTTTTCTTGAAAATGACAGTATACCAGGTGCCATGATTTTACAGGATGCTTTACATTATCATTCACTAACAGTCTAGTAAGGTATTTCAAAATGATTTGGTAGTTTTATTTTTTGATGTTTGCAAATGTTGTATTTTCCCTTTAAGAAAAAAAAAGCAAGAAAAAACAGAGACAAATTTAAGGGACAAATTAGAAACCCAAGTTTTAGAGTTTGTTTACCATGGCTTTATATATTTGAACCTTGTTGATAGACACCAATCTGAGTGTCAGTAAATAACGGTATTTAACCCCCCCCCCCCCATTTTCTTTATTCCTCATTTATTTATTTAGTTGTGTGGTTTGAGAGTACGTTGTGTGTACGAGTACGTTGTGTGTACAAGTAGGCGTGTAAATTCACAGTAAAGTCATGCATATTCATAATTGTGTTAAGTCAGCCAGTCATGGAACGTGATGTGTGTGCAGAGGAATTGGTTGTCATTATACTGACAGACTCCATAACCACAACTCTATATAGATGACCATATTCCAGAATCCGCTTCCATAAGTTATTCAAAATTGCCAACCTTCAAAGTAATAATTTACAAATTAAAAAACTCACCCGGAAAGAAATTCAACAAGCTTGTTGTGTATCACTATGATAACAGGATCAATCGGTCACAGGGCGCAAGGTCTAAAGGCCAGAAAGATACAGAACACTCACAATTAGAAAACTCCATGCAGCTAGCTGCATATAAAGGTGGTACATCAAAAGCAAATAAGTACACACAATCGTTTACAATGATTGGGTAACTGTGTCCTTGAACTTTGTAGTGTCCTAAATAAAGGCAGTGTGTATTGCACAAGGGGCGTTTTTGTGTGTGCTTATGGCAAACTGAACGCAAAGGCCTATAATAGGGTTTATAAAAGGGATCATTTGGGAAGTATAAACTTAGACTTGTTGAACTGAAGCAGCAAACTTTTTTATTTCATTGTTCAGAAACCAATATGGAAACAAATAAGTATCCAGGCACCACTTCTTTGGTCGTGTACAAAGTCTAAGGAGATCGAGTCGAGTGCATTGTACAAAGTATTTCCGAACAAAATTGGAAGCGTTGTTTAGTGTCAGATTCGTGTCTTTTCAACCTTTTTGCAATGACTGACCTTCATTGAGATGATAAATGATGAAAATAGTGCCGTCAGGATCCAATATTCTTTCCGTCAATTTCATAGATCCGCGAAAAAATTGTAATTCCATAATTAAATGGGGCGGATTTCTTCAAGTTTCAATCAAAATTGAGACATATTGCTGCAAAAAGGCAATTTAAAGACGATCCATTCTTTTGAGAGCAACTTTTAAGGAGGCGGGGTTAGAGGAAGGGATTCTGATCTGACAAGTGTACATCTTTGAAAAGAGTTCCATACCTGGACATCACTGACACCCTGTGCACAAACCCTATGAGACTGGGCTGGAAAATTCCAAGTCTTTTCTCAGAATATGCTTCAATATTTTCCATGCTAAATTTTTAGGACATGTTATTGCTTTCTGATGGCTGATAGGTCGATCACTGCAGGGAGAAAGGAGTGATGTCCATGTATGAAATTCTTCCCAAACCGATTTATTCTGGACTAAAAACCACACAAAAGCAACTAACTCAGGGAGAGGGTTAAAATTGGTTGTTTTTTAAAAATTTGTTTTAATATAACCTGAATTTCATATCTTTTATTGAAGATATATAATTTGCAAGTCAGAATTGTTCCGCACACATAAAGCTCTATTATTGCAGAAGTTTATTCAGTGGCGGTTCTTTAAAATTTATTATTAGAAAAATGTTCCAAAATGTAGTCTTATTTTAAACGCAGGAGTTCCATTTGTTTATTTATCTATTTACCTATCAAAATCTTTATATAAACATTGAACACACAGGCACGATATATTCAAATAGTCTTAGTTATTAAGAAAAATTACCTTTTCAAATATACATGTATAAAATTCGGACGCAAATTTGCATAATGCCCAATAGTTATTTTCTTCACCACAATTTCTTTTTTTTACACTTTTTATGTAGCTGTTTTTTAAAGCTATAGTCCATCATTTGCAGCCATCCGAAAAAGTAACTGCCGTATTATTGTTGAAAAACATACTTGGTTGAAAGATAGTAAGTGGACTAAACTCCCTGTGAAATTAATCTTTCTGGCAAGCTATCATTTTGGAGTAACCAACAAAAGAAGGCCTTTCCAACGGTGCGTCTTAAGACGCACCAAAGGAAAATTTAAATTAGTAGTTCGTTTTGTTATTCGGCGCAGCGCGCGCAAGCATTGGCACGACGCACAGGCGCGCGCGGTTGCTATAATTCGTCGGATCAGTGCGCGACATCGCGTATAGCTGCAATTCAAAACAATTCAAAACATAATTCAGCGACTTTTGATTTGAAATTGAGATCCTAGAATGCTGTTTTTCTTGGGATACACACAGTGGCGTCACCAGACTTTTCAGTCTGGGGGGGCACAGGGGGGGCACCAGCATTTGATGGGGGGCACTTAGGTGGATACGGATCGCCGTCCTGGGGGAGGGGTCTAAGGGGTGCCCCCCTCCCCTTTGGAAAATTTTCGCATACGGAGGATGGGCTAGATGCAAAATGGTGCCACATTTGATGCTAAATTCGATCTGAAGATATCTCCAGAAATTGCTATTTAACCAACTCAGATGATGGGAGTTGAATATAACAAAATATATATATAATTTTTTACCAACCCAAATCTCAGATGGGGGGGCACTCGGGGGGCACTAGGTTTTCCAGGGGGGGCACGTGCCCCCCCTGGCCCCCCCTTGGCGACGCCACTGGATACACAGCTGAAGCTGAGCTGAAACTTCATCAGGTTAGTTGTTCAGTATCCTTCATTAGATTTTGAACACTTTTGTTGCTTCAAACGAACAAAATGCACAAATTACAAATGATGGACTATATCTTTAAATGATATACTTGATAGTTGTTAGTGTGAATATCATAATTGCATTAACGTCAAAGAGTTATCAACCATTGCCATTGATTTAAATTACACACAGGTCAAATTATCGATTGCACTATTACTGAAATAAAGACATATCTTAACAAGAACAGCAAAAACAAGTTTTAAATCAAACATAATAAAATATAATGTTCAAATTATAAATTGGCTGACTTTTATCATACTTTTGGACAGCGTTTTGTCAGAATGCTGATATATTAGGAGCTTGATTCTTGAGTGCACAAAACAGGCATGATATTTGACCCTAGGAAAAAAGATACGGAAATGTGTTCTGCAGACCGCCAAAAGTTTAATGTTACTGTCGTAGTACGACAGTAACATCCCAAATGTCAAAAAAGGAGTTCTATCGACCCAGTTAGTGGGACTAATCTCAGGGTAACATGTTTCCAAAAATAAAAGAAGTGCGTGGCATCTGGTGGAGCATCTAAACTTTTGAAGCATCTTTTAGAGAATATATTCAAAAGAAAAGTATTCAAAATCCGATGCAGCCTCAAAAAAGAAAAAAAGAAAAAAAAGAAAAAGAAGGGGGTGGGCCATTGGGGTTTATTGGTGGTTTTCAAGGAATGGATGGAGCAATAACAAAACATGAATTGGTTCTAGTAAAACAATATTCAAAATAATAAAAACGGTAAGACGGTTTCAGCTGAAACAAATTGCAGTTGCAATGCTGTCACTCAGAGCTTCCAAATAGGGGAATGGAAATTGATTTTCTCTTCTTAAAAATGTTTGCAAACAGGACGTGGGTCCTTCAATTTAATGAGACTTTTGACATATTAGGCCTATACAACCATCATGTAATCGGCAGGGCGTAAATCCGGGGTGGGGGTGGGGGTATATATCCTCCTCCCCCCTTTTTTGGCCGGGGAGGGGGGGGGGGTGGACTGTTGAATCATCCCACCCCCCCCCCACACTTTTTCGTGATGAGAGAAAAAAATTGATTTTGAGGTCATTTTTCAACATCCCAACAACCAAAATGTATTCAATAGCACTGAAAAGTGGTGAAACGAAGAACAAAAGCTTTTAAAATGCGCCTATTTGATTTTTATGATTTGATTTTTAATTGTTTTTTTTTTTTTATGTATTAGCATGAATACATGAATGTTCAGAATTTCCTGGGTAGCACTGCCAAAACTCCCAAGACTAGATATCCATCTTGTTAATGGGACCGGCAGTATTAGGGACATCCAGCCTTGCACCAATACTACCAAGTCATGCCCTGGATCTCTTAAAGCCGAAGTCAGGAACAACGCCAACATTTTTGCAACCCATTAATCTGCAAAGTCGGCACCAGCAAAACCTCTGACCCCTAACCCCGTGACCCTAAAGACAGAACCGGCCAACGGCTGTTCTTTTTTCACGACTTCATCGCTGAGCCCAACTCGTGTGCAAGTCACATACAGTTCGTCCAAGTTGGGCCCTCCAAAGCAACATGAGGTGATGTTAGTAGTCGGAAACATGATGGTTTGAAGTTTCTTACCTGAGTATGGGAAGAAAATAAGACTCGCTTTTACAAAAGTGGCAATGCCTGCAAATTCATTGCACTGGCAGTTATTGGACAATTGTACACCTACGTGATTATCTTTACCTATTCCAGGACAACTTTCCTAAGCATTTGTATAAATGAAAAATAGTACTTTATAAACCTCAAAATCAATATTATTCAATATTCAAGCTTATTCAATATTCATACCTTATCATACAACCTTTTTCATCTGAACTGTATCCTTTTTTTATAGTAACATTTACTCATTTTTTTTATACTAGATTATTTCAAAATTGTGTTCCCTGTACTCATCAACAAATGTAACTTATTCTCTCTCAAGAAATTTTCAACTTGTATGTTTCATTCCAACCAAACAACCTCCGTTTTTTTTTCTTTTTGGAAGTCTACAAGCCTCTGAAAATAAAAACACAAGGATTTTGTGTTGCCGGTACAAACAGATCCGCTTTGCAAGGAGACTGGTTGCCGGACCGCGCATAATTGATACTGATTGTTGGGCGGGAACCAGCCTACCATGTGAGAACGGAATTATTGTTCGACAGGCAATTATTCCAAATTTGTATTAAAAGTAAAAGTATTCAATTGCCAAAACATGGGCTGATTTTTTGGGGGGGTCGGTGCCTCATTCTAAAAGGGAATAACTTTTTTATCGCTCGAAAAATAGCAATTTAGAAATGGAATATATTTTTAAGGGAAATGCAACTTTAATAAGAGGAACACAAGGTGTAGATCAAAAGATGGTTTACAAATTCCCAAATGCAGTAGATGGTATTTATAAGTGCACCTCTGCCTGTTTATTGTTCAAATCTGAATGTAAATACATTTCAAAATCTAATTTGAATATTTGGCCACAGGGGCATGGGCGTATCAAGGTCATTTTGATGGGGGGTGGGGGGGGTTAAACATTTCTTGCAAAGGGCACTTGCAAATTCCGTGCTGAAATGTAGACATTTTTTTTTTCTCTGGACACTTTGCCTCCGTAAAATATAAGGAGGGGGGGGGGGGGGTAGGTACCATAGTGTCGATGGGGGCGCTGTTCAAAACCAACGATTATGCACACTAACGTACAATATATTGTGTTTTTCAGGGTGATACATGCGCAAAATTCACAAAACAGCACCCGTAATGGGCGATGACACAAAAAAGGGCAAGACTTGTGTTTAAAAGGGCACTTGTATAGAAAAAAAGGCACTTGTTAAAAAAAAAAGGGCACTTGATAAAAAAAGCGCACTTGTTAAAAAAAAGGGCACTTGTTAACAACAGAAGGGCACTCTTTACAAATATTAGGGGGGGGGGAGTTAAGCGCTTGTGAAAAAAGGGCATTTGAATGGAAACGGGCAGTCTTTACAAAATATTGGGGGGGGGGGGGTAAATCCCATTTTGAAATTAATTTACCAGTCGTGGGGTCGTATCGGATGATTTGTGCCTTGCTGAAGCATGCTAACCATAGCATGCCCTGTTCGTCGATGCACATGCCGTCGGGCCAGCCTTCCTCTGCAGCCACTTTAACCGCTGGGCGACGGTTACCTTTTAAGATAAAGAATGGAACAAAAACTCATAAGTCGAATAGATGTTTGTACTCATTAATTTTGAGGTAATGATGATGGACTCCATTCATGTATCTCAAACTGGTTCCCAACCCCCAATTGGAGTAAATAATGTAGTGATCGGGAACCAGTCAGCTGGCAGGGCGAATCTGTTCGTGCACACAAAAGCAACCAAAATGAAAGCCTTTCTTTTCAGAGGTTCACAGACGCTCAAGAATTGAAAATGAAGGGATCCTTGCTTTTCATTAAAAATAAAATGTACAAGTTATTAGGAGAAAAATATATTGGTCTTGTTGTAGAGCACTGGCTGTACATTGTTAAGTTCGGCCAAGAAAAAAAAAAGTTGGGAGAGATGATGGCCAATTAAATTTGTTAAAGGGTCCATGAAATACATTTTTCTTTGGAAAATATTTTGTGCAACTATTTCTACTCCCCTTTAATGTATAAAACTGTTTGACATCCCTCGCTGGTGTAGAAAAGGGCAATTCTTTAAACATTTAAAATGTTCAATGCTTTCCCGGACATCTGAGGGCGCTGTTGCTGTGATGTCATTTCAGGGAGACAGTTTAGGAGTTTTCTGTTCAAATTATGAACCCTAACTTTGCTCAATGAAAACATCCCTGAGAAAAGTTTACTCATTAACTTACTGCTATGTACTGACAACGAATCATCGCAGAAAAGAAAATTTACGACAGCAAAATATCCAAAATACTGGCAACTTTTGGTGCTGAAATAACTGCAACATTGAGGTTTCTGCCTGAAATGACATCACACTTTGGCTCATGAATATGGAAATTTTCATTAGCATGAACACCAAAATGGCACCAAAATACCCTTGAAAATGGCAAAACAAAAATTGAAAAATAAGATTAAATGGGATACAGAGTTGCATTTTCAGGGATTGCATTAAAAAAAAAATCATTGCATGGGCCCATTAATTTTCAATTTTTTTTTTGGGGGGGGGGGGCCATTAGTTTCACATACTTGTTTTTCCAGTTTCCAGGTCGTAATCGAAAGCCTCGATTAGCCTGGTCAATGTGTCAACGTAGTACATGATCTTATTGTCAAGGGACCAGGCTATGCCGTTAGAGATGTCCAAGTCCTCTGCGTGCTTGGTGACAGACTTGTCAGTGTGCAGACAGTAGAGGGAGCCCTGGCGCCGACGCACTTCGACGGGCTTGTCCTCTGGACCCATAGTCCCTGTGCACAAATGTTTCATAAACAAAACAAAATTTGTAACATTTACTCAAAGCATGTGAACTATGCATCTGTTTTCAAAGGGAATTAGAAACTGCATGTTAAGATATGCATGTAAAGAGATTCAAGATGCAGTTTTGTTCCAGATACATGTAATTAGCTGTTTCGGTGTACACACCGAAACAGCTCTTGTTTCTGTTATTTTTTTTTTTCTCTTTTATTTTTCAGACTTTTTTCTCATAGGATAACACGTGTTTTCGTTCTACAAGTCACTTTTGGCTTTTTTTCAAATCCGATCGACTTCAAACCTGGCACACACTTAGACCACCATCTGAAGATGTGTGCCGAAACTTTTCGTCATGCTGACGTCATCATGTGATTTATTATGGAATTTTGAATATTTAATTTTTCCCATAGACTTTGTACACAGAATTTTTTTTTTAAATGTCAATTTTCAAAGGGCATTTTCGACACTTTGCCAGTAATTCATTTACACCAATCTTTGTCCAAGCAATGACCCTAATTCAAACAACATTGTGTAATGATGACGTCATGATGACGTCATCTGGTGTTTATTTATAGGCAATTAAATTGTGACACTTTTAATATTTAAAAATGCATAAGAAATCAACCGTACGCGTCCGCAGCATTCTGTTGCCTGCAAGTGGTAGAGTAGGTTGAGGCCTTTATTTCATTCAGTGTGCGTAAAATCACGTGACCCTTGCTTCCGGTCGAAAAAGGCCCAAACCGGAAGTGGCTTATTATTTAAAAGTGGTAATAGATATGAACTTGCTTTTAACGGTGTTAGTCTCTTGGCTGATAGTTTTCTTCAAATCTTCTACCGATGACGTCATACAATCTTCGAGCGCCCTCTAGCGACAGGTTGAAAATTTTCAAAAATGTATTTTGAATAGATGTCTGTGGCGAAGTTTGTCGGAATCGCCTAAATATTGGTGTATATGATGACCTTGACCCACTTAAGACGTGTGCGAAGTTTAAGGTGTATGACGTCATCAGACCGGAAGTTATAATAAAAAGACCCTTTTTCCTTAGAAAATTCCTGAAAAATCAACCATGGCAGTTTTTATATTAGTTCTTACTTTAATTGTCTATTTAAGGGTAGGTCTAAAATATTTCAAAGCTTCGAGGCAATAAGCAAACTTGGACATGCCCTGCGCACGCTTAAAACTTCAGGTTGACAATAACTCTGCTTTAAAACATGCACAGTCCGCAATGTACATGTACAAGCACGTACGTTGTACATATCGTATGTCAGTCAGCCCGCGCGCAGCGCACGTGTTGCTGAGGTCAAATCCTGTCCACAGTGACCGTTTTAGCCGATTTCCGGCTGACTTTGACAGATTTCATGTTCATGCTTAGTCAGGGACGTAGCATAGACACTATTTGTATAGAATACGCATGTACATGTTCATTCGACCTGGATGAAACTCCTTTACTGCAGTCATTAATAAAACGGTCGAAACAGCTCAGTGTTTGTCCACAAACACATTTCTAGTTGTTTTTGTTTCCCATCTTTTCTTAGAAATAGTTTTAAAGGGAAAATACAACATTTGCAAACATCAAAAAATAAAACTACCAAATCATTTTGAAATACCTTGCTGGACTGTTAGTGAATGACAGTGTAAAGCATCCTGTAAAATCATGGCACCTGGTATACTGTCATTTTCAAGAAAAGTGGTATTTTTGTATCAATTTCCAACGCTGGTCGGCTTTTTTTCAAATACTGGCCCCAATTGACCATCGCACTTGTTTGCAATCGATTACACACCTATGAACGGGTACAAGCCAGCTAGACTGGTTCCCTGACCTTACAATTCCCCAATGTATGTAAACTGCTGTTTCTTCTTATATGGAGTCAGGGAACCAGACTACAGGAAAATGATTGTTTTTCTTGGTTTTTATGGCATTTTTGAACCCAAAACCTCAAAAAAGTCAGTGTAACTATATTTGCTATATATTTCCAACCCCCCAATTCCATCCATTTCTGAAAATTACAGCAAAAGCAAATGATGTATATTCCCTTTAATCCTCCTCTGCACACACAGTTGTTTTTTGCAATGCTTCCAAGGATTGGCTTTGTGTTTTCCTTTGTTCCCTGATCTAAACCTTTCCCATAGACTTAGTGCACAAACCGGCGTTCGAGGACAATAGCCACCGTCGTTCGAGGAAGAATGGCCCCTTTGTGCTCCTTTTGTTGTCTGTCCTCGAGCGTAATACAATACAGGAACACAGCTCAGTGGAAACTTGCAGTAGACTCATTTTGTGGATTTCAGTATACTTTTGTACATGAACTGTAGTTCCATAGGAGTTTCATTTTTTATAAGAACTGTTTTTAAATTGCGATTTGTTTCTTTTAATTTACTTTCTTGTTGCAGTTTTTTAGTTCATTTCCGTACTTAGAGTCATTTTCCACTAGTGCTGTGTGGGTTTTGGGTTTCTAACTTATTTTCCATTGGTATTTTTTCTTTTAACTTAGTTGTTTTCTGTAATTTTCTCCCACAATTTAATCCAATGGTTAATTTTTTTTATCCTTGGCAAAGTTTTATTTTTTGTTCTCTTTGAAAAGTTCCCGGCGTTTTGGTTTTTATATTATTTGCCTGGGTTTTTGACCCAGACTGAGATTTGTTTTGAAGTATTTGAGAAAACAATTTTTTTTATTAATTTTAATTAAGGATAGCCATTGTTGTTGTTTTTTTAATCAGGTTGAATTAAATTTTTGAGAAGTCTATTTTGTTTCCTTTTCTTTTTGTCCCAGCTTAATAACTAAATCGCAACTTAATCATTTTGAACCAGGATTTTTCTAGTGAGCCATTTTTTGCCGTTAATGTCGCTCAAACATTTGGGACTCTCAAGTCGAGAAATAAAATGTACATTTTATGACTGACCTGCCCAAAGTCTTCCTTTGGCATCGCATTTGCCATCGTTGAATCTGTTCTCGGGTTTATCCGCATCCACGTTAGCGACGGTTGTCAAGGCCCCAGTCGACCAATCAAGGTAAGCGAAACGGAGCCTGGCGGCAAGGAGAAGCTTGCCCGATGTTGTCGTGACGATGGTTCCTGCATTTTCACCTGTGGAACAGAGACAAAAATAAGGAAAAGAATTGAATACATCTTTGATTTGGTTGGTTGATGGAAGCATATAGTGTGGAGTATGTAGGGGTATGTGGGCAAATTGCAATCCAAGTTTCTAGCGCTTTTGCTGAAATTCTAAGGGAGATATTTTTGCAACCTTTCAACGGTTACACCTCTATGTTCCGACACCCCTATGTTCCAACTGCACATATTCCTATTCCTAACCCTAACCCTAACCGGGAGTAACACAATCTAGGTTGTCGGAACATAGGGGTGTCGGAACATAGAGCAGTCACCCTTTCAACTGTCCCCTCCCCCCTCTTCCTGCTTACGATATTCTATCCCATGCAGACCCTATCCCCATCTGCCATTTTTGTACAAAAAGCCTGACTAGATATATTTGGGGCGACCAGGTGGGGTGAACAAAATCTTTTGGTATTTAATTAGCTCAGTTCAGTTGGTAGAGCACTAGAACGAAAGATCAGAAATGTTGCATCCGGACGCCGGTTTTTTCTTCATAATATCTGTATTATCTCAATGAAGTTCAGTCACTGCAAAAATGTTGCAAAGACATGAATCTGGGACTGAGAAACATTTCCAATTTTGCTAGGAAATACTTGGACAATTTTCTTGACTCTCCAAAAACTTTGTACACAACTGCTGAAGTGGCATAAAGTAGGCCTACTACTACTAGTACTCAATAAGCCCTGCTCCAGTCATAGATTTCTTTGTTCAACTTGTCATTTGTTTTATATTTAGGCCTAGGCCTAATTATAATTAGGCTAGTATTAAATAAGGGAAAAAAATCTATATATGGCCCTCACTAAGGCCAAAAAAAAAATAATATTCGGTCTCTGGTCAGACCAAAGTTCCGGAATTGAAGCGGCCACGCGGCTGTTTTTTTTTTTTTTTTTTTTTTACTTCCAAGCTTGGATTGTACCAGGGGTGTGAGTGACCTCTGACAAAAATAGCTGAAAACAGCTGAAAACAGCTGAAAAAAACTGAACTTTGGAAATTTCCTATACTTTTGTACACAGCAAGTGAGGGAAAATAGCTGAAATCCAAAACAAAAAAAGCTGAAATCAGCTATAAAGCTGAGATTTCACACCCCTGTTGTACAAACAAGGTGGGTACTATGTTGCTTCTTTGGTGTCCTCATGTACATTGGTGTCCTCCATAATTTGCCTTGGTGCAATCCTATGGTGCAATTTCCCATTCCTTGGTGCTCTTTGGTAAACAAAATTGAGGTGCGGAAATTGAGGGCGCTGTTGGAGCTACCGCGGAACATTTTGGAAAAAAAAAAGATTGACGCGCATGATTAAAAGCGACGCGCGCGCTGACCAGAGACCGACTTATTTTTTTTTTGGCCTAACAGTAACAATGTAAAACAACTCCATGCAAAGTGCAATGACCTTTCAATCATCATTAAGCGATAACATGTCTTAAAAAGTCAGATTTAGCAAGGAAAAATTTTGAAGCATTTACTCAGAAACTTTGAGAAAGCACTTAAAAAATTTCAGACTAGCCTCAGTCATAGGGTTTTCTTTCCCTTAACATAACAATTAAATCTCACCGGCGATCTACTAAACAACTGAATTATGTTAAAAAGTTCAAGTTCAAAGGTGAGTAGGCCTAGCCCGACTTAAAAAAAAAATCCCCCACCAGGCCATGGCCTCTACCTGGAGATGGACCATGGCCATGGAATTTGGAGAACAACTTGTTGTTTGCAACAGGAACGATGCCCCTTCTCCCAACCATTACACTTAGCCCGACTGCGTCTGGCCGTACAGTACTATCGCAAGCTCTGTAGTACGGCCAGACGCTGAATGCTTCCAAAAAGACTGAATTTTTTTGGCCGCTGATGTAGCGATTTTGCTACATCTTTTGATCGAGATTATCTTTTCATCCAGGACAAAAATTTCCACAGTTAAGGTTCTTAGTCGTAGAGCAACTCATACCTTTTCGAAAAAACGTTCTTTGGTCTCAATATTTTCATCCATCTGGCCAAAAGACGACTTTCAGTCATCATCTTCCACAAATATCGTCCCGAAAATGCTCCCCCATGCGATTTCAAAATGGCGGCCGCGCTGTAACTCATGAATATGCATGAAAAGTCTGTGACGTATGACCTCGTGTTTTTGGACGTGCGTGCGGCGGCGCCGTACGTACATATGTACATGTACATGTACATTACTTGTAGACAGCCCAGTACGTGCATGCACACCGCCGCGCGGACGTACGTGTGCATGCACGTACTGGGCTGTTGTCTACAAGTAATGTACATGTACATGTACGTACATGTACGTACGGCGCCGCCGCACGCACGTCCAAAAACACGAGGTCATACGTCACAGACTTTTCATGCATATTCATGAGTTACAGCGCGGCCGCCATTTTGAAATCGCATGGGGGAGCATTTTCGGGACGATATTTGTGGAATATGATGACTGAAAGTCGTCTTTTGGCCAGATGGATGAAAATATTGAGCCCAGAGAACGTTTTTTCGAAAAGGTATGAGTTGCTCTACGACTAAGAACCTTAACTGTGGAAATTTTTGTCCTGGATGAAAAGATAATCTCGATCAAAAGATGTAGCAAAATCGCTACATCAGCGGCCAAAAAAATTCAGTCTTTTTGGACGCATTCAGCGTCTGGCCGTACTACTACAGAGCTTGCGATAGTACTGTACGGCCAGACGCAGTCGGGCTACATTACACTCAGCAAAATTAACGCCCATGCAATTGTGCGCTGATCCGTTTGTCCGTGGTTAGCCCAGCTAGCTAGCTACATCGATGTGTAGGCCGCGCCAACAGCCGGGCCGCGCCGAGGCAAGTCTAAACTTACCAACATTAACTTTCTCATGACAGCTGTCCGCGGGACGGTAGCGATGCACAGTGTTGCCCAGAATATCTACGAAATAAAGGGTCTGGCTAGCAGCGTGCCAATGCGGTCCCTCGAGCAACACACCGCAATTCTTGACTACTGCTTCGATCTTTATTTTGTCAGAATTCGCCATGTTACCTGCAGCTACTGCAATTTCGTTGCACGAAAAGGGGCGTACATCATGTTATATGTACATGTTAATATGTGTAGCACCGGCCGCCGGCGTCGCGGCTTTGCGGACAAAGTGCAGCTGGGCCGGCCAAGGTCGAATAAAGATAATACATGTACATGTATGATATGGAACGCCAAAGAGGCATTTATGATATTGTATGCAAGTTGTTTATTTGCCAGTTGTTTTTTTTTTTTTTATATACATACGACCCATTTTATATCACAATTGTTACTTTACAATTACTTTTTTTGCCAATTGTTAGGCAAGGCAAAAATAAATTATACTTTACTGAAGACAGTGTATATCTGCCTTCAATTTTTCAGACTTTACTATATTATTTAATTTAATATAGCTCTAGCTATGACCATGACACACTGAAAGTCTGAAGCCGAGGTATTTGCTTTCAAAGGCGAAAGTGAACTTGTACTTCACACATACTAAATGAATTCTCACAATCTACAAACAAAAGGAAATTTTTCAGTATGATGAAGACGTTATCAAAGCTGGGTCGTATGTATAAAAACTAGCATTTGCTTTTACTACCCATTTTAAAGCATTTACTTGCATTTGTATTGTAACGGACAGTCTATGCAGCACTTTCGTTGTCATTGCTTTCTAGCGCTAGTGCTCCCCGGCGGAGAGGCTACGGCGGCGCGTACCTGACCTGGTTTTGGGTCTGGCTAGCGTGCGCTCCTAGCCTGAAACGGGCTCTATAAATAGGCTGGCTAAGTGGGGTTCTTTTGTTCAATTGCGCGGGAAGTTGATTCCAGGGTTGAGTAAAGTTGTAACATTTTAATACATTTTGTGAAATTGTGCATGTCCATATGCAGGGAATTGAACAGTTGCAGTTCTGGTAGCGGTGCGGCAAGTTGCCCGCAGAGTCCGCTTGGCGAAATAAATGAGATCTTCTTTCAGAGTTAGAAATCCCGTCTGTCTGTCCCAAAGTTTTCTTGCGTTTGGCCGGATTTGGCTGACAAGAGCCCAGATGGATCCCGCTACAGTATGAATAAAAATGAAGCAAATGCTTTTACTGGAAAGCATTTGCTGAAAGCTAAAAGTGTTTTCTTTTTACTTGTTAGCTTTTGCTAGACTAGAAGTGTTTACTTCATTTCGTATGAATAAAAACGAGTAAATGCTTCAGATTTCAAGTATTTAGTGGTCATTTTTCAAGGCTGGGTTGGGGCTACCTTGAGAATATACAGCAAATACTCCTGCGCAAAAATTGCTGCATTTATTAATAGTAATCGCGCCTAAACTAACACAAAACGTTAATAAACCATATAATACACTTTTTTTTGAATAACATTTATACGAAATTAAAATATTTTTTTATTATTAATTCCATAACTATAACGATAATTTTGATAATATGCAAAGTGTTAAGTGTAAATTTCAGTGCGGCATAGAATGATTAAGGAGAAATTTTGTCCAAAACCTTTGTGTATGGAATTTTGGTATGATTTTACTCGCTTTGAAACGTCTGTGATTTGTTTTATGCAATTATTGTGATGTCTAAAGGACTCTTTACTACGAAGCGTATATGACCATCTGAGTTACTGAGATAAAATATCTTGGAAACATAGCCTAGAGTTCCATCATAAAATACCTTTACAACTCGGAATGCAGCTATAGCACATCATGAAAACGCTGAATTCCATGAAAGCCTATCATGGAAACGTGGAAACCCGCGGTAGGTTATTGTGGAAACGTGGCATTCCATGATAGCCTATCACGAAAACGTGGAATACCGCGATAGGGTATCTCAGCAACATGGAATTCCGTGATGTTTTATCGTGGCAAAGCGAAATGCCATGATATCATTATATCCTATCACAAAATTCCACGTTTCCACGATAGCTCATCACGGAATTAAACGCTTTCAAGATTAGCCTATCACCGAATTCTATGTTTCTGTGATAGACTATAACGATATTCCACGCTTCCGTGATAAGCTATCCCAGTATTCCACATTTCTGTGATAGCCTATCACGGAATTCCACATTTCTGTGATAGGCTATCACAGTATTCCACTACCACAGTATTCCACGGTATTTCAGGGAATTCCATGTTTCCAAGATATTTTATCTCAGTAAAGCAGTAATGCAGATGGTCATATACGCTTCCATACTTCACAATTTTCATGAATGATGAAAGTGTACTCACTGTATTCTGCAACTGGCGAAAAAATGTCTTCATAATTTTTGCTGGATTTGAGATTCAAATGTATTACTACATGTACTGTATACATCCCCTTGATTTGGACTACATGTATTTCCCTGTACGTGTAAACCCCACTTGTGTGTGTGTGTGGCAGTTCGTACACAAAAAAAAGACCCTATTGTTGACAACTATTTGTCCATAAAAACAATCCAATAGTAAGAAGCATAATTTGCTACCTGTTGTCTAGTAAACGCTGAACAGTAAAGGAAAACTTTTATTCATATGGAATCAAGCATTTGCTGTTCCTAGCTTAATGCTTTTACTCTAAAGTAAATGCTTTTTCTTTTTGCTTAAACTTCCTAGCATTTGCTAATTTTTATGATTACGACCCAATGTGACAAAGTATTTTATTTATTGTCTAATGGTTCCTCAAGCAAACTCTACATACAAAAGTTAAAATGTTGCCTTTACACATCGTCATTCCAGTGTTTTATCTCATTATTTCTCTCACTATTTCAACTGCATAAATTTGCATAAATCTGCATAAATCTACATATTTGCAAGATGACTACATTCTGTAGTTTTCTTCATTGACACGTTTTTGTTTTGCAATGCAGTCCTGGAGCCATTTTGTGGATACTATGACCGCATCAGGATTCTCCACTTTCATATCCATCAACGTCTGCACCTATTTAAAACACACAAAATGTTTGGTCACTTTTACTTAAAGGGAAAGATTGAATTCACTTCTATTATTTACAACATAATATTATGGCTTAATCAGTTCACATCGGATAACGTGTATATACACGCAAAGGTTTTGCGGTATTCGGAACGGATGACGGATATACACGCAACAAGCGAGGCCAGAAATAACTGTCTGCGACCCGCTCGCAGCAAGCGAGGCCGGCCGGAAATATCAGGGTGTGCTACCCGCAGATGACGGCCTGAACCTGTCTGGCATCGAGGTTCGTGAAAACAATCCCACGCCTGGGTCCGGTCAATGTCAAAATAATCCCGGCGCGAACTGGTTAAGCGTTGAGGTGATTTAAAGCCAGCTAGGCAGTGAATACAGCCAGCCTGCAAGTCAGCCAGCCAGCCTGCCAGCTAGCCAGCCAACTAGTCACTCAGCAAACCAGCCAGACTGTCCACCAACCAGCTGGCCAGACAGCCAGCAAGCAAACCAGCCAACCAGCAAGCCAGCCAACCAACCAGTCAGCCAGCCAGCTAGCCTGCTAGCAAGCCATCTATCCAGTCAACCAGCCAGACTGCCAGCCAGCCAACCATCCAGCCAACCAGTCACCCAGCAAGCCAGCCAGACTGTCGGCCAACCAGCTGGCCAGACAGCCAGGCAGCAGCCAGTCGGTCAATCAGCCAGCAAGCAAACCAGCCAACCGGCAAAGCCAACCAACCGGGGAGCCAGCCAGCTAGCCTGCTAGCAAGCCATCTATCCAGTCAACCAGCAAGCCTGCCTGCCAGCCAGCCAACCAGTCACCCAGCCAGCCAGACAGACTGTCAGCCAACCAGCTGGCCAGACAGCCAGGCAGCAGCCAGTCTGCCAGGCAGCCAGCAAGCAAACCAGCCAACCAGCCAACCGGCAAGCCATCCAATTCCAACCAGTCAGCCAGCCAGCTAGCCTGCTAGCAAGCCATCTAACCAGCCAACCAGCAAGCCTGCCAGCCAGCCTGCCTGCCAGCCAGCCTGCCGGAGAGCCAGCCATCCAGCAAATTAACCCACCAGCCAGCCAACAAGCTAGCTGGCCAGCCAACCAACAGGCCAGCCAACCATCCAGCCAGCCATCCAGCCAGCCGGCCAGCAAGCCAGCCAGCCAGCCGGCCAGCTAGCCAGCCGGCCGGCCAGCCAGCCATCCATCCATCCATGCAGCTTGCCACCCATCCATTCATTCAGCTTGCAAGCCAGCCAGCGAGCCAACCTGACAGACAGCCAGCCAGCCAGCCACTTACAAACCCACCAAAGGAAATTCTATATTCAACAGTATAATGATTCTGTACCTCTGTTGTCTCCTCATCAGCTATGATGTGAGTTGTTTTATCACTGACGACCTCAGACACATCGCCATCATAAGTGAACCAGTTGTTAAGGATTACTCAAACGTATGATTTTTGAAGAAGAAAAATACGAGAAATATTGTAATGGGTATTCAAAACTGAAAAAGGATATGCCACAACATAGCGTGTCAGCTTCTTCATGTCACCTTCTGTGATATCGCAGAAACTCACTGTCACCCCTCGAAAGATATTGGGCAGTCCAGCCCCGTCGCCCTTCTCGTGCTCTGGTGCATCGTGGGTAGAGGACGAGGCGGCCGAGGTTGACGGTGCAGATGCATCATGGGACTTTGCAGAGGAATGCGGCTTGTGACGGCCGGAGGCTGGGGGGCTGGACGATCGACGCTTGGCACGGTGTCTTGGAAAGTAGTAGCTGTGGGATTTCTCGGCTAAGGAAACTTTGCTGACAAGTACATGAAAGTGAGCATCTTTTGGTCACCCATATGATCTGCGCAAGAACAATTGGGGCGCTCTTTTGTTTAATCATGAGAGCAAAGTGAGGACACTTCGTGGATTTGATGGCTCATACGAACATCTAATGCACAAACACCTCTTTTGCGCTTTTCTTTTCTTAGGGGCAATATAAAAGATTAATGTCTGGATAACGTTAGGTTTTGAGCTCAAATTCAGGCAAGATTTTTTAAATGTTTCACTTATCAATGAGTGCATTTTCGAAGGCAATTTGTATTTCAGTCCTGGCAAGTCGATCACATGTCATTCCGTATTTTCACAAGTCATCACAAACAATCACAAGTCAATTCATAAGTTATCTCATGTCAATCATAAGTCATATTCGCAAGTCCTGTCTCAAGTCCAATGAGAAATTCAACAACGACAAAGACTCTCAATGTGAATGTCAATCTTCTGTGACCTGACTTGTGATTAACTTGAACGCAACACTGCAGACGATAATACTGTTAATTTTTTTTGAACATCAACAAGACAAGTGACTTGACTACTGCAAGGATACACATGCGTGGGGATGCCCTTTGATGCAAGCAGTTTGTGGATTAGTTTCTCGGTGCCGTACCAGTTGAAACCGGGCGTAGCGTAGCCGATTCGCGGCAGATGAACACTCGCTGCGAAAGATCATTAATGAAAAGTAAAAATAAATAAATACAGTGTCTATAATGATAGTTAAAAAAACAAGGGGTGCGTGTATACAGGGTGAGTAAAAAAAAACGAAACCCAAATGTCGGGACTTTTGTTTTAGTGAAGTTCTGCATGCAGCACTTTCAAAATCTAGGACATGAAAGCCCAATTCAAAAGTTTTCTTTTAGTACAAGAATCATTCAAATCACTCATGCACTTTTCAAGTTACTTAATTTTAACCACAACCACCGATTTAAAGTTCTGTCCACGGATCACAAAAAAGGTGTGCGTTCTTTCAGCAAACCGAAAACAATTCACACACATCCCTATGTGATTTGTTTTCGTTTTGCTGAAAGAACACTGAACTTTTTTATGATCCGTTGACAGAACCTTAAAACGGTGGTTGTGTTTAAAATTCCGTAACTTGAAAAGTACACAAGTGATTTGAATGATTCTTGTACTGAAAGAAAGCTTATGAATGGGGCTTAGTATCCTAGATTTTGAAAGTGCTACATGCAGAACTTCACTAAAAGAATGATCCCAACATTTTGGTTTCGTTTTTTTTTTACTCACCCTTGTAGAGTACCGAAGTGAATACATCACGCGCACAAAATGTGTGTAAAAGACATTAGCGCGTAATTCAGCCCGTGAACCAACACGTGCGCGTACTCCATTCGTTTGCACTACACCTCCTGGTTCTAACTGACGTCACACTTCGGCACTCTATTATGGTAACTCTATTGGTCAAAGGAGTCCTAAGTGCATGCATATTACCCGAGTGTGACACACGCAAACCTGGTGCCACCTCAGAAAATGGCCGTCGCCTGATTAGTTTATACAAGAACAAGGCAAGCCTAGTAGAGCTGGTCCCAGAGTGCACAAAATGCTATTCAATAATTGAATCAGAATGGATATTCACCAGAACTCTTTTCATGCATCTGGTCTACACATTGTGCCGGATGTAACCCTTTCATTGGTTGTTACTTGGTTATCCTATACGATAGCACTGCCCAGCTCATTTCCCGGTTTGCAACCACTCAAATCAAAGTGACAGTCAGTCAGTTATTCAGTCTGACGCCAGCAAAAACTATACAGGGTGAGTAAAAAAAACATGAAACCCAAATGTCAAGACTATTGTTTTAGTGAAGTTCTGCATGTAGCAAATTCAAAATCTAGGATATAAAATCCCAATTCATAAGCTTTCTTTTAGTACAAGAATCATTCAAATCACTCAAGTACTTTTCAAGTTATGGAATTTTAAACACAACCACTGTTTTTAAGTTCTGTCCACGGATCATACAAAAGGTGTGCGTTCTTTCAGCAAACCGAAAACAATTCACACACATCCCTATGAGATTTGTTTTCGTTTTGCTGAAAGAACACCTACCGTTTTGTGATCCGTGGACAGAACTTTAAAACGGTGGTTGTGTTTAAAGACTGTAACTTGAAAAGTACATGAGTGATCTGAATGATTCTTGTTCTAAAAGAAAGCTTATGAATTGAGCTTTCATATCGTAGCTTTTGAAAGTGCTACATTTAGAACTTCACTAAAACAATGGTCCCGACATTTTTTTTTTACTGACCCTGTACAGTGCCAATGAGTTATCTGCCATATTAATGGAGAAAAAAAAATTGAATTTTGACAGAAGTTTCCCATAAGTTTACCAACTTGTGACCTACCGTTGTGTTTCTTCGCTGCCCTGTAAACCCTCTGTAGACCCTGATTTAGGGCGTACAACTTAATTCCCGACAGGTTATTTCGTTTGTCTCTGTGCTGAGCTACGATCAAGGAAACCTTAACAAAACAAAAACCACTGATAAAAGTAAACAACAAAAGAAAACAAAATATAGTAAACAAAATGTTTTAAATATTGATGCAGATTACGTAATCTAAAAATGCTATCATTGTGTAGGGCTGTTTTACGGTGTAGAATTAATCAATTTTTCTATTTAAAAGAAGACAAAAACTGAAAAAAGTAAACAAAATATAGTAAACAAAATGCCTTAATTATCAAAAGTTACTTAATTGAAAACATCTATCATAGTGTAACGTAGGACTGTTGTACCAGTACTGTGTAGAATTAATTATTTTATCTTTTCCAAAAAAAAAAACATGACACAAATTTTCAAAATTTGAAAATATGACCAACAACCAAGTTAACGTAGCATTTATTTCAAAGGTGATGCTGCCAAAGTATTCAAGTTTAGAAGAAGAGCCCATTCTGGAATGGGCACTTATTCTCAAATGGGTCAATGCTCACCATATCTTTGCCCTTGCTACGACTCATCTTGTCGTCAATGCCAATCAAATGGGCATCGCCCAGAGCCAAATCTGGAACAAATTTCAGAGGAATAAAATCTGTAAACCAGGCATGATTTTAAATAAAAGTAATAACGCCAATGATACAATAATGATAAAACACTGTCCCTCTATCGTTTGAATTTTTTTTATCATTCCAAAATAATTTCAGCAGCCTTAAGCAATCTTCTTTTCATTCTAATGACCCTGTTTTTGTAATAACCTCTGCCAAGGAGGTTATGTTTTCATTGGATTTTTTCATTGGAGTTTTCATTGGTTTGTTGGTTGGTTGGTTTGTCTGTTACCAAGATAACTCAAAAGTTATTGATGGATTTGCATGAACATTTGTTTAAAGAGGTTGTGGAATGCTCGAAGACATTTCCGTCATTTTTCGGGTATATGTAGCCTAAGGTGTGATGAAATAAAAATGACTATTGTTTCTGTCATAAAATGAGTACAAAAGGTACTTTTGAGAGCTGTTTTTCAAGTCCTGTCATGCCTGTTTCGACCCGAACGTGCAATTTGTGCAAAAGTCGTCGTTGCGGGCAGCAAACAAAACACAGTAAATCGTGACGTAATAAACAGGACTACCGATGCAGAGTAGCATAAACGAGTCCTGTTTATTACGTCACGATTTACTGTGTTTTGTTTGCTGCCCGCAACAACGACTTTTACACAAATTGCACGTTCGGGTTGAAACAGGACCTGAAAAACAGCTCTCAAAAGTAACTTTTGTACTCATTTTATGACAGAAACAATAGTCGTTTTTATTTCATCACACCTTAGGCTACATATACCCAAAAAATGACGGAAATGTTTTCGAGCATTCCACAACCTCTTTAAAGGTGGTCCTTGACTATACAAGTAAAACTCGATTAGATTTTGGAAATGGTCCGGATTTGCGTCTGGATCCAGGATTTGTTTTTACAGGATTCTTCACCATTTATGCAAGTATTTCTTTTGGGTGTACTGACAATAGGGCGGGGAATTATTTAGCCTTGGTGGAGGTTTTCGCTCTCTGAGTGCTTTCTAGTTTTGAATGGTATCTCCTGGTAGATTCTCTAACACATGTTTTGCGCGCATTCACAATAATGCATCATGGTGGTTGCCATGTTGAATTTTGTGTTGCAGTTTGTCGTCTTCAACGTTGTTTTCCCCAAGATTTCCCTTAAAAAAATGAAAACTCTGCCCTCTATCAATGACATTTTGTTGGTTGTAAACATCGTTAACTAGTTGGATGAGTCTAATAACCTAAAAGTGGATATTTGGTCTCTTATAGGAATTGGGCTTGTAACGATATACACAATCAGTTGGAATCAATTCGTGTAGGCTTACAGATGCATGGTAATCTATACCTCTCATTTTTCCAGCCAACTCGTACTGAGTTTCCGGCTGGTCCGATCGCCTTTTCAAGGCCGTGAAAAGACCGCCTTTTCCCCAGGATCCACTATCATCTGCAAAATAAAACAGAATCACATTCATCAACTTTCAGCGACGAATTGCTTTTGCCAATTAATAGACTGATCTATTATGCCCCTCCCCATGATAGTTCGACCAATGACATATGTGATTAATGACCGATGTGTATGCACAAAAGTCCAAAATGCGTGCATGTGTGTATGACGCGCTGCTGGATCATGCAGTGTGGCACTAGCTTATGGGATCGGTTATTAAAAAAAGCCCAAATCTCAGTCAGAAATCAATTTATGCAAGGTTGTCCTTTCGACACAGTGGCAATTCACAATGCAGTGCGCCACCAAGAGTTTGTCATGGAGAGTCAACTTTTCAAGTTTACGGTCGACAAAACATGGCCCATTTGAATGAGTGTCAGTAGACAACTTGAGCTAATTTGTTATAGACTGGGGCACAGCGTTCTGCCGCCTTACCAAAAATCACCATATTGATAAAAAGAAAAGAAAAGGGCAAACATATACTCGAATCATACTCTTACGAAACTACTGACCAGAAAAACGAACAATTTCAAATGTCCCGTGCTGCGAATTTGTCAACCATCTCCCACAATGCACTGGGAAAGATGAACTCTCTGTGGCAAACTCTTGGTGGCGCGCTGCATTGTGAATCGCCCAAATTAATTAAATAATCACACATACACAAATAGGCCCTATATTCTACATGCTTGTTTAATTAATAGGCCAATCAGATTACTGGAAAGGTAGAATTTTCAGCGCGCATAGCTACCAATGCAATCTCAAAATCTTTGAGAATGTTGCCTTTCCCCTTTTGTGAGGTAAGGTATCCGGTCTAAATAAGAAATGTCTTCCATGAAAGGTGCCAGGCAACAGCGAGCTCCTAGCAACCATTATTATCTATTATCCTACTTAAATTCTTATGAAAACTGTTCTGCTGCTCACCTACGCAGTGGACGACAATCGCGTCTTTATCGCCTGTGTTGATTGGCTGCGTGACGTCGCCGCTCACGTACTGGATAGCCCGGGCCTCATTCCCATCATGCAACAGTTCGAAGTCATCGTTCTCTTCATCCTCGCTTTCTTCCTCATCTGTTTCCATGGCGATGTTAGCCGACTCGTAGTCATTGGCTTCCCAGAGCTGCTCACTGCAAAAGTAAAGTAGTACAATGTTCATCAATTCGGGAGTGACACACATTACAGTTGTGCATTTGTGAATTGTGATTAAAGTTTCAAGGGTTCAAATTCAGCTACTGGCTCCGATTTCATGCTAAGCTAGTCAAAAGAAAACTAGTGCTTATCTGGGAACCAGTTACAAGCCATAGACATCCCATGATTTCTTAGCTGGTACTCTGTTTTTGCTAAACAAATATCTTCTGTGCTTAGTTGAAATCTGCATTCAACAGTCAAAAATCTGATGAGGAATAAAGACTATAAATATTCCTTGTTTTTTTACAAAAGTACCAGTCAAAGTCGCAATGAAAATTATAATTATCATGGAGTCCTAGTGAAAAAAAAATCTAATTTATGCAAATTTACTTACAGTTTTTGCCTTCTTTCCTGAGCTCTACGGACTTCCGCTTCCTCCATCAGCTTCGCCTTTTTGGCGGCTGCCTCTTCTCTCTTTGCTGCTGCCTCTTCTCGCTGAGAGAGAAAAAAGTTTACAGTCGTCTCGTTAAAATATCTTAGATAAGTTACGCACATTTCTTGTCATCATTCACTAAATGCCCCATCAAATTCCCCATCATTTGAACTTCCTTGTTTAATCGATTCTGAGCTTGCAATAAACGGAAGATCAAATCTGTAACCTTCGCTGAATTGTATACTTCACAGTTTTCCTATTGTACTCGAAAGTGTTGAAGAGCAATTATGGTAAAGTACCTTGCTCAAGAACACAAGCACACTGTCCCAAAGGCCTCAGCATTACAACAAGTGAAAAATCAAATCTGAAACCTTCACTGAATTGTGTATCTCACAGTTTCCCGTCGTACTCCAAAGTTGAGGAGCAGTTAATGTAAAGTAGCTTGCTGTAGAACACAAGCACACTGTCCAAAAGGCCTCAGCATTACAATAAGTAGAAAAAACAACCTTCATTGAATTGTGTATCTCACAGTTTCCCGTCGTACTCCAAAGTTGAGGAGCAGTTATGGTAAAGTAGATTGCTCGTGGACACAAGCACTGTCCACAGTGGAATTCAAAACCATATCTTCAAAATGTATGCACCTTTCTCTTTCTTTCCTCCAGTTCTTCAGGCGTGTACTCTTTCTTCTTGCGTTGAGGTAAGGGCAGTTCAGGAATGTTTTTGATGCTTCGGTGTTTCCGCAGTGCCCGCGGCAGCTCTGCGTTATCCTCCTGTTCAGTTATTTCAGCTGGGAAAGGTGAGATTTTACAAAATTATGAGTTTACAATTTCTAAGTTTTTCCAATTAATTTTTTTAGCTGCGGGATAGCAGCTTAACAACGTATCATGTCTCTCCGTTAGTTAGTAACAAACGTTGACATTGTCTATAGCTCCTACATATTTTGACTGATTTCAACCAAACTGTGTCAAAAGTATCAGTAGCCCAGCCCCAACATGTCGACCAAACTGGGGTCAAAGGTCATCATGGGGTCACTGGGGTCAAAAACCTGATTTTTTTTCCCTATAAACACTACTTCCAGAAATTACATGGCACAATCATGTAATTCATGCATGAAAACAAATTTGTTGGCCCGCAGCTACCTAGATCTGATCGAGCTTGTTAGATCAATGGACGGTTCCTTATACAGCCCTGCCCACTTTTGGTTTGTGTACAACTCTTGAGGCCGGACGACGTGAAACATTTGAAGCAAAATTCGCTGGAGTTGAAATGTGTTGAACTTTTTAATTTTTTTCGCAGCACAAAAACTTGCCATGACATCACAAAGTTGCGTTCACATTCCCTGTCTGTGCCTTTACAGTGCCTGTGACCGAGTTTGACCAAGCTAATGTGGTCACATGACCAAAAGGAGTGATCTCATTGGTCAATGCTCACTGTTTTACTGACAGGCTGAAAGGGTCCATTAACAGCAAAAATACAAAATATCTATGCAAGAGTCGCGGAGTGTTCTTTTGCTAATGGGTAAGCCCATGGAATGTAACGCAATGTAGTGAAGAATACTTTGACAGAAACTCAAGACCTACTCTTCAGTAATTGGAGGAAAAACACCAGAATAATTTCTAAGGAATAAACACCAAAAGGTACATCGGGAGGGTTCGAACTAGAGTCACTTGAACTGGAGGTTGAAGAAAGTACCTTAATATTGTTCAAGGCATTTAACATCAACCTACCTACAATGAGTGTTTCGAAAGCCTCCCTGTCTTTGCCGGATGCATTCGGTTCCTTTGAGTAGTCCTTCCCTTCAAACATGTACATGGCACCTGCAAATCAAAACAAATTACAACCGGGGAGGGGAAAATTGTGGTAAAACATCTTGCATAGGGGCACAAGGTACTGCTATGAATGTATCACACTGAACTACGAGTCCACAGAGGCCTAACCAATGTATAAACAACTTAAGGGTTGAGAGGAGAAAATTGTGGTAAAACAAGTTGCTTAAGAACACAAGCTACACCTGTGAATACACTAAAACTAAAACCACTTGACTTGAACATTTAAATACTTAAATACTATTTCTTGTAAAGCAGAACAGACCATAAGTCTGGAAAATCCAAACAACTCATCAGTCCCTTCTCATTATTATGGATGGAGACGGGATAATTGTGGTAAAGTATCCTACTCATGGACAGAAGCTACATCTAAGGACGCAACTTATTTATGACACCACTGCACTAAACTTCCATGAATTTAATAATTTCAAGAAAAAAGTCATTTCTTAATCAACTGACGAGTCTTTTAAGATAAAAATAAAAAATCACCCTCAGGCGCCTCTTCCATTTCTTCTTCCTCCAATGCATGCTGGGTAGACGTCACCTCTTCCTCGACCCACTCTCCGTTAACGCTGCTACCCAGCATGCCTCGCAGGTCGACATCATCGATGCTGCTATCTTCTGATTGGAGGAGCTGGTCCAGTCCAAACTTCAGCATTTCCGAGAGCTTCATTGAGAAACAGAAACAGTACATGAAGAAATCACTTGTTTTTTCTTTTCAGTGAGAAGATCAAGTTTCGTTTACGTCAGAATTTTGCATCAGTGAGATGCAGATTTTAATATTGGGTTTTTGTCCTTCATAAGCACTGTTTACACAGTGTTGTCTGAGAGCGTGCAATCTTAATTTGCAAGCCTGCTCGAGTAGGATTCGAGCCCACGACCTCCCGCTATCAAATATCAAATTTAGGGCTCACTTGACTTACAAAATCAGTAATCAACAAAACGTTTTTGCTTTAATATCTAAGAGGGCTACACTAGTGTCCTCTTTGTACAAACATGTACCTATCTCTCTGACTGACTGTCACTTGTGGCTTTTAGACTGGTAGTAGGCTAGCGAAGAGTGAAGAGAGCCTGGCAGTGCTATCATATAGGATTACCCTGAAACACCAACGATTAGTCTAAATCCGTCCCATTGCGTAGCAGTGCTATCATATAGGATTACACTGTAATGCCAATGAATGGGCTAAATCCGTCCCATATGAATTCCCTGGGGGAACTTAAGAAGCACGCGCCCGTTACACACAGGATGCGAGTGCGAAGCGACAAGGAAATGTTAGAAAAACGCCACTTTTTTTAAAAGATCTGATCGTGACAGATCAACCACTTATGCTAATATTTTCGTTCGTTCTCCCTCAGACAGTTTGATTTGTACATTATTTTATCATATAAATTTGATGTTTTTTAAATTAAATTTGTCCTCGGCATTTAGTGAAAATTTAAAAGAATAGCGTTTTCCCCTGTATATACTCCCGCTTTCTATGCACAGAATGTGCCTGGAAATATCTTGCAATCATACTGCATGTTTTCTCCTAACTCAGCAGTCGCTGTCTCAAAACATTCCGTTCGTGCGGTGATACACATTACCAACCCCTGCCTATCACTATTCCAAAATACTTTGCGATTGGTCAATGTTAACCACCGGCATTTGGGCAATAACTATTTCTTGTCTAATCAAAACTTCTCTTTCAAACGTACAACTGCCTATATTGATCACACATGTTTGTGGCCGTGTGTGGAGGGCGCGCGCGCGCACACGCGCGCCCTGTAAGCATGCATGAGAATGCATACATTTCTGTGTGCATATTTTTTATATATGGGAAATTTAGTCATACAATTTTGTGCACGACAAATTCATATGATTGCGCAGACCAAATGCATGCAAAACTTTCCAGCGAATAGCCATTCTGTATCAAGTGAACAGAAGTTTGTTTGCTCTATGGCCAACTTTATTAGGCTTACCAGTACCTAAGCTTTCCAGCGAATAGCTTACCGGCTGCGAATAGCTTACCGATACCTAAACTTTCCAGCGAATAGCCATTCTGTAAGCGAATAGCTTACCGGCAGCGAATAGCTTACCGATACCTAAACTTTCCAGTGAATAGCCATTCTGTATCAAGTGAACAGAAGTTTTTTGCTCTATGGCCAACTTTATTAGGCTTACCAGTACCTAAGCTTTCCAGCGAATAGCTTACCGGCAGCGAATAGCTTACCGATACCTAAACTTTCCAGCGAATAGCCATTCTGTAAGCAAATAGCTTACCGGCAGCGAATAGCTTACCGGTACATAAACTCTTCAGCGAATAGCCATTCTGTATCAAGTGAACAGAAGTTCGTTTGCTCTATGGCCAACTTTATTAGGCTTACCGGTAACTAAGCTTGTTTTTTTTTTAAAGGACTAAGCATGGATACCTGGGTTGCACTTTCAGCCGGTCCGACTCCGCCCAGAGAGAACTGGCCTCCTTCTATCACCTGATTGGTCAATTTCAGCTTAGCGTCCGCCCGTTTGATGATTATTTCCTCCACTGAGTCCTTGCCAACCAAGCGAATAATCTTGACGGGCCTACGAAACAACACAAATCACGACGGTCAATTTAGACAAGTTTTCAAGACATCCTTTCTTCCACATTTGATAAACAAAGATTAAGAAATAAGGAAATCAACATTTTATTTCATACTTTTTGAGTTAGAGCTAATTTGAGAGTGAACTTTGGTTGACCATTGTTTGACGACACTGGTTGACTAGCACAATGCATCAAAATGGTACATTGAACATGCAACAAGTATAGAGCATACGTGCATAAAGAGGAAGCATAGTAAATTGGAATGCAAACTGAAAGATTGCCATCGTTATATAAAACGCATCATCATGTACGGGTTTGTGCAGTATTCCACCACGGATTTTCCCAAAAATTTTCCTTGGAATATCAAATTTCCATGACTCCTTGTACACACACACACAAAAAAACCAAGACTTTTCCATGAATTTCCATGATATTTAGCTCTAAATTCCATGAGTTTTTAGAATTGTCGCATGATTGTGGGATCTATGCTTAAAATGTAAGTACAAAATATGAAAAAGCACTTCTTTTTTTTAAGTTCTTGCAGGGGCTTCTACATATCACTTAGTGGTCGGTCGGTCTGTCTGTCCCAAAAATTGACCTAAAGTGTGCTGTTCCATATGTGCCATCGGTGTCAAATTTTTGGCGTCACATTTTAAAGCTCTGGCAGGGATCATTTTGATTGATTTTGTGCAAGACTTTCATGCAAGACTTCTTGCAACATGGCCATAGCTTATTGTGCACTCGCATTTGTTTCAGACATATGTGGTCAGGAAACTGTTCGACGTCCAACCGTAATTTTTTCCTTCCTACTACCTTGTCTGTCCGATTCTGTGCGCCCTGGCTGCAGCCTGCAGATCATTCTGAGGGTTGAAGTCGCTGTCGACGAAAATAACAGTATCCGCTGCAACCAGATTTAACCCCTGACCCCCAGCTTTGGTGCTGAGGAGGAAGGCAAAGGTTTCTTCCTGCTCGTTGAAATTCCTGATGGCAAGAAAACGCTCCTCGCTGCGAACCGAGCCATCCAGTCGCTCATAGGAATAACCTACAAAGATATGTAAAATTATGCTAATTCAAGGGTCAATTGTACACACCTTTCCATTCACAAAAGGCAAGAAGCCTTATCATTGGTCAAACGATTAACCAATCAGACTCAATGCACAGTAACATAAATTGGCCATGATGAATATGGAAATATAACCACATTGGGCTTTTCCTGCCTGTCAATCAAACAGTGTGCATTGACCAATTAGAGAATGACTTTTTAGTCAGGTGATCACAGTGCCTCGGTCAAACTCGGTCACAAGCAATGTGAGAAATGTTCACAAACCAAGGGGGGGGGGCAGGGGGTATTGCAAAATCCGGTGCAATAGCCTCAGTTATCTGGTATGCGGATCTTTCCGAAAGGCAAATTTCTGTAAAATAAGAATGCGCAAAGTTGCGCAGGGATGTTTATCATTGCCAGCTTTGTGCTGTGAGATGAGTTCCTCTGACGTACATGTACCCTAACCATTAATTAAACAAAACAGGGGTGTGAGTGACCACTGATAAAAATAGCTGAAAACAGCTGAAAAAGGTGTAAAAAAAGCTGAACTTTGGAAATCTCCTATACTTTTGTACACAGCAAGTGAGAGAAAAAAAGCTGAAATCCAAACAAAAAAAAGCTTAAATCAGCTTTAAAGCTGAGATTTCACACCCCTACGGCACCTGGCCCCGTAAAAAGTCTGTAGGACCATCCGTGGCTGATGTAAATATTGCAGGCGACCGCATCCTGCTTCATGTAGGCCTACATGGAGTCTATGTTTGTGTTACCAATACATGTCCGTGTGCAGCTTGCCCTGTACTGAATGTGCACGCCTTGCATCCATAGCCTTCGACCCTATTCACGAGCAAGCAATTTTTGATCGCGTTCCCTGAATGTATTGCGTAAATTTCAAACTGTTGAATAGAATGGTGCCAGACTATTTATGCATTTGAACCCTCACTTTCAATTATTTTTTTTAATGTGGCTTAAAACATTAGGGTATGTTGAATCATAAATTTCAAATTATGCATGAGAGCAGACTGGTATTAATTTGTAATTAACTTTATGTCATTGCTTTCATTTGTCTTCGCTAGTTCAAAAAATGAAAACTGTACCTCGCTTTCAATTCAATATGGCTGACTTGTGATTATTACTCTATTAGATTTCAACCACTCTCCCTTTTCACTAAACTGTCTGTCCTCTGAAACTCTCCGTAACTCTCTGTCCTCCGACATTTCTGACTCCTCTTCCCCCTCCCCCCTCCCCCACACCATGGCTGAAACGCGCCTCACCATGCACTTTGGTGAATCCAGCCCGGCAGATAACTGAGCCTGTGATGGTAACACGCTCGATTATCCACTGAATTTGTCTAAAGAAAGATCAGCACACCGAATAACTGAGACCGTTACACCGAAACAAGCCACTGAGCTTACTGGAAAACCCAACATATTGCATTCCTTTACAACTTCTGCAGGAAAAAAAAAATTATTATGATAATAAAGAAATATTCTCCACAATTTTTATAAGGTTTTTGGTTCAAAATTTACAAAAGTTTCTTCACCTCTGTATCCTAAATAATCCTGCAGGATGTCCAGCATGCGAGTCATCTGTGAGAAGAGGAGAACTTTGTGGTCCCGTTGTTTCAGAAATGTCAAGAGTTGGTCCAGGAGATGCAGCTTGCCGCTGGAATCCACTAGATGCTCGCCCAGCTGGAAGGGCTCGGGCTCAACGCCTGATGAGGTCACAAGGGGAGCAAATAAAGGTTGAAATAGATTGAAATTAGGCCGTGTCCCAATCACTAGATTACCCTGGCAACAGACCTTTAGGCCAAAAAAAAAAAGTCTCCGGTTTCTGGTATGCGCGCGCGTCGCCGTAGCCATGCGCGTCGGCAAAATGAAAAAGTTTTTTTTTCAATACTAGATGATGTTTCAAAACCGCCAAACTCACTGGTTTGACTGGAATTCTGCTGCTGCACAATTTTAACGTGTTTTTAGATGGGGTTATGATCGAGAATAAGATTTATGTGGCCTCTCTGGACTCCCATATATTTGCACTAAGTTTAGTCGGGCACCATTTGCAGTCATCAGCCGACATTTGAAGCCAAAAAAAAAAAAAAAAAAAAGCCGCGTCGCCGCACCACTTTTGGGGCAAGCTCCATACCAGAAACCGGAGACTTTTTTTTTTTGGCCTTATCATGCTTCCACCATTTTAGTCATGTTCCCTGTATCCAATAACAGTACTGAATGATAACGTTTTTGTGCACAAAGGAACCAGACTATTTGTCCTTCCAGCCTCGCTTTGGTTACATTGATCTGAATGGGAAAAAAACCAAAGGTTTTTTATTCCAAACGTAGCCATGTGATTCCGACACAGCCTTAGTCTGAACACAGACTCAACATGGTGGATTGCGGACAGCCATTTTAAGTCTGATGCCGGCCAGCACATGGGCCTTATTCACAAGTTGGCCATTTTTGTTGAGTTTTCTGACTGTATTTCATGAATTTTTAACTGTTGAATTGGATGGCGACAGACTATTTATGCAGGCAAAATGCAGCCTTATTTTACTGTCATTTTTTTTTTTTAAATATGGCTTTAAACATTAAGAAATGTTTAATTACAAAATTTAAAATTATTCATTGAGGCAGACTGGAATTGATTATACATTAAATTGCTTTCATTTCTCTTCGCAAGTTCAAAAAAATTAAGATTTTACCTAACTTTCAATTCAATATGGCCGACTCGTGAATAAGGCCCATTTAGAGTCAGGTTGATCTATGATGAGGGGGTCACCTAATTTAACCAGTTAACGCCGGGATTATTTTGACAAGACAGATTGAAGCCATCATCCTCGGGCAGCACACTCAAATTTCTGGCCTCGCTCGCTGCGAGCGGGTCGCTGACAGATATTTCCAGCCTCGCTCATTGCGTGTTTATCTGTCATCCGTTCCGAATACCCCAAAACCTTATACACTGCCTCTGTCGCGAACTGGTTAAATATTAAATTTTGATATATAGTCTCTGTTCTGCATGTGCTTTCTGCTCTACCAATAAAGATCTACAAGTGCGAAATTTTGTCTTAGCGCATTGCAACTAATAAGATTTCAGAAGCATGAGGCTGTTGCCTGTCCTCATATGTGACCTGCTCCACAAAAAAGGGTATTTCGCAAAAAAAAGGGAAATTGAGATACATGGTTGGAAAACCCACAACGTGAGCTTTCAATTGGTATATGGATAGAGCTCTATATCCCCTCCCGTTCTCGGGATATGATGTAATTGCACATTAATTAGTTCCTTGGAGCTCGAATTACACAACTGAGAAAACAGGCTTTGAAATAGCTGGCTCTGTTGTAGATTTGGGCACGGTGCACTCAAAATTGTCGTTTTTTTCGCCCACTTTATTCATCAAAATCAACATTTCTGTGAATGAACCCTGAATCTTTAGGTACTTAAGATGTCATTCATGACAAAAAAAATGAAAATCACATTCAACGAAATTTTCACCCTTTCAACGTTGAGCGGGCCATTACACGATAATGCCCAGCGCGACTTAATACCCTTTTTTGTGGAGTGGGTCACATTATACATGTTCCAATGTCCCTTCCAGTGGTCTCCCCCAACTCTCCTTTTCTTACCGTCGAGAGAGTACTTGTGCACGAAGCAATTGGCGTAGCAAAGTCTTTTTTGGGGGGCAAGGGGGGGGGGGGTGTAGACATGACAATGGGCACTCGCCATATCCGTGAGTGGGGGGGGGGGGATGGGCTTTGGCCACGTCTTCCAATGGGGACACTGTTGAAAGCGGACGATCATGGGCCCTATCGGACAATAGGTGGTGCTTTTCGTGGTGGCGATATTGCATAATGTGACATTATGTTTCAGCATACCATCAAATAGATACGGGTGGTCGACAACTTTCCGCAGCTGCATCAGTACGTTCATCAGTCTGGTCTTGGGTCTCTGGCTTATTGGGTCTTGCTCCTGAAAGGCCTCTGAAAAAAAAATGGAAAACCATGAAAATGAAAATAAAATCCACCGACAAAAACTAGCATTAAATTGTTGAATGAATCATCAAACAGATAACTTAAAAAAAAAAAATCCACAAATGAGCTTGTGATTTTTTTCACAAGCCCTCGGAAGTACTGGTATATAGTGTTTTTTTTTACATTGATAAAGGGCTAAACCCAATGGTCAATTTCAAATATAAAAATAAGGAATCCACACATTTACCGTAATCTTTCGTCAAGACTGCCTTGTATAGTTTCTTCTGTAGGGCTGACAGGCCATGGTACAGAATAACCTTTACAGAGGGACAAAACAAATTCCTGTAAAATTCATGTCATGGCCCTTTAAATTTGGTTGACCCCTATGTCATTGGTCGATCTGACAATCTACGCACCCAAAGTTGCCCACAATAAAAAACACCCTCCTAACATGTCCACCATTTCTCACATGCTCGGGCGTATAAATAAATAAATAAAATAACAGATTTTGGATGGCATGGGTTTTTAAGAAGAACTGTTTCTACCTCTGTTTTCTTGGGAATATCAAGCACGACTTCATTTTTGGTCCTCCTCAGCAGGAAAGGCAGCAGGATAGAATGCAGGTCATTCTTCACTGTGGAATAGAAAAAAGAAATTACAAAAAAATCACTCAAATGTTCACTCTACGATGTTTTTTCCCTTATTCATGTTAAATGTGTTTAATTTTTCAACCTTTTTTTATGAGAGTTGCCTATCACAAGGCCCTATTTATAATTGATTCATTTTAGAAAGCGTATTCTGGCACAAGTGTAACAGGCTAGCTTACATGTCAAATCAATGAGAGTCAAAACAAAATCTTCATCAAAACGAAAAACTGAATTCGCCACTTTGTGTAATTGGTGTAGTTAACAAACGATGCAGTTTTGTGTCTTGAAATTTGGCAGATCTTGCAGAGGCGTCACAGAACGTAAAAATACCCAAAAGTCTCAAAATGCTTAAAATAACAATTTTGGACGGATTTGCCACTTCGTCAAATCCCCGACTATATTGCTGCATAACCTATGACCTTTGACCTGACCTGTATCATCTGTCATGTCCTCGTACTCCTCCAGAAATCTCTCCTTCAGACTCACTCGGAAGATGCTCGGAGCAACAAACGACAGCAAGGAGTACAGCTCCGTCAGGTTGTTTTGTACTGGCGTGCCGGTCAACAAGATATGACGGCTGATAGTGAACTGCGAAACAGAAGAGTGGAATTCGGGTAGCTATGGTAATCAGTAAATATGGGCAGAAATAGTGTGATGGAGCAGTTTTAAACGTCTGGATTAAAACCAGTTAAGGGCCTGGTTGCAGATAATGGCAACCAGGCCCCTTAGGCCAAAAAAAATAAAAATAGTCGGTCTCTGGTCAGACCAAAGTTCCAGAATTGATGCGGCGATGCGTTTTTTTTTTTTGAAGCTTGGATTGTACAGACAAGGTGGGTACTATTTTGCTTTTGTTGTGTCCTCATATACATTGGGGACCTCCATAATTTGCCTTGGGCCTTGGTGCCCTCCATCATTTGCCTTGTTGCAATTTCCCCTTTCCTTGGTACACAAATTTGAGGAGGTGCGACAATAGAGGGCGCTGCTGTAGCTACCGCGGACAATTTGAAGAAAAAAAAAAGGTTGACGCGCATGATTAAAATCGACGCGCGCGCTGACCAGAGACCGACTTATTTGTTTTTTCGCCTTACTGGTTTTAAACATCGCATTTATAACTGCTCCAACACCCAATTATCTCCATTCCTAAAATACTTTTCAGTCAAAACCATGAACAGTTGAAAGGTTGACAAACTTCCAATGATTTTGTTCTACCTTTTTTTCTTTTTTTCGTGTTCAAGCCATTGCTATTTTGCGCTTGGCATGGGTTGTGCCCTCAACCCATCTCCATATGTGGAGATCATATATCAGTGCATCTCAAGCACACGGCTGTAGCCGGCACGTGCAGCGCACGCCGGGTGCACGTGGGGCCAAGTGCAGGTATTCGCCAACCAGTTTGGAATCAAATCCATTCTCGGGAAGTTAGGCAGCGCTACCCAGATAAGGGAACTTTATCTACCCAGATAAAGTCAGAACGCTTGGAAGGTTGTCCCGAGGAACAATGGGGGAACATGCATTGTTCTCACTGGGAACATGCATTGTTCTCACTGGGAACAGCCCAGGAACGCAAGGTGTTGCTGCATGGGAACGTTGGTCTATGCGCATGCATGATAACTCGGGAACACGCTGGGAACACGGCGCGTTCCTGATTGAAACACACATTTTCCTAAAGGAACGGTCCGTACGGAACGGGTACGTTCCGACTTTCGAGACATTCCGACTTTCGAGACGTTCCTAACTCCAAGCATACCTCACGCACACGGTAATATTCGAGCTAATGGCCCACGTGAGGTATGCTGGGAATTTCCAGGGTAGCACTGCCAAAGTTCCCAAAGATTGGATTTGATCCATCTTGTTGATAACGACCTCTACCACTGGCGCGGCTGTACCACGTTTGTCATGAAGGACATAAACTTAAAATCCTGTCTTGGATCATTACTATAAAGCACCGTGTTACGACTACCCAGATTTTTACAACTAAGACGGGCAGTTTCTTTGCCGTACTTCTTTCAGGGTCTGATGGAGGAGCGAATTTTGGTTCTTGAGACGATGGCCTTCATCAACGATCAGGACCTCCCAGCTAAACTTCCGTAGAAAGGAAGCGTCCTTCAAACACAGCTGAAATGGATTAAGAAAAGTCCAACATAAAAGGTTAAATCTTTGTTTACACTGTTTCCCCTTTTCCAGAAGTTGAACAGCAGCAATTTTGTATTATGTTGAGATTTTGTGAAAATCAGTTGAAAGGTCGTAGCATGTTTATGATAAAATAATGATAATGTTATACTTATGGAGACAGACAACTGGGCAATTCCACAGAATTTTAAACTTCAATGAAAAAAATTTAAAAAAACTGTAGCTTAGGCCCCCCCAAAAAAGTCTCCTGTTTCTGGTATGGAGCTTGCCCCAAAAGTGGTGCGGCGACGCGGCTTTTTTTTTTTTTTTTACTTTTTTTTTTTTTTTTTGGCTTCCAATGTCGGCTGATGACTGCAAATGGTGCCCGACTAAACTTAGTGCAAATATATGGGAGTCCAGAGAGGCCACATAAAGCTTATTCTCGATCATAACCCCATCTAAAAACACGTTAAAATTGTGCAGCAGCAGAATTCCAGTCAAACCAGTGAGTTTGGCGGTTTTGAGACATCATCTTGTATTGAAAAAGAAACTTTTTCATTTTGCCGACGCGCATGGCTACGGCGACGCGCGCGCATTCCAGAAACCGGAGACTTTTTTTTTTGGCCTTATTATCTGTATTTTATTGAAATATAGTTTATTTCTAACAATGCTGAACTGTTCAGCTGTTTCTTTTAACTGAGTATACACACAAATCAATTTCTCTGAGTATGTCTGACACAATGGTGTTTTGAGCAGAATTCTACTACAGCAAAAAGTTGGATGAATAATTTCTTTTTTAAATCACCGTAGTAACTTTTAAACTGATAGGTGTTATCAGAACTAAAATCCACTTTTGGATTATAACATTTATTATGCACACTGTTGAACTGTCCAAAAAATGTACCTCCGACAGCATGAAAATGCCCAGTTGTAGTAAAGTGTCTTGCCTAAGAACACAAGCACTATACTCCTATCATGAGGGTTTGAACCCATGTACCATGGCACACTACTCAAACACTGTAACTATTGGACCACACTCCTGCTAAAAACTATCAGCAAAAGTGTCTCCCCAGCTTTTTGTGGATATTTAAGAAGACGATTCCTTGAATAGAATTGTCCTGCAAAGAGGAAATTTGACAAACGTTACCTTGTGTTAGTATGAAGTGAATCTTACCTCATATGTTGTCAGAAGAACCTGCCAATTTTTGGAATGTCGTATGTCACTTTGTAACTCTTCCCGTGTGTTTTTGTCTCCCATGTAATTGAAAAACTTCAACTTGGGAGAAAACCTGAAAGGAAAAGAGTTTTTTTTTTTAAATGTAAAAAAGCTGTAACATGACGGTAATATGAGTTTAAGATTTGAAAAAAAAAAACTTTTGGTATAAATAAAAATCCGTGTCTGGTTTCTTACCTTTCCAACTCATCTTTCCAGTTCCCCATCACAGAGAGCGGGCTGAGTATCAAGAAGGGGCCCTGACTTTTTCCGGAGCCAAAGAGGTATGTCAAAAGTCCAATAGTCTATAATGAAGATACAGTTGTTAAAAAGAGAACATATAAGGATCAAAATTCAATTTATAGTTGTAAAGATATTTCACCTTTATAGGGAACATACAACATTTGTTTCTGCTCTAATTTTCAGAAATGGTTGGATTTGGGGGTTGGTATTTTATACCAAATATTGTTACACTGATCTGTTTAAAGTTTTGTGTTCATAGATGCTGGAAAAACCAAGAAAAGATGTTGTTCTAATGTAGTGTGGTTCCCTGACCCTACTTCACTCGAAACAGAGCAATTTATAGACGTCAGGGAATAGTCAGGTCAGGAAACGCTTGCACCCATTTATGGATGTGTAACAGATTGCAAGCAAAATATGAACTAACTAAATTTTGTAATGTGGGGGCAGTATTTGAAAAAAGTCATTTATTTTCCAACGATGCTCGGCTGACCATCATTGGAAATTGATACAAATTTCCACTTTTCTTGAAAATGACAGCACACCAGATGCCATGATTTCACAGGATGTTTGAGACTATTATTCAATCACAGTCAAGTACATTGTAACATATTCACAATAATTTTCAAGTTTTGTTTTTTATGTTTGTAAATGTTGTATATTGCCTTTAACATGAGTGATGATTACATTAGTGAAAGATATGACACATGGGAGAGATAATGAGGGCCTATAATCGCAGAGCAAATTTACCAGGAAAGTGTACTTTTTGAAAGTAATTAGTGAACTGTTGTAGTAAGGGCTGAGACTTGCAGACCACATTAACCCGCCTGCTATTTAAACAGTCACAGACGTCAAAATGGCCATCCACTTCCCCTGTTTTACTTTTAACAGAGGCTTGTCACCAGCAGTCAGATCATATGTCCAGCAAGCACCATGACTAGTCAAACTCAGTCAACAGACCATGAACAGACAAAGCAGGCAAGTTGTGGGCACAACTGGCATATCAATTACCCACAGCAAAAGCAAAGCTGGATCGAGTTACATAAACAGTCACGGCCAGTCAATCCTGCTTCATGTAGCCTGGGAATTCTTAATTGTTGAAAACGGTCACTTGGAGGATTTGGACTGAAACAACTACTTGGCACAGAATGTATGTTTGCATACATGTAGGAGGGTTAATGATGATCTGAAAGCAGTACAATGCTCGGGACATGCAGGAAGTGAGAAACCAGACATTTTCCAGTTAGCAAATTTGCTAACGTGATAATTATTTAGTGTTTGAGAACGGTGTCCGAGTCTAGCATTCATAGCAAGAGTACAAGGCTGAGTCACTCAAGAGAAGACTATTAACGACACAGGCAGTCAGGGTAGGTTAAGATAAATAAAAAAAAAATTGCCACAGCAAGATAAATAGAACTTGTCTCACCTGGCATGTTTTACCCAATCCCATTTCATCTCCAAGGATGCAGCCATGGTTTCTATGGTAACGCTGAATCAACCAGTTCAGGCCATCCATCTGATATGGACGGTATGTAATACCTAAAGAGATAGAAACGAGAGATAAAAGCTGGACACCAGACCCATAAAATATGGTGGTAAAAACCGCAACTCAAAAAATGATCGTGAGTTCCATTGAAGCCCCAGTAGTTCATCTTTGACATGTTAAGAAGCAAGTAGGAGCCTTGGTATTTTTGTTAAGTCTTTGCCATGATTTTGGCAACTTTTTTTTAGCTGGGCGTTCGTGAAAATAACGGTTTACAGTTATTTTTATTTGCCATAGCTTGGGCACTAATAATAATAATAATAAGTTAAAATTTATATAGCGCCCGTCCATGAAAAAAATCATGCTCCTAGGCGCTTTCCATAAAAAATTAAGACACAGGATAAAATATAATGAAGTGTATACTATATAAAAAGATTAAACCCGGTTCATAACCCACACAGATAAAAATACAATGAAATGTACATGTATACTTAAAAAGATTTAAGATTCAAGATTTAAGTTTAAGCCCGGTTCATATCCCACACGGAAACAAGTGCGAAGCGAAATTCATGTCGCCAACAATGCGCAGTGTACTCATCGCTGACGTCACAAACCCCGCCCCGCCCCAGCACCAACGCGAAGCTTAAACCGGGCTTCAAACGATGTAAAAACATTCCACGCAAACAGTTTGTTGTAATAGTATACCACAAATAATATAAGATAGCATAAAGCAAATTAATACACACGTATAAAAGCAGTATTAGAAATCAGTTTACATAAACCATATGCAAGGACAAGAAACGTGAACAATTAAGGGGCCATTCAGAATTTTCAATGTTTTAAAATTTCGACTTTTTTTCCAAATTATTTTGACCCACCCACCCACCCCTAATTTCGATTAATAAAAAACTGAACATGTATTGTAGCCTACATGTACATGCACTTGCATAACGTACATGACGTACTCGGACGTCACTTTTTTCAATTAATTTTCTAGCGCCAAAAGTTACATCTTTTATGGTTATTCCTCCACTTTCCCTCCTCTACTCTCACCCTCTCCTTTCCTTAATTTCTATTTATTAATCAGTCACTTACTTCATCGAGATTCAAACCTCGGACGCCTTCTTGATACACAAGACTCTTAACCGCTAGGCCGCGCACGATCGCTGTTGCAATAATCAATCTTTGGACGTATTTGAAGTATCCATTGAAATAAACTAAATATTCATGAGAAAATAAATATTCATAATGACGTATTGCACTATCATTGGCAGGCTCATGCAACGTCATGGTTGTTGATGTCACGTGTATAACGTACCTCTGTCTTTCAGCCACTACAATCAGTTTTGACTGGCTGCTTCAAGTTAGTTCTGCACGACGTATGCATCCAAAATGTGCTTTAAAAACACATTTTGAGTAAATTTTTTTCACCTTAACACAGCTTCCTGGATTCCTCTTGGTTCAAAGGACAAGGTGAGGTGACAATTAATATGTTTGGCAGCAGATAAATTGACGTCCGAGTATGGAACTTTTCCCCAAAAAAGCTTGCTTAAAAAGATAAGTTTTAAGCCCTGATTTAAATTTACCGACAGATTCAACTTCTCTAAGGGTCATATTAAGCTTATTCCACTCCTGTGGATTTAGTCTGTCGTACTAGTACTAGCGCGTATAGCGCCCTAGCCCCATAAATGTGGCCTATTTACTGGACTGCCTCCGTAAACATAGGCCACACTTCCACATGTACAAAAACGTGTCACACTTTGTCAAATTTTGATTTTCACATTTAGGCTTAGTTTGTAGGTTTTTTTGCTTTAGAAGCATACTCACCCTCTTTATACATTGTAGGCTAATCAGAAAGTGCTGCCTTTTTCAGATGTCTAATTTTTGTGAAATTTCATGTTGAAATTTTGATACGCAAACGTGTAAAAATGAATCTGGAAATTTCACAAAAAATATACATCTGAAAAAGGCAGCACTTTCTGATTAGCCTATAAAGAGGGTGAGTATGCTTCTAAAGCAAAAAAAACCTACAAACTAAGCCTAAATGTGAAAATCAAAATTTGGCTCCGTCGACACGATTTTTGTACATGTGGATGTGTGGCCTATGTTTACGGAGGCAGTCCAGTAAATAGGCCACATTTATGGGGCTAATAGCGCCCATGGCCCAGTTAGGCCTACTGCGGTCTAGGCCTAGACATGCTAGATCCCTTAGTGAGTGGCGTCGTTGGTAGTTTTTGGAAAGTTTGGGGAGTGTTTAGCGGCAATTTTTTTCAGAAAATGTCAAATCCGTTGGCTTAGTCAATAGTCATGGACCTCATTCCCAGCTTTACTGGCGAATCTTGAGTCCCATGTCATGAGCCTAGAGTTGGGTATTCCAAGCTACATATGTAATACAGTTAGCCTAATGCTAGGCTAGCCTAGGAGGCTACATGTATGTGCAGGGAGTCTAGCGAAACGAATTTGTTCATCTGTTCTTGCCATGTGTTCATGTATAGAGTATTGTTTTTCACGCTATGGATTTTTAATACCGCAACTGGTAAAGGAAACCTTCAACGTACCGGTCAGGCCAAATTTGGCCATTGCGTTTCCGTCGACGAAAATACGGTCCGCATTCTTCAATTCACTCAGATCTGTGATCTTCCGCCGGATCCTGTCCATTTCTGTTTTTATATTTGAGCCTTTCGTGTCGAGAAAATCATTTGATGTGTTTTGGAATTCGCAAATTCGGGAGATTTTATCCGGCGATGTGACTCACTTTCGTCCTGTTCGGACAAGCCCGCGATGAATGTAAACAACTGTCCTTGAACTATTGAGGGCGCCATCACCACCACGCCCAATAGCCGTTTTTGAAGCATCGGGGTTTTTTCTGACTGCGGATTCAGGTTCGAACTTCACGATTTTAAATTTAATCCTTTCAAAGTTTTCGGTTCAATTAAAAAAACCACCCAACATTCGCACTGTTGACCAGCAAATCTTGCAGTTCAAAATTTAAGCCTTTTGCTCGTTGTGCCTCCGCTCTGTATTTTGAGCAATACAGAAAATGATGCATGAATTTATCATAATACTCTCGGACTACTACTGGTCAGAATTGACGCGGCCAATCCGGGTCACTTGACCCCATACATTTTCCGGGTCAAAACGACCATTCTTCGAGTCAAAACTCTCTAGGTCCAAATTACACTTCTCCGGATCATTTAGTGGGTCATTTTGACACGGACAAGTTGGCAGAAGTGTCATAATTTTTATCCGGCCAAGAAATGAATTGTCAGGTAACCCGGATTCCGGGTTTAATTTAATTATTTTGTTTTCTGCAATCATGTATGTAGCTTGACGGCCCTTAAAAATAACCGGTTATCAAGAGCCAAAAAGGTGAAATTTACTTCACCGATCAGTATAGACCATTTGATCTCCGTTATATATTGGAGATCAATCATTGATGCGTTCCAAACCTCACTTTCAAGTTTGCCCCCCCCCCCCCCCACTTTTGGCGTCCCCGAATAAACATGTAGCCTACAGTTTGATTTTCTAGCTCGGGATAGCTGATTCAATTAAAAAAATTGGTTAAAGTGGTCAGATAATGCCCTGAGATCGCATCACAGAGCATCTAGAATCCAAAATTGTCACCACACCGCGGCGTTACGGCTTCGCGCTACGCGCTCACATTACTTTTAATCACATTATGTCCCCCCCCCCTCTTCCTTAGCCTTCGGCGTAGGCGCCACAACTTGCCTTCACCATTTACTGCTTGTTACGTTTCACACCCCCCCCTTTTGGAAAATCTTGGATCCGCCCCTGAATGTGGCTTAAAACATTGCCGTAATATAATTAATTACACATTTTAAATTATTCATCAGAGTAGACTGGTATTATTAATTTGAAGGCTAATTAACTTTATTTCATTACTTTCATTTCTATTCGCAAGTTCCAAAATTGAAGATGTTACCTCGTTTTCAATTAAATAAATTATAGCCGACTTGTTTGAACACAATTTAAGACAGAAAATTCACTCACGTGATGTGTGCCACGGACGCATGACTTTACGGGCCAGTATAAGAAAAACATACACCCGAGACATTTTAGAGTGTGCTAGGTAGGCCTACTAGGACTAAAATACGAGCAAAATTAGTCCAACTTGATTTTTCCGCAGGGGATTTCATTTTATTTCCCGTTAATTCTAAACTCCGCACGGGGGGCTGCAGACTACCCTGCCATACACTGACTTAGTTGCCTCAGTAAACAGTACCGACTGAAGCTCATCACGGTTCGAATTATATTGCTTTTCTCAAATAAAGAGCCATATCGTGTGTTAGCAAAAATCGGACCTAAATTAACCACTGCTTTGTGTACGCAGTTGAAATTGGGTCCCGAACGCATACTTCCACGGGCTGTAGAAATTTGATAAATACAAAATCTAGGTTCCGAAGTGTTTATGGAGACGGAAAGTAAACTGATTAAACTGGCTGTTTCTTTGTGAATAATTCCTATAAATAACCCAGGTATACGCCTACGCGCATCTTAAAATGTTCTGTTTAAAATGGGTCAGATCCGTCCTTGCAGTGAGAAACCCCTACATTAAAGAGCCGGGCCATGATAGTTTGTCTACGGATTGAAAATCGATGCTTTGGCCAAAAAAAAAAGTCTCCGGTTTCTGGTATGCGCGCGCGTCGCCGTAGCCATGCGCGTCGGCAAAATGAAAAAGTTTTTTTTTCAATGAAAGATGATGTCTTAAAACCGCCAAACTCACTGGTTTGACTGGAATCCTGCTGCTGCACAATTTTAACGTGTTTTTAGATGGGGTTATGATCGAGAATAAGCTTTATGTGGCCTCTCTGGTCTCCCATAATATTTGCACTAAGTTTAGTCGGGCACCATTTGCAGACATCAGCCGGATTTGAAGCAAAAAACAGGTTAAAAAAAAAAAAAAACCGCGTCGCCGCACCACTTTTTGGGCAAGCTCCATACCAGAAACCGGAGACTTTTTTTTTTGGCCTTAGGCCGTGGTTCAATTAGACAGATATAATTATTGTATTTTCATTTGAAAACAAACAACGGATTAACCTTGTTCGTTTGACACGCCACAGTCGTAATTTTCTAAAACTATTATTCCAAACTACGTATGTTTGCAAGAATATTTTGGCCGTCAAGTCACAAGTTAAAAACACAATTAATATTACGCACGCAAATATTCTAAAAACAATGATAAACAACCTAACTACACAGACCGGCCGCCGAGACTAGCACTAACAAATTAATAACGACATCTCCCTTTAAAAACATGGAAGGGAAGAATCCGCCGTACTACAGGGTGAGTAAAAAAAAAAGCGGAACCCAAACCCCCAAAAATATATTTAATATTTAAAAAAATATGTAGCACCAACTATAATCACGACTGGAAAGCCACTTTAATAAGCTACTTTTAGATGAAGAAAATACTAAAATTGCTCCATCCGTTCAAAGAATATCACCATTTAAACGAAATGACCCTAAAACCTCTTTCGTCCAAAAATGCAATTTGAAGAATCGTTGTCACATTAATGTCTTCAAGCATCACCTGCGATAAAACTTCAGTTTAAAAGTTAAAATATTCAGCAAAGTCCTTTTGACGGCCCGTCTTTTAAAAAAAGTGGATTTTATAAATCTGATTGTTTGCCTAACCAGGGTTGTTAATAAAGAAATTGTGAACTACAGTTTTTTTGACAGTTGTTGAAACAAGTATTCTGTGTCATTTTTGTTGTTCCAAACAGCCAGAATACTGTACTAAACAATAAACAGTTGTTAGGGTAAGTGCGTGTAAATGGTGATATTCTTTGACAAGGAATTATTTTTTTGGTGCTACATATGGTTTTAAATATGAAATATATATATATTTTTTGGTTTTGGTTCCGTTTTTTTTTACTCAAAGCTCGCGGCCACCCAGGCACGGATGATGATCTAACTTTCAGAAAACGCATGCAGACGGGCCGGGGGGGGGGGGGGGGGGTGATATTTAAGTGAAGGCGTGCCCCTATGCGGGGGCTGCCCCTTCCCCTTTCTGAGGTAACTTTGAGAATAACTTAGGAACCTTTAGTCAAATGCTATTATTTTTGGCCATATTTTGTATTAGTATCATAACAATTTCAGCGGATGAATGTGTGTGTGTGTGTGGGGGGGGGGGGGGGGGTGTCCCCCTAGATCTGCTACTGCCAACTACGGTCAAAAATCATTATGCAAACGTAATGCCAATATGTTTATCTAAAAAAAACAAGCCTCAAGGTCAGGGCCAACACAAACCTCTGCATGACTTTATAACGATTCCAGTATCACATATGCATGATATGACATCAATTAATATTTGCAAACTTAACGCCTATTCCCATTTACAAAATGGCGCATATAAATATGTGTACAGTGATTGTTTTAAAACTACATCTTGTACAATACTTCGAGTTCAGGGCCAAACGAAATTTCTTCATGAATTTCCCCCGGCTTCCAAAATTACACTAATTTATGAATGTTTCTTGCTGGAACGCACACGTTGCTTTTCGCGCACCCTGTCCACAACAATGGTAGTCCGTAACAACATCACTATTATCAAATTATGATTGTGATTGAATTGTGATCTTGTTGTGTTGTTGAGATCGTTCCGCATGCTAATGTATAAAGGTCCGAGTACGTTATGTTGATGAAACTGCAAAGATATAGTGCACGATTTAATTCGTTACGTCAGTCTTAAAGGTGCACTATCGACCAATAGGTTGCAACATTTAAAGGGGCCATGGGATGAATTTTTCGTATTTTGTGCAACTGTCTATTCCTCTTAAATATATGAAAACTATTTCACATCCCTTTTTAGTAAATTTTATGTTGAAAAACGCACTTCTTTAAACATTTAAAACTGTCCATGCTTTTCCAGATAACCGAGGGCGCAGTTGCTGTGATGTCATTTCAGGAAGACACTGTTCAGTTTTGTGGTTTTATGTTCAAAATGTCGCTCTTTGAAAACAATTTGTGAAAACAGTTTGCTCAGTGGCTTACTGCCATGTACTGACACAACAACGAATCGACAAAGAAAAGACAATTTACGACAGCAAAACTCCGGCAACTTTTGATGCTGAAATAGCTGTAACATTGAGCTTTCTGCCTGAAATAACATCACACTTTTGCTCAAGAATATGGAAATTCGCGTTAGCATAAAACAAAAACGGCACCAAAATACCCTTGAAAATGGCAAGACGATTATTGAAAATAAGGTTAAATGGCACAAAAAGATGCATTTTCAAAGATTACATTTACATTGCGTTGGCCTTCAATGTTATTGATTGTTTACCCCCCCCCTCTTTTTGTGTTTAAAGGTCCAGGTCATAGAAAAGCCACAAAAACTACTTACATTGATTAATGGAGAAAATCCCCGTTGGATTTTTCATCGGACGTAGCAGCGATTTTTTCTCGTCTGTACGATTTTCAACAGTTAATACTGTAAAATGGAATTTTGAGTGAGACCGTCAAACTAAGACTCGACTAACATCACATTAAATGCATATCACGTTTTAGTTCACTATGCGATATCACGGTCGCACGCTTGTTTCAGACTTAACCAAATGGCGCTGCTATGCACTAAAAAAAAGGTGGGCAAACGGGTTGGTATTTTCCCCAATGTTGGTCGACGTACCGACTGCCTTTACACTATGCAGCAATTTCCTCCCAAAAGTTGGTCACTTTTTATCCAAATTTACCCAAAACGAGTTATCCTTATTATACCAATGTTGGGCGAATTACGTTGCCCAACAGTGTTTACTCCACGTTTGTTTTTGTTTTTTTAC